ACATGCAAGCAGCCATTTTTATTAAAGCTAAAAAGATTATTTATTAAACTAGAAATTTTACAAAAATATATGACTTCCTTTTTGTAAAAACAGATTGGACTGAAGCTTATACACAAAACTGTTAAAAGTATCTGTTTTAATTAGTAACTTTTTTCAATTTTGACATGCAATCTTTTAGTACAAAGTCTATGGTGGTTGAAATTGTTAGTGCTTAACATCAACAACATTTTAAGAAATAGATGTACTACATCTGGAAATCCATAATATTGTTTAGTGTAAAAAATGCAATTGACCAGTTAGAACAAATCATGTTCTGCGTGAAATACAGTGCTTTCTGTATTGTGGACTGACATTTTATGAACTATACTATTCTCATTACTGATCTATGGATTTATGATTAATCTTAGAATGTTGACGGAAAAAAAACATTTGACCCTTATGTGGCATTGTAAAAGTACAGACGCGTGATTAAGAGCTTAAACTTATGACATGTCGATTAAAGTTACAATGTGGATTATAACTAGAGTGTCTTCATATTATACTGTCAAGAAAATTCAGCAAATGAAAAACAAGCAATTTTCAGGTGATTTTTAACTATATATTTGTCAATATCAGTGATATATTATTATTTACATAGGTGTATTAAATGTGTATACCACTTTGCATAAAAAAATAAATAAATAGGGAATCCTTAACGTAACACGAAAAATTAGATAAAAGGTATACAAAGATCAACACTCTTTTCCAGAATTCTGAACTTGTACTTAAGTATGTGTTTATTTAAAACACTTCATATTTCGTTGCACAATTAAATCTGAAGAGATTAAGTCAAAATCAAGTCAAAAAACAAAACATTATCACTCGAGATTAATTAAAGTCAACAGGTCGTGAAATGCACGTGAATTCTGACTGCAATACTGTGACTTGACTTCTGAGTCAAGTGGTGATAAAAATATTCCGGTCATTGCTTTATTCGTACCAAGGGTCGAGATCAGTTTACGTATACATAAGCATTTATATAATAGTGTCTTAAGTTTAGTCCCAGGCAGGAACTTGTAGCTAAGGTGTTACTATGTGGTAAATGTTAAGTTTAATCATAAGTTGTGTAATAGAAATTTTAAAGCATAGTTCCAGCAGAGAACATAGAGAAGTGACATAGAGGCTGATTTTACAAAACCACCCTTATTGACATTGGAGTCCTCAACCGCCAAAGGCAAGCGCCAAATTTAAATACTCGTTGCCAATAAAAACCTTGGTTCACTATAATTGTAATTCGTGTGACTTGAATGAAAATGAAGGAAACAGTAAGCAGCTTGTAATATTCTGGTAAATCTAGTGTCAATTTGTCGAAAGTAAAACGCGTCGTTAAAAATATTGTGACATTTCTTCTACAGTAGCGGTCATTTCTACGGAACCACTCGATAAAAAGTCAAGTTGGTAGCGCTGTCATCTAGTACTTTACGCCGAACGCGGTTGGTAGCGATAGTTGACATGGCAATCGAAACTAGCACAACACGAATGTTTCGGTTGCCCTCAGCTATGCCGCACTGTATCCCGTGCAGACTGTATGTTCTGTTCATCTATTTATTAAAATAAAATATCTACATTGACAATGGGGCCATCTAACCTGTCAAATTTTTGACACATATGTTTTCCCCCAGAAACCCGTCAAGGTCACTTACACCAAACAAATTTTGAAAATTTACGCTAGGGAGTGGTTCTATAGAAAAGATCGCGACTTTAGTTAATTTTATTCCTAGTTAGAACCAAACACTGCTGCCAACATAAATTGCGGAGTCCTCAACCGTCATTTAATTTAAACTATGGCGCTTCTCTATGTTCTCTGGTTCCAGCGTCCCTATATTGTGCAAAATGTACCCTTAAAATATATTTCACTTGACATTAAAACTAACAGTCGTAACCTTTTTGACTATATTTTTGTGTACTGTACTGATGTTTGACCTCTGAGTGGAGATCGTTTGGAACAGCTGTATTTAATGTTTTTTTAATGAAAAAAAAGTAGTCTAGTAAACCATAAAATTTATTTTCAAAATAATAATGTTGGTATTGTAGTATTTAACACTTTATTTGGCGCTTATTAATTTCCGATTTACACGAACAATTGACAACATAATTTTTAACATTAAATTTCAAAAGCTGCTAGACTACTTTTTCCTCGATCATAATACAGCCTGTTATTGAAAGGTACGTACAAAATAAAATCGGCAATTGGTCTCGAAGTATGGGTGCTAAAAATTAAAAAAAGTTTAGGTAAAAGTGTTCTCCTTTTAGAGATACAAATTATTAAAATTTATGTCCAAATTCGTTGTACGCCTCTGATAAAAAGATCATCTTTCGTTTCTATAGCAACATTTAGTCTTGACAAAAGTTTTATTGTTACAGTTGCTAGGATTTACTAAAATAAATTAATTTTACCTATTTATCCTTCAGTAGCGTCTAAAAAGGTTGGATAAGGGTTAATTTTCCCCTTATAATTTTGATAACACAAAATAAGTTTTTCCGACTTCTTAGACTTCGCGAAGAACTGTCTATTTTGTTGTACGTACCTTTCAATAACACCCTGTATATGGTGTGAAAATCTAGTCAAATTAAAGTTAAAATTTTCGTTTACCCTAATTAATAGTAACATGAGGTCATAAGTCTTCCAAATGTCTGCTGGTTGTTATTAGCAAATTTAGACAATAGCGATATTGTTATTAATATCACTTAATGCACGTGAGATTAAGGTGCTTGTTATTTTGTAATATAAGATTAAAACCACCTATGTGCAAAAAATATTCCACTCAAAATCACGAAATTGAATCGTTTTCGGTTTGGAGTGGATTTTATATATATTTGGTGTGAACTTTGAAAACTACTGACGCAGTGGGAATACTTCTCTCTATTATTACAGTTAAGATATTTTTTTGTCTATCTTAAATGTGCCGCCGCTTATCTGCGCAATTTAAGTTAAATTAAAGATAAAAAATCATCTTCGAGATTATAAAAAAAGATGAGTCCATTTTATCTGACCATTAAAATGGATTGGGTGTGTTTAATAATTTTGTTGCCGTAATAAACAAATATTTATTTTATGCTTTACTAGTGCATTATCACTAATTTATACCTGCAGTTGAATTGGCGTTAATAGATAACCTACAATGACAAACTAATTCCAAGTCTTAAAAAAACGAAAAACAAAAATTTAGTAAGAAAATTAATATGAATGTGAAATACATATGTATGTTTTTTATTTTTTTCAACTTTCAAACTTCTGTTACTGGTTCGTTTTTTAACGTGTTTGGGTCAAATCTTACTCACTCCAGATAATTGCAAGTGTTCTTAAAGTTGCGCTTTGTAAAGCAGACTTAACCAGTATCCAATTCATAAACGGTTGTGTCAAAATTTTTGTCAAAATGCGCGCGCAGCTGTTAAAAGTAAATAAATTATCTAACGTCTAAATATCAGTGATTTTGAGGAACAAATTTACTGCCATGTTTGGGCACAAGGTTTCAATTTTTTACACAACTACATCTTATTCACTCTTTTTCGTTGTATTTTATTTTAAGATTAACTTTAGTATGATTAATAAATCAAGTATCAGGTGAGCACTTTGGAACGTCTAACATATATGATAGTATTGTTTTTGTAAGGGATTAACCTTAGAATAAGCAAGTTCAGGTCAGCGAACAATGGTTATATCACTATTAAAACGTAACTTACAAGTGGAATTAAAAAAAAGATTAAACATATTTTATAAACAATTTTCTTTTCTTTCACAATATCATAAATAATAACGTGTAATAAACCGAGGTTATAAATTACTAAAAACTAATAGAAATGTATACACTATATTTTGTTTTTTATTTTATCTACAGATCTTTAGCTGAAAATATTTGGACTGTGTTAAGTATATCTTCAAATGAAATCTGTTAGTGTATGCTATTAAGCTATTTATGTAATTTAATCCAATATAAATTTGTACCTTACTGAAAATTGATAAATAATTGGTTCTGCAGACAGCAGGTAGTTAATTTCACCTCAAAATAGAAATAATTATTAATTATAGTCAGCAAAAAACAAAAATACAATTTGACACAACAAAAAATTTAATACAAACGACAGCAAATCCTTAATTGCGCAGTCTCCTCTGCGCATAATCAGTTTCACCCCTTCAAAGTGTCCTTATTTTTGGTGATACTAGCTCTATTTTTTTACTTTTGTGGAAAAACGTCTTCGTGGGTGTTTTGTGATCTTATCATGAATCAAGATGGAAATAAGAGATGCGAGAAATTTGAATAAATTATTGTGTTCGATAAATACACAAATATGTTGTTGATACTATCGAAATGTCGAAGCTTTGACTAAATGCGCCATTTATTTTTATGTTATGTATTTAAGAATATCTTTAAATTTATTTACACTATCGGGGTTTGCTAAATGATTTTATTATCAATAATTATTATGCTTTATTTTCTGTGGCGCCATCTAGCCTAAATTAGACGAAGTGCGAATAGAGACGTCGTTTTCCGATAATGAATTTTGATGCTCAATTTCTGGTTTATTGTCATTAAACTATACTTTGATTTCTCTCATTAGTCATTATTGCGTGAGTATCATCATTCAGAGTGCAGTGGAGAGTTAATTACTGTAGGTGGTGAATATGCTAAATACAGAAAGTGGAGCAATTGTTTGAGAACTTCTGATTGTCACATTCACGTAAAAATGTATATAGACTTTTTACAAAAATTACTAGATTTGACATTTTCATCAAGGTGGCAGATAATGTTAAGGTTAGGGATTTTTTTTATCTCGAGTGTCTAATCTGTAGAGTAATATTGGTTGCATAATTATACAAAATGAAAAGGTATTTGTAATATTCAAATCGACAAGTTTTTCGAAAATATGTATAGGTTTCTTAAGTTTGCCTATTCAGTGTACGATACCAACACAAAGACATTTTTATGGAAAAGTAGGTTAGGTTTAAATAAAAATGCCGCTTCAATCTCACCATTTACTGTACCTCAGCTACTCATCAGCAAAAATCATAACATATTCAACGACTTCACAAATCGAATAACAAAAATATAACAAATGTGTCCTTTAAGATCACAATACAACATACAAATAAACTAAAATTGAAACACGATGTTAACATAATGTCAATTAACAATAATTTAGTTGTCATCTCCAAGAACACATCTTATCTGTCACTACAAATTGGTCAAAGTATGAAATGACTAGTTATGGAAGTAAATAAGACCTATGTGTGGCTGATAGATTTGAAAGAGCGGCTGGAGAAATGTCTGTCGGTAAAGGCGGTTGCTTCTTTGGTTTATGTATCAAACTTCCCAATTCAGTTAGTAAAAATCGTGAAAACTGTATTAAAGCAACATGGACAGCGTATTGCATTATAAGAGCACCGAAACCTTTGTAGAGACCTAGGGTACCTTCAGAGGCCACGCAACTTTCGTAGCAATCCATTGCACCAGCGAAATTTGTTAAGATTGGCAACACTGAACGCCCGCTGTCTAAATTATCAACTATTGTCCTTGTACCCTGAAATAATAATAATAATAATAATCATTAGTATTATTGAATCAGAATTTTTTTGTAATTTAAAATTATACCTGCAGATATAACCGATGAATTATTGTTTCACAAGGATAAAATGCGACATCGCTTGCAATATTAGCGATTAGCGATGCTGTTGTATCTAGATCTTGTAGCACAACAGAATGTGAAATATCTTTCGGCAGTGCGCCGTTTGCTTCATGTTTGTTCTTAAATCTTGAATGTAGAAGTCGAGCAGATGCGCCTTTTACCATCATGGTAAACAAATATTTAGATAACCCTAGCGTAATGGTAGGTACTATGAGGACCCAAATGGGTAACATGCGGCCTTTAGCACCCCCATTCCAGTTGAAGAGACGCATAAACCCTTCTTTGAAGACATCCAAAATTCCAGGTTTTTCACTAGCAATTTCACTCTGCACTGTTTCAACGAACGACGCTGAATAAAACGGAGTAACAATTGCTAGACTGACGCTACAAGAAAAATTAAATAAATAAAATATAAAAAAGTAGACATGACAAACCATTTTAGTAGAGTGTGTTGAAAGAAATGTTTTAAACTACTGTGCCACCGGATTTCTCTACAACTTAACAATGAGTGTGTCGCTTTTAACCTTATACATACACTACTTTGGCCACGGTGTTATTTTCGAAATTAAATCTTCCACTCCTATCGAGATACCTCTAACAAGCAGCACAGACCCCAGCCCTTTCCAAAGTGTAGTAAGGCCTTGGTGTTGGTGTAACCTATAAACTGTTGGTATCAAAGTAAACGGCAATAAATGATATCTTTGTGAAGTGTGATGGACTTGGCATTGTCGACGCAACACTTGAAACGGATGGCTCAATAAATTTTCAGCAACCAGACTAACGAAAGCAACCCCAGAACCGATTCGACGCTTCAGGATAATTTCTGAAAAATACAATCAGTCACTTTCACTGACCAATTAAACCCACCTTCTTGCGTCTGGTAGAATCGGTTGGGAAAATTTGCCATTATATCTCGGTTGCGCATAAACTCTTCATGGCTTATTTGTCGTTTGGATGCTTTTAGGTGACCTAACTCGTCGTCGGAATCCAAATCAAGGTCCAAATCCAGATTATTTTGGCCTGCCATGTCCATAACCTCACTTTTTACTTAAGAAAAAACATTATCGACAGAGGAGCGATTTCACGATATATGAAAAAGGAGTACCCAGTTTGATGTACTAAAGGAGTTTTACTCCATTTTACGTGCAAATCACGGGATTTTTATTCAACAAATTTTGTTAGCGGGACCCAGCGCCGCTTTATTTGTTTGACATTTGACACGTGACGTCACGACATTTGTGACATTGACAAGTGACTCATACATTTCAATGATATGGCGCCAACTTAAAAATATATATGTATTTTTTGGCGTCGAGGTAACATAACTCGGAAAGAATTCCCCATAAAATACGTTTGGGATCATTCAAAACCATTTTTGTCACTTCGTAGTGCTTTTGTCTACCGTGTGTCTATCTTATTATTTTCGAAATTTTGCATCGAAACTAAAATAAACTCCATTTCAAATCAAAACGGCTAAATCTGTAACTTTGATGTGCAGTATTACAATCATATTATAAATTTCAATGTATTATTTTGTAATACAAATACATAGCTATAAATACATCACCTTCTTGATGATTTATTATAGTGGTAAACTGGCGGAAATAACTCAAAATAAAAAATATTTGAGTTGAAATTTGACAATTCACTAATACTTTCGTCCATCAATGAAAACTTATTATTGTATGAATTTTCCGTAGATGTTTAAACGAATTTGGTTAGTGATTTATCATTTTCAAGATAATCTTAAAGTACACTAAAAATTCATATTAATCGGTGCAGGAGTTTCAGAGAATTCACTGATGAAAACTAAAAATTTGTATTTTCACGTTCTACGAAATAAAGACATCAGAGGACATTAGTTAAATTGACGAATTTATTCCAGGATTTTCCACTTTGTGTGACATATTAATATGTATTTATGCATTTTTCACATTATAATTATGCACTATGGAGCGCGAGATGACGACACAGAGTGCTCCAAAAAAATATCAAAACAGTCGGCTGCCACTTTTAAATTGGCTTAATATGTTAATTAAGTAACGTTTCATCATTTTCTGCTTGTTTTATTTTCCGGATTATAATTTATTAAGAAATCAAATACAGATTAATTCAGCTCAAGTGTGCCATATACAGTTTCCAGTTCCTGGAAAGTCCAGTAAAATAAATGTCATTTTGTTACTCATCAAGCTGTTACCTTCACGTTCAATGCAAAAATGATTACAAAAATAAGTAAGTATCTATAGCAACAGTTGGAAGTAAAAATAAATGATGCACATATTCGTTGGAAATGCAATAATGCAACACCTATACGAAATATAAAAATCCGGTATGCAAGTAGCACTAAAACTTGTGGTTTTATTGTGGGATACCACAGCACTATGTGTAATAATTAATTGCGTTAGTTTGACAAAATACGAAATTACTAATTCGTATACCTAAGTTTTAAATTATGTAGCTCCAAAGTATGACATACAGATTAATTTTTGAGAAGTTCTAGACGCGTGCGCATGCTACTTAAGTTAGAATCTTCTGGAATTTAAAAGATTGATTTTCATATTTTTCCCTAAATTGTATTTTATTCATCAAATATCTCTAATTTATGTAAAAATGAAAATGTTATCGGGTCAAGATAATCATAGAACTTGACGACCCGCCCTATTTATTATCAGTTTCAGTAAACTTTAAAAGAGTCACTTCCACGAGAATATTATCCGGGGCTTTTCTACACTTAATCAATTATTGATACAAAAACATAAATAAAAACCAGATGCACACTCAAATCAAATATACCAAAATTAACACCTGGAAAAAAGTAATAAAATAAATAGTGTGTAACGTAGGCACTCAAACCATGTTATGGGTTTTCAGTGAAACGTTAAAGGATGTAAAATTGTCACCCAATTCCCAGAACAGAATATTTCTATTGTTACCATACATTATTCTGAAGGAGGTATGGACCAATTTATTAACATCGGATTTTATGTGTTTTAAATATGTGTTTTAAAACCCCTGACTAATTCTCTTTCTATTTACTTTTTTCGCCCCACCTTGAACGCTGCAAAAAACCGGAATGTAGGTCAGACGGATTTTCAGTAACAGCTCACCATTTCTCAGAAAAAACAATTTTTTCGCAAAAGTCTATCAAACATCCTCCTCGTTTCGACCGTGGTAGCTCAAACGTCATCGCTGATTATGTTGAAATAACCACTTCGCATCAACTTCTGTCCAGTATTACGCTAATCTCTCGTGCGATGCGCTAGTCAATCAGTTGAATTTTGAATCTGAGCAGCATGGGTCGTGTTTTTGTAGCAGTTTGCACTTGTTCGTTTGTTTTATTCGCGGCGGGGATATACAGCATTAGTGCCCAGGGTAAGCACACAAAACACACCTATATTTCCAAAAAAAAAAAGATCAAAATTTATAAAAAAAATTGTGACTACGGTAGCAAAAAATGTATGACTTAAAAAAACACACTGAAAATGTGACGAATACATAATGTAACCTTTTTGCACACTAAGTTAGTTACACAACAACAAATATCTTTTACAACCTTATTATTATAAATTTTTTAAATCATTTTTTACGAAATGTAATTATATCCTCTGTAATAAATATCTCTGAAATTATATAGGTGTCTGAGTTGTGGAAAAATTGTTACAGACTCAGAGGGAGTACCCTGTGAAACCCCCAACGAAGAGTACGGGCTATGCATAAACATATACAACTGTAGCTATTTGATGAACCTTCTGGTCCAGCAAAGTAACAACCCTCGAGTGCGCACATATCTACGAGCTTCCACTTGCGGTTACGTGAAGGATGTACCCCTAGTTTGCTGTCCTCTATCCAAAAATAATAATAACAACAACAATAATAACAATAACAATGTGAACCCCCCTGTTACGTCAACCACAACTAATTCTCCTTCGAGCCGGACGCCAAGAACTAATGCCATTTACACGTTACCACGAAAACCAGACTGTGGACACAGTAATTATACAAATACACGAGTTGTCAACGGTGAACGCGCCAAATTAGGTAACCACGAGATGAATCGTTATTTTATCGTTTATAACATGAACGATAATTACTTTTTCTTTATTTGTTTAAATATGAATGCTAAGTTCAAGGATATGTTGATGCGAATGTGCGAATATTTGTTGTTGTAGGTGAATTCCCTTGGATTGTTGCTTTAGGATACAAGAATTCGAAAAACCCGGATTCACCAAAATGGCTGTGTGGTGGGACTTTGATAACTGATAGGCATGTCCTAACAGCAGCGCACTGCGTACACAACAGACAGGATTTGTAAGTAAAATTTTTCTTATTTACATAATTTTTATAGTTTTCCCACGGAATGTCTAAGTTAAAAATAAACATTCGACATTCGTGCAAACTTTAGACATAATTTTGTTAAAGGAAACATTATTTCGTTGAGATGTTTCCCCAGGCAAAAATTATATACTTGGTGACTTACACAATAGTGGGAAACCACAAGAAATAATTACTATATTAATAAAATAAAAACAAAGCACGTACAACACACCTTGCTCTTAAATCTACTAAACAGGAGAAAAAGTTAAAAATAATATTCTCACACTTACTAAATCGTCTTAAATTATAAAATCTAAATAAAACAATAACCGCAAATAATCATTATGTGTGGTTTGTGCTAACCGCACGACAGTTCTGACATACAAATGTAATTCGATTAAGTTAAGATGCTGTTTTGATCAACTTATTGCAAAAATTAACAGGCTCACTCTTACAGAAAAAGTATTTCTAAAAAATTCCGTTCCTTTTAAATAATATGTATATCTACAAATTAAGTAATTCGTTATAATTGTTTGCGGAATATATTTGGTATATCTAACGCCCGTTTGACAGTTTAGACCCTTATTTTGACGAGACGGCAAAGCACGTATTTTAAATGAAAATCATCGATAGCCTATTGATACACCACAATTGTGGAATTTGAGAATTCATAGAGATTTTAACGTTAGAGTTTTGTCTCACTCGTCTACTGGACACTCTGAAACGTGTTTTTTTATTTTTCGTAGTGTCTGTATCTTTAATTCCAAGGATGATCATATCGATCAGAACAGATCCTGCTGCATACAATTTCCAAGTAAATTGAAACTTAAAATTCAAGTAGCAATTCACCACACGTAAAAAATATTTATGAGTTAGTAATGAAGTAGCGACAAATAAATTACGATTAGATGCAATCGGTAGTGCAGCTGATGCATAATGGATTAGACATGTGTCATTGTGAATATTTAAATATATTAGTTTGACATTTATTAGAAGACAAATCCTTTTAATGTATAAACAGGCACTAGATTAAAAAACAGAAAGTAAAACAACAAGCATTAGAATGCATTTGTCGTTTTTTGTAAAAAATACGGATATAATTGACTGTCAAGGACGTTGAATTTTGCCGCTTTGTTGCAACAAGCAGTATAGTTAAAATGTAAAACTGAGGTTACAGGTCAGTTTATGATGAATGCTAAATGTTACTGTCAAGGTGAGCGGCAAATAAAATTTCTAACGTGATAATAATTTATTTCTACATGCCATAACTACACACTAGACGAAATTCAAACACAGTAATTAATAAAATGCTTTGTAAGCTATAATTAACACAAATTTTGCAGATATATAGCCCGACTAGGAGATTTAGACCTCTATTCAGATGATGATGGTGCAGATCCTGAAACAATCCCACTCATTAAAGCAAAAGTGCACGAAGAGTATAGCCCAGTTAATTTTACCAGTGACATTGCAATCCTCACTTTGGAACGAAGTCCCAGAAAAAGTAACCATTTACTTTACATCTTCTAGTATTAAAATTAAAAAAATATATTTTTAGCTACAGCATGGCCGGTTTGTCTCCCTATTGAAAATAATCTTCGCAACAACGATTTCCGCACATCTAGTCCTACAGTGGCAGGATGGGGTTCCATCTACTTTCGTAAGTCAAGAATTTTGCTGTTACTGTAGTGAAATCATATTTTAAATATTATTTTGTACAGAGGGTCCCTCGAGTCCTACTTTGTTGGAAGTTATTCTTCCCGTTTTGGACAATGAACGCTGTCAGCAAGCCTACGGTACTCGGTCTATTATCGACGAAAGGATACTATGTGCTGGATATGCAAGAGGCGGCAAAGATGCGTGCCAAGGGGATTCCGGAGGTCCTTTAATGCATCGTATCGCCGAAAAAAGGGGAATAATTTGGTTTTACCAAATTGGAGTGGTTTCGTATGGTCTTCGGTGCGCTGAAGCCGGATATCCCGGTGTGTACACTCGAGTGACACACTTCTTGGACTGGATCGAGAGAAACATTAACTGACATGTAGTAACGCAATAAAGTGTGATCAGTATTTTTCATGCATTGAATTTTTCGAGAATGCCAATGTCAACGCCTTGTCCTATTTATTGAGGCTTGCTGAAGAGTTTTTTAAGTTGCTTTATTTATTCAGTCTGTGTATTAAGTGTTTTTATTATGTATGTCGTCGTATTGAAATAAAATATTGAATTATATTTCGGACGTAGTATATTTATTGTGTAAATATAGCGCGAAGAAATTCTACAGTGACTCAATGCAGCAGTGTGGTTCACAATCACCTACCTATTTCAAGGCCAAATGAGATAATTCTGAGAAATCGCGTTTAGACCAGAAGAAATGTTATTGTTTATTCAAAGCCTGCAAAATTCAACAACCTCAAACATAGTTTTTGTGTAACCAAGGAAACAGGTGTACCATTTGTTAACAAATTTCGATATGGTAAAACCTAATTACGTTTAAATACTGCTTAGGTATATCCGTTTAATTTACCTCCTAACACACAAGGTTACACATGTATCACATCAAATGATTTATTTACTATTAAATTACAAAAGAATTATATTACGATGGGAATTTCGCCATTTGTGTCAAATTAAGGACTTCCGTTGAAGTTATTTTTACTTTTGATATCCAGAAACGTTTATATGTGGAAATGGTGCATACCAAGTTGGATAACAATAGCAAAACAAGTTTCCGCCATTTTTTCTAAAAAATGTAGGGGAATAACGATAATCGCACCAGCTTTATTCAAAAATATGGAAAAATCTGAAGTCGATTTTCCGGTCACTTTTTTTAATTATGGTATTTATTGGAAAAGAGTGATTATTTAAAAAGATGAAAGGTTATCATCAAAATAACGATAAACTGACACATTTATTTTATTAATGCAGTTAAAAAATAAGATATTTTAGTAAGAAATTCACTTTGTTTAAAAAAAAAAAGAATTTAGGTCAAGTATGTTGAGAAGTTGATCCACAATGTTAATTAAAGTAACGCCAATCACCTGTACTAGATTATTAAAATAAAAGATATATAAAATTATTTGCATCTAAGTTTATTTTGTTTGGATCTCATTGTGATTCTAAATCAAGTTCGTTCCACAACAGTATGTACTTAATTACTTAAATACAATAAAACAACAAATACTTCTGTCTAAAATAATTTCAGATATGCAATCATCGATTTTAATGACTCATTAATTCCTATAATTTTATTTAGAAATTTTCAAGACACCACACATTTTCAAGGGTCTGTATTAAGACTACTTTTCTTTACTTTACATGTTAATGACGTTACTAATATTTTTGAGTTCATTATATTAATATTTAAGGTTAGATTTATTAGAACCACTTTGAATGTACAAGTACAACAGAAAATATTTTATTGTAACCATAAATGTTTCTCGTGTGTGCTACTAATGGTTGTTACCTTACCCATCGTATGCCCAAGGATCTAAACAGCGCATTCATAAACTCGCGTATAGAAGGTTATAAATATCTTTTATGTGACTGTATCAGTGACAATTACTTTTTACTAGCTTTTACTACAGTGTTTAATTTTTAAGAATTTTTATTTTTATTGTCTTGTTTTATGCATATTTTTACTTCTATAACAATAAAATGCAGCCACTATAAGTAATAAATAACTATAAGCAATATAATTAAATACAGCCTTATTCACAGTGAATTTTATTATATCGTTTCGTAATTAATTTTTATTTATGTGCTCATAATTTCCAAAACTATGATTTATACTGTTGTTAAATACAATTTAATAATGTTTCAAGATAACTGTTAAAAGTTGAAAATCCTCTCCTTTTAATATAATACATTATAGATATATTACAATAATACTCCGAGAACGATGACGACACCATGACACCATCTTGTAGTAAATTTGGCCTTCTTTTTATGATTTCCAGGATTTTTATCGAATATAGGAAGGCTACTTCCATATCTTGTTCTCTTTATTGCATCTATTCTTGTTTTCAGCTAGTACACTTTCTGTTATGAAGTTTGATGGGTTGATGCCTTCAACAATTTTTTAATCAACGATATTTTTTGATCCTGTTCTTGAATCTTTTTTGGTTTTTAACATAGGACTTAGTGTCATATTGATCAGTTCTTTTTTGCTTGTCGTCGTTTTCTGTTTATTCAATTTCATTACGTTGTTCCATAGGCCATTTTCATAATTCTTGCTAGCGCTGTCATTTATTACTTGCCACTCAGGGTTTTGTAGAATATAAAAAATACATCGATAAAATGTAGACACAAATGCTCAACTTGAACCTTGACACCACTTGTCACTGTTTGATTTTTCTCGCATAGATCTAAAATTCGATTTTAAACTTTTACACTGTAGTCGTTACTCATTACACAATACATAATGTTCGGTCAGAATAATTAACTCTAATAACCTAAACAAATACACGTATTTAACAATGAGCACCAAACACGTTTGAGACGTTAACAAAGTTACCTAGAGTGCTTTGGAAATTCGCAGATGTGTGACGCTAGTGTTTAAATCGTTAATGAAAAATGAGTTGTATTAATACATAGTGTGTAATAAATATAAAGTGCCGCATCGCATTTTTTTCATTTTCACTATCGAGAAAAAATTTGCCGCCCTTTTTGTTAAACTATGATTTAATAAAAGCCTTAAATCTAAACAAAAAGCATACAAATAACTGCGTAGGGTATGATTTATATCTAAGAAAACCACTTCAAACAGAGCTTTCATTATATTGAAAAATAATCGCTACATTCGCATCCAGTATAAAACTTAAAAAAGTATTTGATTTGTGCTAACGTAAGCATGACAGTATGACAAACAATATATAGTCACACAAACAAAACATTTATTACAAAAAGGTATAAAAAAAAGAGTAAATAAATATATATATCGTAGCATTTAACTTAACAAGTCAAGAATTGGTTCAGTCAATTAACACTTCTAAAAAATCACAAAGGTAATAAGTCAGTCATTCCTTCTCTAGATTTCTTTCTCTTGTATCTACCAAAGGGGCTATTATCGCTGGCGACATCGCTAAAGCTGGGTTCGCAACCGCTATAATGTTATCACCACTGGCTGCAATTATTTGAACTTTAGGGGACATTTTTCTTGAATCTTCCTCGGCTTCATTGGAATCTTCATTTCTTTTCTACAAAAATAAGTTTACATTATAACCTAACAAAAAAAAAAGTCTGAAACCTGAAGCGAATTTGGTCCTGAATACGAGTCTTGATCGTGGGCGCTGTTCTGTAATAATGACATTACGCAAACATAAATTGTATTATTACTATAGTGCGTAACGCACCTGCGAAGGCGAATTTGAGTTACTATACGAAAAATGAGAATCTCCATCGTCGAAATCGATGGCCAGGGAAGATCGTCTCGTCGAATTATCTCTAAAATCCCGTCAGCATTATCTAAGTTTGCTCTTTCCAATCACGTACCTGCTTTGAATATGACTTTTCGTGTTATTGTGAAACAAAGAATGCAGTGAAGTTCGCACAATTACATTTTCCTCTGAACTTGTTTCCTAGAATAAGATACATCATACACGAACGATAAAATTATTTAAATCTATTCAAAAACCATCATTTTTACTAAATAAACGTGCCAAGCGAGATGATTAAGCAATTGCCTTACCTCATTATAGGTGACCTGCATGCTAAAAAGTGAAGAAGCAAAATCGTTAATTCTATAGCGATAGCATGAATCGAAAAAGCTTTGGTAAAAAATAGCAACTTACCCCGATTGTTAAAAAGCTGAAAGCAAAAGCGTTATTACCCTTAAAGACAATTACAGTTAGGCAATAGACCCATCACTTTATTTTTCCTATTAGTAAGCATTTATTGCAAGGTTAAATATACGACAAAGGGGGGCAAAAATTTACATAAAAAGCTACATTGCAAAAATATCGATCTCGAATTGGTGGTTTTTGCCCCCGCTTGCTACAAATTACAATATATTTTCTGCTAAATGACTAGAAATGGTGAGACTAATACAAAGGAATATTGTCTTCAAGCGTAAATATTACAACAAGCTAAGACCTAGGTACTATAAGAACATGGTGAACAATTTATATATATTAATGTATGTAAATTACAAAATTGTAAAAAGTATTTGGAAAATTGGTTTCCACTGCTCACACCGCCGGTTCCTTCTACCAGTTTCTGTAAAATCTCTTTTCAAAAACTTAGGAACTGTCAAAATTAGTTCATCACAACTAGTTAATAATTTTCTTCCGGACCGACTGTCTGAGCAAACACGTACTAAAATTTGTATGTTTTGTTTTCAGGACCTCGAACTATGCGCATCTAGTCTAACTAAACTCACCTCTTAATAAAAATCCGCAACTTCCTCTACCTAAGTTGTTAAATTGCTAACAAATCATACCACCATGCACTTAACGACATCGGTTGCTAAAAATTAAAGCTCCAAAAAAAGCACCGCAAAGCAAAAAGCAACAACAAAATATACAAGCGTGCACGTTAGTGCATTGAGATTCCTAAAAATCGTTTCTTTCATATTAGTTCGCTAAATTAATGATAACGTGTGATGTGGGTTTTTGTCTGTTATGTTGGCTGACCTGCCGCTGATCGTCCCCATCAGAATTTGTTTCAAGTTTTGGTTTTTTCGCTAAGATACCTTCCATGTCGCCAGCCGCTATTCTCGGACTGCACCTCGCGTCCAAAACATCCCTATCCTGAGCCAGACTCTTGTGCAAGTACATCGTCGACAACCTAAAATCGCTTAAAACGTAAGTGAAAATTTCGACAACCTGCGCGTAAAAGTTACTGTGTCTTGGAATAGTAGCAACCCGAGTCTTTCACCACTTGCCGAGCAAGGGGAAAGAGTTCGTCTCTTCGGGTCAACAAAGCTGGAATGAATCTGCAAATTTGGGCCGCAGCCTCGTTCACGGACACCTCGTGCAGCGTCAGCGGTTTCTCTGGCTTCCGTTTGCAGTCAAAACGCCCGTAAATAGCGGCGTATCTTCGGATTTCGTCCATGCGGCGTGGGTCGTTTTCGGGCATCGACATGACCAGCTAAAATCGATAGAATAACTAATACTATAGCGATTACGTAAGAGTGGGACGAAGGTAGCACCCTGTGGGACTCCAAGTTGTCGTACCTCCAACTCCTTACAAACTTTCTTTTTCGTGTTGTGCGATTTTGGTTCAAATTGTGGCAAATGTTTGCTCAGTCTTTCAGCGGCTGCTGCTAATTTGGCGATCTGAGAATCGATCAGTGTGGGGGTAGACTGAAGCGACATACTGCTTCCGGGGCTCGAACTAGATGAAGGAGGACAAGAAGGATCTAGTGGTGAATAAGGCCTAAAAGAGTAGCGTTTTGTTTGGTCAAGTTATACATCGTGTGTCGTTACCTTTTACTTAAAGTTAACCCAGGGCTAGCAATGGGGGGTAAGGCACAAACATCTCCAGGAGATGGCGAATAGATTGTTCTACTATCACTATCTACTGAATAGAATCCGTGATTGCTAGTAACTCTGGGACTGGATAGTTCTATTTCAAAATCGTCTCCTGGCACTAAAGGTACTTTGAACTTATTAGGATTTGTGACCCACTCTTGCAAGGATTTTTGAAATCTCCGTACATGTAGCGGTTTAGACGCCATTCCAACGAGTGACATTATTTCTAAAAACTCGTCTTCTCCGGCGTCACACAGTTGCTGGACGTCGTCACCGCCCATTTCGAGAAGTGTGTCGTAATAAACCAACAACGAGGCATTTTGCATCACCCTGTATAATTGTAGTTCCGCTAAGTTTTTGGGACAAAATGTCGGAAAAACTGAAAAAAAAAAACAAACAATTAGATCCCGGAGAACGCGCGGTACAGTATTTATGAGACAACCATCAGAGTGTGTTTGGAATGCGTGATTAATTGCTGCGAAAGTACGAAGACTGATCGACAAGGAATATTGTGAAAACGGGAAAAGATATCGTAACACACCTATATTAATGGCGGCAAGTTTTAGGAAAAAATTTCTTCTGGCATGCGGTTTGTTTGCTTTGAGCAAATATAGTTGTCTAAATGCTACACAACTACCGCGAATGGTTTCCGTAGCCGCGAACCACCACTTGAAGCATGTTCAGAAAAAATCCTAGTGGATTAAACCGGGTCAAGGCCATTTGGTACAGCAATTTTGAAAAATGGCAGCGATCTGATGCGTATCTAGCTAATTTAGGACTACCACAAGGTTTGCTAACTGGACCTCTGTTATTCAATGGTTTTATTAATGATATGTGTTATCAATTAAAATGTTTCTTTGTTAAGTCTTGTTTGTGACTGCATAAACATAGCAACACCAATCAGAGTGCTTATAACCCACCGCGGTCACAAATTGAGTCTAATAATAATAAAGCTGCCGACAGACCGACGGAAACGGGAGATCGACGTTTCCGTATTCCTCTAGCGTCGAGAAACTGTGAATTAGACCGCCAAAGTGACCTCATTACGTGAAAAAATGTATGAGGGTTATGCCGTATTATGAACATACGTATGTCGTAGCGCGCTTCCTACGCCCTCCTTTAGCATTTTTCGGCTCATCCCTGACCTGCACTTTTATCGATTCTTCAATTGTCGTTGCATTCGTCGTGTCTGCAAGTCTGTTTGGGTGATTTTTTGCATCCGAGTTTGCGCACAAGCGAAAAACTTGTTTTATGGTAAAAGAAAAGACGTTTTCATAATCGGCAAAAAACCCGCTCAATACTTTCTCAGCGTCCAAAAAAGTCATTCATCAGAGTTTTTTAACGTCTATAGAATTGTCTATTTAAAAAGGGATTTAACTTTTTTTTTTTTCAGACGATGAGAATCTCGGAAGGGTTGAAGATTTGGCTTATTCTCTTTGCGATAGGGCCACTTCATTTATCGTGTGAACATTATAAAAAATCACGCATGTCAGTCTATTTAATATTCAAGAACACGGTATGTCAACATACTTAGGGCATACGGCATTTGAATATCCTACAAAGGAGCACCCGCACCATAAAAACCACCAGGTACATCTTTTACGGTCCTTTTGTTTTTTTTTCGGACCTTCCGAAAGTCCGTACCCTTTCTCACACTACCGGGCACAGATGAGGCCTTTTTTACGCCGCCAAAAAAATCGTCATATTTAATTATGCACGTAAGTAGAGTATTGACGCAAAAAGTGCGCAGGTAAAACAGGGGATACTATGCAGATACGTGGGGTACACGTGAATCTCAAAGGCAACATAATTAATTCTGCAGAGCAACGCAACGTAAATGCACAGCTTAGCATCTTTTAAAAACAAAGCCGATTATTTAAATTTTCCCGGGTTTTATTTATTCATCGACCCCGAATTTTAGATTTATTTTAAACACTATTTAACGCTTTATTTGACAATATCAGGATTTACTTAAAAAAAAATTAAAATGACGTCAGCAAGTCTTTAGAGGGGACTGACTTAATTAATTTATATGTCTAAGACAAAAACTTGAGAAATCACAAAAATAGACACATTATTTTACAATTCGGATTTCCTGATTGATCTTTTGTAACACTAGTTTCTGTTTATTTCTTTCTTTATTAATTTTATGGAATTTAAATTCTTGATGACAGCAACAATAACCACAATCATTAAGCAAGCACAACTTTATTAATTAATTCAGATTGTACAGTTACGATAATTACAAAAAGTCAGAAATTATTATTCGTACCATGTTAGGCTGTTAATAATAATAACGATAACGTTGCACAGCCAAATTAATTTATTCCCCTTCCTAATAAAAACAGGTCGTGAACTTCCCTCCTCGCCGAAGCACAAAACCATCACTCTAATACTTTTTCTAATAATTCAACTAATATAATGTGTTTAATTAGGTCAATGTAACACTAATTATACCATTACCACGTCCCTTGCAGGGAAATTACATCCAACTATTACGTCACGCTATGCACAGAAATTTTGGTTAACGTTTGAATATGTATGATAATCAGATTACATTTAACAACAAAAACGACGACAAACAAACAGGAAAACAGAAATCTGCATTTCCGTATTTTGATCAGTAAAAGGCCAAGAAAACCTTCAAATGGCCACGCGGCAAAAATGGCAAAAAGCGCCCATTTGGTGACAGTCGAGAGTTTTCTGTTCTACAAATTAATTTTACCAATAAAAACAAGTTTTTAATGCCTCGCAGCAAAAATTAAATTTATTGATATTGTCAGAAAAAATGTTCACATTATAAATTCGAAAATGTTATTCCGAACATCGATAAAACTATTAATCTTGCTTAAGACCCGATCCGTACGTGAACACAGCAATGAAACTAAGCCTTGAGTCTCCTTTAATTACAATTCACAAAATTATTATCAAGTGCATGTCAAAACATAAAAACTCGATGTAATACTTGCAAAAAACGGAAAGTGGAAGTCACAGACGTTTGACATTTCCATGTAGTTGATATATGGACTTTTAAACAAGTTCCGAACGTTTCTGGTAAAACCGGAAGGGAAAAATTAAAGGAAATGTAGGTCTAGATTTGGTCAATGACCTTTTATTGGCCCGGATGGTAATTTGGGTGTTCTTTAGCCCCAAAGTTTTTTCCGAAATTTGCTGTGTAAGCTGGCAGCATTGAATAATTAGCGAAACTGGTCGTAAAGGTGCATGAGTTTTTTGTGCACTTCCTTGATATCCTTTAATAATGCACAATCTTATACCTTTTTTACACGATATAATTACGAGTTACGTGTGGGGCTGACAATGTCAATTTGTCTTTAATCGACAGTTATTAGTCCAGAACGTGTACGCATTTCTTTGCTTGCTCCGTACTAGTGTTTAATTTAGTGACTTTTTTTTCAAGTTTCAAAACACAGCGATCATGGATGCTGTGACGTCCCAGACACAAAACGTCGTTATATAATGTGACTTTCCGCTGAACATTGCAATATGTTAGGTCAGTATTTAGCATTTTTCAATGACATTTGAAAAAATCGATAAACGAGGTTCGATGTATATTTAGAAGGAAGAATGTAAATTAATGCATTATAAATGAATAAACATTAGAAACAGAAAAGTATCCTTTTTTGTCGAATGGAAAAAACTAGAACTACTTGATTTCACAGACGTATAAAAAGTAAATTTATACCTACTTATAAGATGACGTTATAAAAACGATGCATTCCTAATGCTGCTATGAGATAATTTTCTTTGATTTCTTTTAAATTGTATACACGTTAACCTTTAAAAGTAATTAGTTTTTTTAATCATTTACATAACAAACCTAAAATATCGAGTGGTACGAAGATAACAAAAAAACATGTTTTTGTTTAAGATTACTCAGTTTTTTGCGCGCTGAAATAACCTTAACGTAACAAACCGACTCCCAGGTGAGTTTTTTTTCGTAATGACCGCAGCGCAGATTAAATCAACGCCAAATAAATTCACAATAAAACTTTTCACGTCCCCAACGTTATTTTCTCATGGCCTTAAATATCAGGTAAGACAATCCATAAAAAAAATTCCCATCATTACGACGTAGGTACCTTTCCATTATTCATATCAAAGGGTTAACTTTTTTAGCATGGTGAAAAAGTTCCTCCTATAACCTTGAAATGGAGGATCTTTTTCAACGAGGGTTTCCTGTTGGCCCACCCTAAACGAAGCCCACCAATCGCGGCTAGGGATAGCAGGGGCATTTGCTAAATTCTTTCAATGGCAAACCCGCCCCATCGAGCTCTAACGGCACTTTTCGTAATTCGTGGTGCCATATTGTCAATCTACCAGCAAACTACGAGAAAGCAAATTTTTCGGTTGCATTTCGTAGAAAGGTCACTTGTTATTAGTGTCAAACATGTAAATATTTCAACAGTTTTTTTCTTTTATTATTCGTATTTCAGGCTCGTTTCGACGTAATCGTGTAACGACTCATTTCTTATGAGACGTACTGTACTCTGTCATTGTAATTGTTTAAGCTACACAACTATCGGTATTTGTCAAAAAAACTACAGGTAAGATCGAGTTAACTGAAACAAAAACTGTCTTGTTCTGGCATGGCGACTGTAGTGATGTACACTCCGCGACAGTATTTTTGTGAGCTCCGACCGCTTACATCGCTCCATAAGAAGTGGAACAATCAAAGACCGTCCTATTGTTTATTTGCGACACTTTTACAACAAATCAATTCAATCAACAACCACGTACAAATTATTAGCGAGATGTACTAATCAACTTGAAAGTGTATCTACGGTCGTAGGCGGACTATTAATTATCACTCAACTAACATTATTTTCTAAACCAAGGTCACGCAAATCTAGACATTTTCATAGTAGCAATGTAAATTATAAGTGTCTATAAACGATGATCGATCGACCCGCAACTGGAAATTTACATCGTTTTAATTTTACCGCTCATTTTTACCTTGACACTTAGAAAAGGCGCCAAAACACCTACTACACTTTGTAGCAAAATCCGCTTTACGTCAATAAAGTGACATTTGACTATTAAGTAGCTCAAAAGAACAAAATTGCAGCTCGTGCGATCACTTCATCGACATGCGTCGAATAATAAAACGCCACCGTATGAAAATAAACATAGTTTACATACACTGTAATCGATTATAATTTTTCCGTGATATTGACAACGTACCTATAGAAAACAATTATCGCTGTCAAAATCAACCATCACAATAAATAAAAATCTTGCCAATTATTTTTAAAACCTGCTCTATGTAGAAGGCGTTGACAAGTATTAAAACGCGTTTGACAGATGCATATAAACAAGATTATTATTTGTTGCAACATAATCTAGCGTTGATTTGTCGTCTTTTGGCAGCGCCAACAATAACTTACACTATAAACACGCAGATTATTGTTATTACGATCGTAGTGTTTCACAATTACACTGCAAAAATTTCGTCCTTGTTTTTTTTTTATTGAAATCGTGAAAAAATTAAATTTGTCTATTGCGAATTCGCATTGAAGCGGTCTTCGTTACGTAAAAAAAGCAACATTGCGCGGTTCGCTTAAATATCGTTTTGAAAAGACAAAAACTGCGATTTGATTAAAAATATTTACCATAAACCATACCTTGTCGACCGTGTTTATGTAACCGCTCAAAACTTATGACATAACGTGTACACCGCAAGCTTCGGTCGCTACTATGAAATCAGTCAGAGCCGTCTCGCATGAAAAACTGTCTTTTGGATTTTTTATCAATACGTTTTTTTGTAGCGCGCAGCAGCAACTCGTTGTGGACTAGTTTTTACCCCAAAATTTTTCAACCTTCGAAGCGAAAAAACTAAATTATCGATTTCAGACCGCTCCGAAATTGAAGTAGGAATTCCTCGTCGAAAAAAGTCACTCAAGAACTTGCTAGATATGGTGCAAGAAACGTCTTCTGTAATATAGTTGGAGGGAAAAAAACCTATTCCACTACGTACTCGACGAATATTAGTGAAGCCGGGACCGTATTATTTAAAATTGCTGATGTACACTCGGTGCCGCGAAACGTTACGCTCGACAATCGAAAGATTTTTTTCGCGAAGGAATGCACAAAAAAGATTGGGAGACGAAGGTGGAACTGTACGCGGATCTAAATGAGACGCGTTTTTGGATGTATGTACTTCTTAAATATGGTCAGATCAACGTCGACACGGTTAAATATTAAAAGTTGGCTAAAACTGCCGATATGCTAAGTCATGCTAACGCAAAAAGTCGTTGATCGGTGCTGTAATTTAATATTGTTGTCATTTTATAATTTTCTTCAAATTGGGGGAATTGAAAAGAGGTTAGATTTCATGTCCGCGATTCGGGCGTTAAACGTTTTTTTTTGTCACGTATTGATTCACACGTGACGGATGACGTTTGGGTAATACAGCAGACTAACAAAGAACTTTACAGGATCTGTCACAAATTACGCTTGTTATGACAACGTTTATTCTTAAATTTATGGTATAAATCATTAAATATGTTACATATTTTAAGTGTCAAAATCTATAGATTTGTAAATACAAAAAACTATAGGAAACGGGTCAATGAATATTAAACAAAAACGACAAAAACAACGTAAATCAAAACGAAAAAGTGGAGACAGACGTTCCCTGACAATAACTAAAACGTGCGAAATTTGTCCTCGTATTGCATCATTTCAAAAATCCAAAATGAGGTTACGTTTACTTTTTTGTCACTTATTTCTGGTAATTACCAAAAGTAAAATCAAAAATGTATGACTTAAAATTAAGAAATTTATTAATAAAGGGGACAAATTTAAAATGGCAACATGTAAATTGACAGATCATATTTTAATTTCACAGTGTGAAAGTTTCTCAAAAAATAAATATCAAAAGTAATTACATTTTTTGTACGATAGAACGGCAATAATTTACTAGAGATTTGGGCATTAGACGTCATAAATTTCGAGCCATGACGTCATATTTGGAAAGTAAAAATGTGCTAAAACATATGGTACATTTTTTACCACACTTTCAAATATTTTTCAGTATTTTTAATGTCCGCAATTTTAAGCTAAAAATGGTCACTATTTATTTACGTACTTTTGAAAATCGGACCGTGTTTCCCGAATTTTGGGCAATCTTGATTTAATCAACAAAATTACTAACCTTTTTAAATCTTACTCCTGTACAAACAGTAAAAACAAAATATACTTCTGAAGCTTAAGGCCAGTACACAACTTTCTTTATATAAGTAAACGGGAAGCTCTGTTTTAAAAATCAAAATCTCAATTATTTAAGGAAATTTCGGAACGCGGTTTTCAACACTGTTTTCAGCTCAAGAAATCTTTGTCGACTTTTTTTATTAGAAACGAGATAAAAAAGCGTTGTAGCAGCTGATAGACGCTTCTTTTTACGGTACCTCAGTTCCAACAAAGTCGAAAATATCTCTGGTACGATTGTAAACTGTAATCAGCGGTAGAAACCGCGTTCCAAAATTTTTTAAAATACTTGATGCAAAAATTTCAACAAAATTTAATAAATATTCTTTTCATTTTTTGCTGCGCTTTGCGTCTCTATGGCATTCGTAAAAACCAACCCAGCAGTTTCGGAGATTATCTGTCTAATAAAGTCGCTAACACACGTCAGACTCCAGATAGACGAAACAAGTACCGACTTTTTCACTTGCTAGAAACTATGAAATGTCGAGGAAAAATGAAATTAGCGTCACAATTGGTCAAAATTTAAGCGACTAGCGACGTCACCTACAGGTCAACTATTTACATGCCAAAACTTAAAAACAAATACGAAAACGGAACTAAAGTTTTTAAATTATGGAATCTATTTACATTTAAGTGTCACAAACTCCAATTCAAAGTCTGAATAACTAATTGGTTATATGCGCTGAAACATCCTACATATTTTAGAGTCATTATATTGCGTTAGTAAGAAGACATAATGTAGTTAAAATTGAGGAAACTAAAGTTGAGCGCTCAGCTCTGGTTTCCGACATTATTTGTTCTGATAATTAATTTAATTACACGTAAGTTTTTTGAACAAAAAAAATAATTATTTGAAAAATTCAAAAATGAACAAAATTTCTGAAGAAAAGGAGAACAAGTTGAGTTAATAGGAACCGAAGTATGCGGAAAGAAACGCATCATAAAACTGAAAAAGAGGTGAGACATATAATCAGAAGGTTATGATGCTGTCTCAAAGACAAAAAATATGTTTCGGTTAAACGAAAAGCACACTGGTTTGGACTGGTCAAGTGAAAGGATGTTGAGGAAGGATAAAGAAAAAGTTTGTATTTTTAGAATTAATGCGTTTTATTGCAACCCCGAAAAGAACTAGCGTTAATTCCGTAATACTTACAAATGCATAAGCGCCCAGTAAATTAGGTAATTACATAATACGCCCATAAGTTCAACAAAAATAAAAGAAACAGATATTTATTAAACAAGTATTGCAAAAAACCAGACTTTGCATTTTTATGCACGTATTATAAAACAGGTTAAAATTATTTAAATGAATTTTTTGTGTTTAAAAAACCGAATAAAAAGTGTAAACTTGTCAGCAGTGGAATAGGAATTCAAATACAAGACGGATAATCAAGCTATAACATTTGGAATCTAAATAAATTTATATGTTGTTTATTAAGTTCTAACAAAAATAGGTACATTTACAATTAATAATATCAACAGCGGAAGATGGAAATTTTCGCGCCAAAATTCTCAACACAAATCCAAAACAAACTTGTTCTATGCAAGTTAATAAATATTAAATTTCGTGACGTCAATGTCTCTGGAAAACTAGTTAGTAAAAACTCCATTCTACAAAAAAATCGTGGAAAAAAACGGAAAATGTATACCTTCGCTGGAGGAAAAAAAGTTACTACCGCAACAAGCCGAGAAAAAATGAGATCAAAACAGATTTTGTGTCATTAGGGTCAAGAATGACGCACGTAGCTCAAAAAACCTCAATGCATGTAAAATGCAAATTTAAAAGTTTCGGTTTATCGAAATAATGATGGTCCCGCTAAGTCTACGTGTTGGTTTTATTTACATGAATTAACAGTCTCCGAAATAAGCACGTTTTCGAAACGTCAGTCACTCCACACGTGAAAATCTAAGCTAAAAACGGAATTACTTGTGTTGTTGTGGTTCCTGCTCATGATCTTCTTGGGCAAGGACGGCGACGTCGAGTTCCTGTGGGCCACAGTCAAATTCGGTGTCGGCGTCGGGACGCACACTTTCGGCGACTGTCTGGCATTGGCACAATTTCCACCGGAAAGTATAGTCCCGGAAGCGGCACCGGCAGGCTCGGCACTGGCTCTGCCATCCTCGTTGTTACCCGTCGAGTCCATTTCACACACCATGTAAAATGCAGCGAGAAAATGCGGGAAATCGGAATGCGATCGGCGGTAGAGTGAGGTAGTTGTTGCAAGATTGCAACTTCTGAACCGTCCGAACCACAACTGCAGCAAACCTGGCGATTTTAGTTTATTTTTCTCCCTCTCCGATAGTACAGCGCGGCCCTCGTCCCCACTACGAACGGCGGCAGGGCACAAGGAGCCGCTCTGGGTGCAGGATCAGGGAAGCGGACAGGACGAGGGACGGCACCCTTTAATCCCATACCCACAAAACGGGCACCGAGGAACTAAAAACCGGGCCCTCAGTGACGCTACCACATATGGAATAATATTTTTTTCACCAAAACAACACTATAGCTTTTTTATACCTATACACTCATATATCCCAGTTAAGGAAACTGGTAGTTCCAACCCTAGTGAATTATTTCCAAATTTACACCAAACATAAAATTAATGTCATTTATTCGTGACGTAAACTTTAGCAATATTATAAAAATTAGCCCAGAGTTTACACAGTATTTCCCTCGCTCTTTGAAGCGTGACCAACACCTCGTGCATGTCAAGATATTTTTTACCAAAGATTTCCTGTCAACAAAATCGTTAAAACAAAACCTAGATCAATTTTTTCATAACGCGTCTCGTTATGTATTTTATCAGCTTTTAGCAACACCTAAATTTGTTTTGATCCGTAATATCGAAAGGTTAGTCAGTCCCCAGAGAATTAATTATTCATTCGACGTCATCATTATCACGAAGTAATTCTTTGATTGTCTTCTGTCATATCAAAATGAATACAATACAATAAATATGGGGAACGTTTCTGTCAAGACAACAACGAACGGAAAACGTTATCACCACAATCTTCAATAAGTTAATGTTACACAAACAGAATTTGAAAAATTTCGGTTCCATACTTTTACTCTACTCTGTATATATTTGTTTTTTCTAATCCAATTGAAAGATTTATTAAAGTTGCCTAAATCACTGGTAAAACAACATGTTATCCTTATATTCAAAAGCAAATTTTGAATACAATTTTATGGGACACTATAACAAGCTTCCTACAGTTTCAGAAAAATTACATGAGCAGTCAACAAAAAAATTGTTTTATGACTACTTTAAATAAAATGTTATAAAATAGTATATTTACTCTTGCAGTTGTGGTTTATGAATCCGTGATAGTTTTTACCCTTGACGTCCAAATTTTTGGGTAAAGAATCAAAATTGTTTAACAAAATTTAACTTTGTAAGTGGAAAACCAAAAGTTCGTTTTAAGGTTATAGCAAGCTTGATAAATCGTTAATGTAACTTTATCTTCCCCCTCCCCCCAAATAGATAACGTCATTACAATTTTTTAAAGAAGCGGGATTTATTAGAGTGTACTTCAGGGGTCAGGAAAGCGTAAGTTAAGGAAGTATGTACAGTCGAGTCTATCGGCCGACTTGCCGGTTTCATGCTTTCTCGATGTGTCATCAAGTCATGACCTCAAAGTACGAAAAATGTGGTCCCTATTTCCGTCTGTCTGTCTATCTGTCCGTCTGTTTGCCGAAACTATCAGACCGATTGTTATCAAATTTTCTATGTATATTAGAACTATCTGGAGATGGTAAAAATTTTAAATGGTAAGTTTGTTTTTATTTTGATAAATGAAGATTTTCCTGCACTTGTGGTATATGAATCCGTGTTGAATTTTCAGTCTAGACATCCAGATTTTTGGAAAACAAATCAAAACTGTGTAAGAACATTTTGCAATTTAACCTTAAAACTGCAAAACCGAATGTTCTCAAATCATGCAAACGTTTTAAGGTTATCCTAATCGTGGTAAATCGTTAATGAAAATTTATTTGTTTATCCCCTCCTAAAAACTTTATATCATCTCAAAATTTTCCCGAATAAATCTTCTCTGAAATATCCAAAATGTTATGACTGTACACTTGTAGTTCATGATCGTTTTCCGGGTTGGAACCGTGTAAATTGTGTTTTTGGGCTCAACTTTTCGCACACTTTCTGGTATGGTTGACATACTGAGTTACCGTGGTTTTTTGCCTTATTCTTAACCCTGCTCCAGAAGATGCCACTTACGAAAGTGTGCGAAACGTTGAGCCCAAAAACTCAATTTACATGGTTCCAACTCAGAAAACGATGATCATGTATTGATTCCAACCGTGCAAGCCTCCGAAATTACTTGTGTTTTATCGTAGTTTTACTTCCTGAGCGTAAGCGAATTGTAATCGAGTCCGTCGGCCGACTCTCTACCGTTTCCATATGTCTGTCCGTCTGTTTACCGTCCCGGATTTTTATTAGACTAATAATCTCCGAAAGTACTGGACCGATCATCCCCACCAATAATGTCAGTTCAAAACTGTACATAGTAAATGGGTTTTAAATTGTATAAAATAACATTTTGCAATTTAATTTTGAATCTGGAAAACTGAATGTTTTGAAATCTTGCAGATGTTTTAAAGTTATGATAAGCATGATAAATTTTGAATCAAAATGTATTGGCTCATCTCCTCCAAAAAATTGATGACGGCAGCCCAAAATTTTGCTGAATATAAATGTTCACAATATGATGAATCTATACTTGTAATTTATCACTGCATTCATATTTTTTAGATTTGGTTATACAGAGTGACTCAAAAAAAATGAATGAATCAGTCAATTTATTTTATTGAATAAATCAAGAATTGCAAAATTGAATACTTTGAAATCTTGCAGACGTTTTAAAGTTATTGTAAGCATGGTAAATTGTTAATCAAAATATATCTATTCCCTACAAAAAATTAATGACGTCATCTCAAAATTTTGCCGAATAAATTCAAATTTTCAAAATGTGCAAAATGTAATGAGTTTTTACTTGTGATTTGCTTTAACAGGTGGCTCAAAAAATTAATGAATGAGTCAATTTATTTTATTGATTAAATCAGGAACGGCTCACTCCATTTTCTCAGAAAATTTTAGGAATATAATACTGTTATTTTTGGTACTACACTGCACCAATCCAAGTTGATATACGTGTCAGTTAATTTTAGATCCCCTGGTGTTTTATTTTCGGATAAGTTTAAAGAAATCTGGTGTTTTCTTGCTAGATGAACCTGAAAAAACCTTTTGAGCTATCAGTGTTTTATTTTTTACGAATTTGAAAAAGTCTTGAGTGCCGCAGAATTTGAGTACGCATGGTGTATTATTTTGGGAGCCCATGAAGCTTTTTTTTGTAAATTGTTTAAAAACATTTTAGGGGACTTTGGTATTATATTTTTGGACCTGTTTTTGAGTCAATTTTGGGACCCCGTTTTTTTTTTTGAAAAATTTAAAAAATGTAAAAATCTTGAGGTTCTAGGCATTCCTGTCTGGAAAGAATTTGAAAGTGCTTTGGAGCCTCTAGCGTGTTTTCTTACAATAATTTAATTACATTTTTAAGGATACGTCATTTAAGTCATATCTCATTTGCCAAAATCAGTCTCATCTTAGCAGGTATTCGCCCCGCCCACCACCCACCCTCTCTTTTCTAATAGGGTAGGTCATTTGCCAAAATCGGTCTTATTTTAGCAACTACTAGCCCCACCCACCCACCCTCTCTTTTTTTAGAAGGTATGCCATTTGCCCAAATTAGTGCTATCTTAACTGGTACTAGCCCCGCCCACCCGCCCTCTCTTTTTTTCAGAAGGTATCTCATTTGCCAAAATCAGTCTTTTCTTAGCAGGTGCTAGCCCCGCCCACCCACCCTCTATTTTCTTAGAGGGTATGTAATTTGCCACAATCAGTCTTATCTTAGCAAATACTAGCTAAGATAAAACTGAGTTTGGTAAATGACATACTGCTTAAAAAAATAAAGGGTAGGTGGGTGACACTAACATTCGCTAAGATAAGACTGATTGTGGCAAATGACATACCTTCTAAGAAAATAGAGGGCGGGTGGGCGGAGCTGGTACTTGATAAGATAAGACTGATTTTGGTAAATGACATCCTCTAAGAAAATAAAGACCGGTTGGGCGGCACTAAAACTTGCCGCGATAAAACTGAACAATATTAAGAGTAGTCACTGGAATGAAGTGGGGGTGGATGGGCGGGGCTACTGTTTGCTCATAAAACTAGAAAAAAGCTAAACTTAGCTTACTTTTACAAAAAATGATCAAAATTTTTTAATGAAAGACGCAAAAATCGAACTTTTTTTCAAAAATAACACGATTTAAACCATATTTCTGTCAATACAAATTTCGTTTAAAGATATCTGTTATAACATCATCACACCTCTAGAATAATTAGACAAATTTTAGTCGATGTGCTGTAATCAACAAATCACGCTTAATATAACGTTTACCTCCACAACACCGAAAACAACCAAAATGTTTGGCGTACAAACAAATTTTGTGCCATCTGCACGTCAAATTTTTCCGTAATTATCCACTAATAAAATCTGCCTAGTAAAATCGTCAACAGACAGACAAACGGAAACGACGGACCAACATTTTCGAACCCTCCAATAGAAAATATGAAACGAGAATACAAAACGAGAAGAAAACATGAGATACTACACTGTTTACATCAGATATTTAATCAACATAGTAATTATGTATTTATATATAATTTTATTGGATATTTACTAGAAACTATTATTCAAAAAACATATTCAGATTACAATATTATTTAATGATAGTAAGTAAAAATCGACACAGACGACGGGGACCTACTTTTCCGTATTCTAGGCATCATGAAACCTTGAAAAAACATAAAGGTTTGTCAGATGAACCCTATAGCAAAAAAAAAGAAATTAGAAATGACAATGACTTTAAAACTCGACAACGGTACCTAACATTTATGGAAAAAATATAAAGAAAAAATATATTACAAATTCAATGATTTCCAATATTTTTTACTAAAATTGCTTAAAACAATTAAAAAATTGGTACTGGGATAATTTATTCAGTGTTGATATAATTCTTTTAGATAAACAACAGATTATGATTAGGGGTTAGTCTGGCAGCATACAATAATTTAGTACACACTCAGAACGTTATTTTTGTTTCAACTGAAAATTTATGAGAGTACATCCAAATTTTAAAAATACGTCCCTAGGACGACACACAGCCGCCTTTAACTTCACAGCGTAATACAGTTTTTGTACATACAAAAATAACGTTCTGAGTATAAAAAAGATACACAATTTCGTTGGCATAGGTAACCCAAAAATCTATTTTTTAGATAAAGTCGTGGTTGTAAATTAGTTTTTTAAGTTTTCAACAACTGTTATACGTTGTACATTCAGCATATTGTCACAAAAGAAGTCGGTCACCTCGTTGTCAACTTTCGCAGGGGCTTAGCTGGTGCTTCTGAAAGGAAAACTGGCTAGGTCAGCTCAAAAAAGCAAGGTGAGTTGGGTAAAGCATCCGAGGAGGGAAGTCAGTTTTCGTAAAGTACGAGGCGAAGACGAGTAATGACCGCAACGACTAGTAAGGAATGATCTGCGGAGTACCCTATTGTAAAATTGCCTTTTATTTCTTGTAAATATAGTTTAAAATATTGTAACAAACAGTAGTTTAGCAAACGAAATTAAAAAATTAGTTCTGAGCGAATAGTCTGATCATGTTGACTCAACTTAGCACCAAATGGGTTATTTCAGAGTAGTGGTGATTAAACTCATTAAACGTTCAGATAAAACGTGACCAGTTTTATAATTCAAAATTTTCCATGATTATCGTGTTAATTAATATCTATATGAGTAATAACATGTGATCTAAATTACTCCGCTTTCAGTAAAATTCTTGTAGAAGGATATTTATTTACATATGTCTGTTTACTGTTCATATTTGTGAAGCGATCAAAAATATAGTGGAAATAATTAGCCAAAATTTAAGTTTCCCGTTATTCACAATAAACAAAAACAACAATGCAGGCTTTACGTCAAAACACTCTACATCTGATTGATACGTTAAAATTACATGTGAGGTAAAAAATTAACAACATGTAGGTAACGGTTACGTTTTTAGCGGCAGTTTTTTCTCAATTTTACTGAACAAGACCTACTAAACCGCCAAAAGCAGAGTTTTATGAGCGTTAAATTTTGATTTCAACACGACGTTATTATAATACACTCTTATAAAATTTGTTAAAAAATAAATTGGTAACGGCTAAACTAGAGTGTAGACTACCGACCCAAATTAACATTCTTTATTCCGTCGCTTGATTAAAAAATCCTTCACCATTTATTTCGTGCATATTTGCATTTGATATTGGTACAAATTGTGTTTTACGTTGCAACTTGGCGACATGACTTTTTTGCCAAAAGCTAATTATGCTAATATAATCGCTCGAAAACATACTTAAATTAATTAAGCTGATATTTTGGCAGGTGAGTGGGAGATTTGCATCATTTAGAGGGAGTGCATGCACTTTTTGTGCAGTTTTTTCTTATTTTAATTAAATTATATTTCTGTTTATCAAACAAAAATTACTAATTATGGAATCAATTAATAAAGAATGACAAAAATTGCAAATGTCAAAATCTGGAAGTCGTTTCATTTTTCATGGATGTGAAAATATAGAAAAACAAACATTGCGAAACTCTATATTAATAATTTATATAAATTAACGTAAGAACGTTACGCATTTTCTATTTTTATTTAACGTATATGTTTACTTCATTATCAACTTTAATTTAAAATTGAAATTTGTTTGATGCAATTTCTTGCTAGTTATTCTAGTACGATTATTCAGAAATAGCAATTCGAGCATGGAAACGGTTAGCCATTTTTTTACTCACCCTTCATACATGTCGGCTTGTCTAGGGTAAGTTATGCAGAGGGGTGAGATAATAGATAATTCTAATTTAAACGGTTAAGATTCAAAGATAAAACAATAAAAATGCGCGAAATAATTTTAGTAGTTTTACACAGTTTGATTGCTGCAAAATCGCGGTTTTAAAAAGTAAAGAAGGACACTTATGTCATACAGCTGATTTTTTATCACAAAATGACGTTTCAGTGAATTAGTTACACACTTTCTATTTTTTGGCATCCTTAATCTCTGCGCTTGCGCAAATTTAACAAACTGTTTTTATTTGCACAAATTTTAAATTCACAAACTTTCTTTTATCAAAATGCGTCTTGTATAGTCGAAACATCCGTTGAACTCTCAACTCAAATAAAACAAAAAATATTGCCCAACAGTCTGTTTGTCATTAACTAAAATGGATTTACTTCCTTTCTTCAGGTAGTGTTTGAATCATAAATTCAATAGTAGTCGGACGCGTCTATTACCCACCCTATAACGAAAGCAAGGGTCAATACACTAAAGAATGGATCTCATACGAAATCATAAAATGACCGGTTAAGTTCCCCCTCGTATGTAAATTGAAAAGAAAAAACTTCTCTCCCTGTCTTCTCCGCGCTCCAAGATTATACCTGTGCCTTGTCCAGTGCCAGCGCAGGCGATTTTTTGTTACCATTCACCACAGCTTTATTTTACCATGTCTAAAGGGTTAACTAAAAAAAAGACAAAAAAGTCATTTTATATTTGGTGAGAGAGAACAAGCCGCTTAATATATTCGGGGATGCGCCTAGTTAATAATTTTTTTCCGGCATTCTCATGCCTTCGCTTTTTTCAGTGGGAATGGTTTTTTGTCAGCAGGACCCGCTCAAACAATAGATAACTTGACGTTTACATACGAAACAATGTAGGGTAATTAAAAATAACAAACAACTGGAAGAACATGCGACTTATACCTTTGTCACGTAATCAAATATTACGATTTTTAAAAATTAATGAAACTAATATTGTTGCTATATTTTGCATTATTAATTTATTACAGTGACAAACTTACTCTTGGAAAAGTCTCAGTTTAAATAAATATCTAAATGTTAATACGTGTTGTGATACACTGTTCATAGCATTTTCGGGTCGCTTGTTGCTAATTTAGCGCCAATATGGCAACCGCGCCGGTAAAATTCGTGCGTGTATAACTGGTTGCCTATACAAACCCGTGCGCGTAAAGGATGTCCAAAACCCGTATACGATTATTGATTACTGTGCTTCCACTTAGTTCTTTCTCGTTGATTCCAGTTATTTAATTTTCTGATAGTTGAATACATTAGAGTATTGTTGCAGTTATAGGGTATCAACATTTTAGTCACGTGGTGTGAATATTTTACAATAAACTCCGTTATAATTACGTTATCGTTACTCGGCTATCACGATTTACAACTACTCTTTTTGTTTTAGTTCAATCTACCACGATAAAATTTTAATTTAGTCGCAGGTTGGTGTCATTACGTTTAATAAATATTTTTAATCGATTCATGAAATTAAATAAAATTGAAAATAACCTAGTGTTAATGGATAAATTATCTCGCGAGTTTCACTTTTTTAAAGTGTCATTCCTCTCGAAGATATTGAAGCGCACGCTTTTTTCTATAATGAAAGCTATAATTAAAGCATAAGTAAACAGGTGTGGGTTTTTATACGATTAAAAAACGTACTGTTTTTGTATTTTCACATATTTGTTTTTATATTATTGTTGTAGTAACATTTCATTTTACATTTTTCATATTACAGTTGTGACTTTATGTCAGGGTTAGTAAGTGGCTAATGAGTCGTGTAGTTTCCATTTTGTTTTCAATGCCACTACATCATTAGCTACGTAATTGACTACGTCTACAAAATTTCTTTGTAGTAATAAAAATATACGCAACATTTTGATAATTTGTTTATTACCCAGAACAGCTACAGAAGTGATACAAAACATTGGCTTAAAATAATGGAAACGGGAGCTAGTTTTTCATACGCTCGGGAAGTACACAAACGACTAGTTTTAACTAACAAAACTAAAAAATAAAAATAAAAATAAAAATAAAAAACAAAGTGTTTTAAATAAATATCAACACAAAATAAAAGTAATAAGTAACTTAAAATCTAAAAAAATGAAAAGAAATTAGGGATTTTGTATTAATTACATGTAAAAACTACTCACTGATGATAGTAGTACCACGCGTCATGTCATAATTTTTACACATAATTTTACAAACCTTGTTATCCTACTATCTTATAATAATAAGACTTTATTGCCCAACAGATTATTATCCAATGACAGGACAATATATTATAATTAAATTAAGATACAATTCAAAGAAAAGAAAAAAAAATATACATATACATCTTATGTCTAACTTATGTGATGTGTTGGACTTCGGTGGGCGAACGTAGATGAAACCGGCTGTGGTTAGAGCTTCGGTTGTGCGTAATTTCTTTAGACTCGGGAGGAGACGTTTGCACATGCGGTAAGGTGCGTCGGTGAGTCCGGTCCTGGAGATTTTGACAGCGCATGTCACGCATGTCCGTTATAACTTTCAGTTTCATTTCAACAAATTCACATGACATTGCAGTATAACTATTACGTTTTATAAATTTAAGTTAAATAAAATCGAAATAATGAAAGTACAAATTACAATATGATCCTTAGCTATTATGAGTCGGCCCGATGTGGATGAAGTGCTTAACTATTTATCCATAAAGTTCAACAAAATATTTTGTGATCGTGATTTCGTCTGTTGTGTAATTGAAGACTTCCAGAGGATATTTGACAACAAGACCAAAATTTGGTGAGTGGTTTAGCCGAGGCACTAAAGTAAAAAATTGTCCAAAAATGATCACAACCGTTGTTCTTTAACATGCGGAAAAGGAATGTAATGCAGAGAAAGAGAAAGTTCAGTTGTGATCTCACCAGTTATGTAAAACTTTTGATTTTACTTTCATTTACTTTCAGTGTCCTCGTGTTTCCAACGTTGGGGCCAATCTATCTTAAAGCTCTTCGCTACCAAGCGAGGATATTTGATTTAGCAGTCTTCAACCTCGCCTCACCTTCAGGCAAGTTCAAATCAGTCGCAGTATGCCACAAGGATCACTTGTAAGTCGCCAAACCAGCTAAAATCAAGTGTAAAGTCGTTCTTTTTCAGAAAAAAAACTAAAGAAGAAACCATGGCAGAATCGGGCTCTAAGCGAAAACGCCCCGAAAGGCAGCTGTATGTACCTCCGGCACAAAGAGCATCACGACTTTTAACCAAACAGTGCGAGAAAAAAGTGACGGATAAAGTGCAAGACAAAAGTGTTAAATGCCAAGAGAGTTTAAGTGATTCGTGTTCTAGTGTTTTAAGTCTGAGTGATTTTGTGAATCTGGTTTATTTTTTTAATGCTCTGCCATGTGAATTCCGAAGCTTATCCAAGATCTGTAACCAGCATCATAATTGTGAATTTCGCAAGTTTTTGAATTTTAAAAAATACGACGCTGCGTTAAAAGCTGAGAATTTTATCAAAATTTATGATAATTTCGTGTTACTTGGTAATGTGTGGTGGAGATTAAGTGAATTGCAGTGGTCTCAATCTGACAGACAATTTAAATCATATCCAATTTATGATTTGGACTATCCTCAGATTGCTGCTGATAAACCACCAGTAAGCTACAATTTCAACTTATTCTTTTATTAATTGTGACGTTTTCAGGCAGTTTTAGTAAATCATGACTTGAATGATTTTCAAAAATTAGTCTCTCAGTCGGATGAGCATGAAAATAGTTTGTATAAAATAGAGTGTGATATAGTTTGTGATGAGTTAGAAAATTGCCACATAGTAGATCTTTCAGTGATAGAATTAGGACATTTGTTCATCATTTCGATACAAGATGGTGAATACCTTCATGAGTGCCAAGAAAAACATGATGCAACCACTTGTGTAAGTATTCTAAACTTACCATTAGTTCGAAAGAATGTAAAATTTATTACACTTGTGTCGGACACGTGCTTGCATTCACTATGTTAGTTATTACCATTTTAGTGCTTTTGTTTACCTTAACAGAAGCGAATTGTTCCCCATTAAGCACTAATAACGTCTAAATCACTATTAAAACACTAAAAACGACATTTTTGTGTCAAGTGATTAACTGCAAAATAATTACTAATGACATATCAAATGTCAATTTAAGACACAGCTATCTATGTTTAATATATTTCAAAATTAAATGTTGTCCAATCACGTGGACGTAAAAAGGGCGCTAAATTTAACTCGCTCAACCGTAAACGCATTCCAGTATGCAATTTAGTGCAGAGAGCGGCTCTTAAATGCCAATTTACCGTCCAATTCGCTCTTTCAGCGATAAGTGGTTTAATGCACTCACTTGTATTCAAATAATTAACTCAAGTTTCCATCCATTCTAACTGGATTCCCAATAAATTAATTACTTTTTCATTGAAAGTATTTCCGCATTTAAAAAACGCACTCAAATTCCGCAGTAATAGGATAATGATAGCGTGTGAGTCTCGACGACAAAGAAATTTAAATTTTGAAAGTTGAACATAAACACAGTAATTAATTTGTTCGTTTTCATTTAATTTGTTTAAACGGAAATTCTCAGCGTTTGAAATTTCGTGCAATTTGTGTTATTATTTCCTTAGTTTTTTACAAATGTCGTGTTGTGTGGTGTCGCTCTATAGTTACTTTCACTTGTGGTTAAATTCTACGGTAGTTTACAAATTGCTAATTATATTAACCAACGTTTATATCATACAAATACAATCTTATGCAATTATAGCACGCATGTTGCGTAAGTGACATTGAATTGATTTTTCTTTTTATCGATTTTTTTGAGAGTCAGCAGCGGAAAACAACTATAGCAGAGACCGCTAACCTCAATGTTGCGTCATTGTTTAAAATTTTTTGCAATATTAATATTTATAAACCGACAATTTCGTTAAACATCCACCCATAGAATGTAATTTTAATTCGTATACTTTCTATAATTTTCTTATTTGTGAATAAATAGCGAAGAAAGTCAGCGGTTTTTATAACAAATACAAATCAAATGGTGATGAAATCGATTTTTGCGGATAATGTTAATATTTTTACATTAAAAATATACAAATAGTTGAAAGAGACAGTTGGTTAGCGAAATTTTTTAGTGTCCTGACTCTGTCACTCCGTTTGTTTCACAGTTTTTAAATTCAAAGTCACTTGGCGTCAGTTCAACAAAAGCTATTATGTTGGTCATACTGTCGCACACGTGACGATTATGACATTGTTTTGACGTCTTTTATGTAAATTAACACCATACCAACCTACGAACGACACTATTGACAAAAGATACTGAATCAGTGTTTCTATTTTTTTATTCCTGTGATTAAATTGTAAGGAAAATCATCGCACGTTAACATACTATAAAATATACCGTAACACAAGTAACGTTACACACTGTCATCACAGTGGCGTGCGTTTTCCGCCTTGTCGAAATAAAGATTATAATCAAAATGTCAAAATGACATGACATAGAGTAAAAAAAGTAAACTAAGAGATGTTGTAACATGTAGATTAATAGTGCGCCTATAGCGTTTGCGTAATCTACTAAATTTTGTACAAAAAACTAGGAGTTTACTGATTGCGTTAATCTTTATATCATTTGTAAGTGATTAATCTTCAGCAGCAACTTCAAGCGATGCCATTGACCCAAAATGTCGGTCATAGAACGGTAGTGATTGAAACATAGTTTCACTTTCAAAACACTTCTACAATGTTAATAAATAATATTTAAACGGGAAGTTCGCAGATGAAAGGAAATAGTAAATTTTTGATAGTTTTCTATTTTAATACTTAAATAAAAAAAAAATTGCCACCTGTCGTTGCATTTAATGCCGTTTTGTTGCCGGCTATTTCAAAAATGCAAAGAAACCAGGAAGTTTGTTCATAGCAGTCAACATTTTTCCTGTTTCTATAAATGTGTTTGGAATTCAATATAGTATAATTGTCGGATCATTAAATTGATTCAAGGTTTTCAAGTGTCTTTTTGTGTTAGCTGCATTCTTTCTTACAAAGGAAATAAAAACAATATATTTTGAATTCTCGATGCTTTCCGCAGTAATTTAGATGCTCGAAACTAATAAATTACGGTATTTAGACAACATGAAACTGATACGCAACTAGGGTATAATTAATTTTAATTAGTTCGTTGGTCTTTGTATGATTAGCATAAATTCATAACATGAAAGTTACGCTGTATTTGTTTGTTTATCATTTTGGTAACAGTGGGTGCCCGATGCAGAACTAATGTTTACAACTAAAGTTATAATGTTATTAATGACTAGTGGTACCCAGTTGAGCATCAATTGTGATATGAAAAATCTTGTAATTTTGCCGTTATTATACAACCAAATTTATATATAGTACGATTTCTATAACAAGTATCAAAATTTTCGTCGTATCTCTATAGATGGCGCTTTAATTTTTCGTTTGTTTTGTTTCAGTGCAAAAACTTTAGAAACCAGTTAGAGATTAGTGCGAAATTAGAAAAAACTGTCAGTGCAATACCGATTGAAAATGAGGCACAAAAAGTCGAAATAGTAGAAACAAAAGCAACTGAAAATGAAACGAACGGCACGATAAACACAAATGGAACGAACGAAACCCCGAAAACTAATAAAGAAATAGTAAAAAATCAAATAAATAAAAAGAAAAAGAAAGTATCGGATAATCAACACGAACAAGAGAAGGAGATTATGAGGATGACGAAGGAATACATCAATAGGAGAACGAGACCTATAATGAAATATGTGGATGATTCGAACGATACGTTACGAATCGATAAAGACGACAGTGTGAATAATTGGGAAGATCTGTTTGATGATAACGGAGAAATTCAGGAAAATTTATTAACAGAAGTATATATCATTGACTAAGTAAAAGTAGAATAAAGACATTAAATAACCGGAAGCTTCCGTCGTGTGAATAACAATGGAAATTTATACAGGTTCTTTTTTTTTAGATCGTGGATAAGGTTGGAGATGACATAACAATAGTGAAAGCGAGCGAAGACTACACCGCGTATACAAATAAGCCTCCAGAAGATTTGGAACATATTGTTGAACTTTATAATTTTCCACCTACCTTAGAAACACACGATTTAGTTCAAGCTTTTAGTAACATCAATAGTGATGCTATGTACATAAAATGGGTCGATGATACCCATGCCCTACTAGTTTTAGGTTCATTAACCCAAGGTATTAATAAAAATTTAGAAAAACTTGAATCAATAGTATTTGTTGTAGCTCAAAAAGCTATTAATATGAGAAATCCACTCATCAAAGTTCGTCCAATGACAGCTGCAAGCGCCATATCAATGGATGTAGCAAATAAGTCAGACTTAAAACCAGCCATGAAACGTCCGCCAACTAACTTACAGACTGCTAGGAGATTAATTACTACACATTTAGGTACAAAAAGCAAAATAACGAAGGAACAGATGGCGAAAGAAAAACAGGACTTAAAAAACGCGAGAGGTGAGTTGGGTACCTGGAAACCTATATAAGTACAAATTGTCTTTTCTTTCAGAAATGAAGAGATTGCTCAAACAAAACGAGAAGGATGCCTGGGAAGGTAATTTGCGATCTTCAGTCAACTAATCTTATAATTGTGATTCGTGCCTTATGAATGTACCTAGATTTAATCAATTTTTTGATTTTATTATTGTGTGTAAATTTAGTCATTTTTAGCAAGTGTTGCTTGTGAATTCATTTTTGTGAATTGTTTACATGTTCTAGTTACCAGATCATAACAAACGAGTTTTATATACATATCTATATTTTTTACAGATCATTATTTTATACTATTGTCTATTTATTATGTATAGCTTTAGCTGTCATTTTTCTTGGAGATAATTTTATTATGAATATTAATTGTTGTGACTTCCTATGTACAATGTAACAAATGATGTTTAGGAAGTGACCTTAATATTTTATTTTTGTGATATTTATAAATTCGATTTATACAGATACTATCTATACACGTTTGTCAACATCTCAGGAGCATAATTTTTATTATGTATTCTTTCATAGTTGAATATATTTTACTTAACGTGAGTGAATAAAACAGTGTATTCTTGAGTTTTTGCTTTAAAGTACCACCATCACCCGTACACAACTGTTTACTAATTGCTAGTACCGTACTGACGAAATATTTCAAAATTTATGCAAATAATTGTGAGAAACTGATCGAATTTGTATTAATAAATAGGTTCTTGAGCCAAAAGGTGCAATCGATATTAATAATTTGCATACACTGTAGGTGGCAGCACAATTAATCGTATTCAAATATGTAATTGTTTATTTGTCCACACGTGGGTTCTAGTTGTATAGTTTTCTTTATTATCAAAGAATCGTTCTAAGTCAGACTGATAAGTTCTTTTCATAAACAATTATGTGAAATCTGTAATTATAATTACGCTGGCATTTGCCACTGACCCGTTAAATATGTGATAATGCTGATAAATAAAGTACATCAAAACACTTTATATATTTTTGTTGCTCAATGACAAAAAAAAAATATAAAAACACCTAATTACGTCTGTAGGTTTTTTGTCCTTATGGGTCTTTTGGTCACTTGCGCAGAACTGAACGTTTTTAAGAACGCGACTACGCCACCGATGTTCCCATATCGATTTAAATCATTTCCGTGCAACACTTGAAAAGATTTGCATACTATATAGTTATTAAAAACAAAGTCTAAAATGAGCGTGGATCAGTACTAGTAACTAAACGGAAGTGTAAACTTTCTCCAAACCTAATCAAACTTCCCTACAAGACAAAGAACATTTAAATTGTCATGACATTCTATAAAAAAGCGCAAAATTAAAAAACCTGACAGTAGTTGCTTGAGTACAGCGCTTTCATCAAAAAACCGCTTGCCGTGGCGGAACTAAAGTTACTTTTTTTGTTTAGCAAAGTGGACAATTTTGTTTTTCTCCACGCTATTTTTATTCGCTAAAAACATCTAATTTTCAGAAGAATGTTTCATCAGACCTGCATTCTGTGAAACCTTCAATTATTACAAACGGTAAATACGGCAAGTGGCAATATAACAGTGCTAAATAATGAAGGTCATTTGTTTTATTTCAAGAAAACAACCCATTTTAAGTGCTAATGACAATAATTTGTAGACGGTCAGGCTTTGTTTGTAGTTTTATTTAAGTAATTTTAAATTTGGGTGAACTTCAAACAAAAAAAAATACTTCCCTGGCGGTGTTGCAAGTTCGTGAAATACGCAAATGCAAGTTTTATGCGTATTTTGAAAGCGACAACTTTTGAAATCTTGTTGTATAGATCTGTTATTTGTTTGACGTGTATTGTGTGTTGCCTAATCAATAGATGCTAGCGATATAAATACATTGATCCTTGAAGCAACAAGTAACTAATATCCTGACACTAGACACATGGTTTGTTGTTATTTCTAAGTATATTATCATCCGTGGTATTTTCCCGAGGGATTTTCCCATCGTTTCAGCACATGTTTGTAGCCACTGGTCATCGCAAAACAACAAATACTGACAACCTTGAAAATCGAAAGGAAAGGAAAGAGAATTTAGATCAATCTTTACAGTTTGTGGTGAGGTTGTGGTTGCGAAACGCCTATCAATCGAAAGCACATAAATTTCCTTGCACACAAACGCAAATTTAACGAAAGAAACCGTCAAAATCTCGCGAAAAATGTCCCAAGCCGGTCGTGTTGTTGTTTACGGTGGTCGCGGGGCCCTCGGCTCTAAATGTGTCTCTGCCCTTAAAGCCAACAATTTCGTAAGTGTTAATATCAATTTTTATAAATAAAACTGATAATTTTTTATTAATAATTACAAGTGGGTCGGCTCGATTGACCTCAACGAGAACCCAGAAGCCGACTTAAACATTGTTTTGGAGAAGGATTCAGACTTGGTGCAACAGGTTTGTTTGCATTAATTATTTGTAACTTTGTGTGTACTATTGGAATTTGTGCAGGAAGGCACAGTTTTGGATAAAATTAAATCGGCGTTAGAAGGGTCGAAATTGGATGCTGTCATTTGCGTAGCTGGAGGGTGGGCCGGGGGAAATGCAGCGAAAGGTGAGACAATCCGACAATTAATTCACCAGATTCTGGTAATAAAGCACAAAAAATTTGATCCAGATTAGAAATCTTATATTTGTGAAATAAAATACATATTTTTTCTAATTAAAAGTTGTGCAACTTATAATGTAATAAAATAAGTAAACCACGGTCAAACAGTTTTGACAGTCGCTTTCACGTGACGTCACGTCAGACATAACCTCAATTTGGCGACAAATCAAACTTCTGAGCAGAGATTGACGTTTGACCGTTTTTCAATTAAATTTTGCTTTTATTGGAATAACAAGACAGTTGTTTGAGAAATTTTTGACCAAAGTTTAAAATGTATACTTTATACGTAGACATTTTTCTTTACTCCAGACTTAATAAAAAATTCCGACCTAATGTGGCGCCAAAGCATTTGGAGTTCTTTGATCAGTGCTTCTATCGCTGCTCAGCACCTCAAAACCGGGGGTGTTGTGACCCTCACTGGTGCCAAAGCAGCTTTAGAAGGAACTCCCGGCATGATTGGGTATGGAATGGCCAAAAGTGCAGTCCATCATTTGACTAAGTCGCTGGCGGGAGCCGATAGCGGTTTGCCTGAAAACTCTTTGGTTGTGGCTATTTTGCCCATCACTTTAGATACCCCCATGAATCGAAAATGGATGCCTAAAGCAGATTTTACGACTTGGACTCCCCTCGAGTTTATAGCCGAGTAAGTAACGAGTAATCATTTATTTATGGCTTAATGGGGATTCCTAGGCTTTTCGTGGAATGGATCCGTGGGAAAAATCGACCCGAAAGTGGAAGTCTTCTGCAATTGGTTACTAAGAATTCGAATACTGACGTCATTCCCGTGCATAAATATTAAGGAGATTGGGATCAACGTTACGGACCAAAGCTAAATCATTTTTGTGTTACTTTTGAATATAGTTTATTGTTAAAACCGCAGATCTGAATAAAGCAAATCAAGTTGATTGCATTTTTAATGGGTGATTAATAACAATGACGAGTTTGTTGAAAAATATTTAATTTTTTTACATACAAATTTTATATTAAATAAGTATGGAAAAAAAGGTTAGAATTAGACTCTCTCTCTAGCCGAATTCTAACAATGTGTTGTCATTAAAGAGTCAATGTAAAAAATAAAAATTGCAGTGTTGACTCATCAATGGGTTTCACATCACTATGCAAGAAAAATCTGCATTTATCTAATATCAAAAATGCGTAGTCAACCATTTACTAGGGCTAAGGCCGTTAAAATAGTGCCATGTGTATGACAGTTTTTCTCCCGTCAAATTTAGCCCCCCATTCTGCGTCGTCCGACTCCCATATTATTTACATTATTAACGTAGGCTTGGTTGCCTACCTTCACACGCTGTTTTAAGTATGACTAGCCACTTCAAAAATCAAACTTTAAAATACAAAATAAAAACACCAGTGAGTCAGCATTCATGTACAGTCTGCACAATACCGTTTTTTGAGAGTGCAAGTTTGCAATTCGAGCCAGGTACGAATGTCGCAATTCATACGATTTAGAAACGAGTATTTTGTGCGACTTGTACACAACACTTGCGTAATAAATTTAGGCACTATAGACGTTAACTAGTCATACCAAAAACGCTTTAATAGTTTTTACCGTCGACGAGCCCAAGGTGATTTTTTTTAAGTGGAGCTTGGTTAGGTGGTAACACAATTCTTGGGCTAGTGACAGGAATTGTTGGAGGTTAACGAAAAATGGGGGTTCATGCCACATCAAAATAGAAAATATGAAAACATGCAAAAATTCATACAAAATATAATAAATTTGAGGGATTTTTACACATGGCAATGCTCTAACCGCGTTGGCCCCGGCATATTTATGACTACAAAAATGTATAAAAAATTTAAGGTTTTTTTGATTTTGTAAATACAACGGCTGGTCAGTTTCTTTTTGATAATACTTAAAAAATTACAAAAACAGTTACAATACTACACATTTGCACAAAATACAGCACTATACATTAAAAACAATTTAACACAAAGTCAGTGCAAGTAAAATAAGTGTTCACGGCTATTTTTTAAGATAAAATTAGTTAAAGCTTAAATGGTGCAAAATAACATTGTGAGATAAAATAATAATCCATGACCCTATTATTATATACAAAATGAATTAACTTATTCAGGCCCCGTAAAATATTCAGGTCTACTGATGGAATAGGAAGTACAAGTCATTAAAATAGAAAATAAAATAAAAGAGGAAATCAGAAGTTTAAAATTTACAATGTACTATAAATTATTCTAGAATAATTTAAAATGCAGAATGATTTTGACATGTTATTTTACATTATCTAAAAGCGTCTGATACTTTTAAGTACCTAATCTATCTACATAAAACCTCACCAGTAAATAAGGCTTTACGACGGTTCTAAATCACAGTAATAAATACAAGAAAACAATCTCCTGGAAATTAGTACCAAACGCTCTCCCAAAACTTAAACTAAATTTACATCGTTTGATATTTACCATTTTCTTTTACAACTCAGCTTTATAAAAATATGTCAAAAGAGAATCAAAAACAAGTACTATTCACTCTAAATAAATGCTGGAAAATGCTAAAAAGTGGAAATAATTACCTAGGTCACAATAACAAATAGGTTTATAAAAATTTGTACTATTTTATAAAATTCTGTAATAAACTATGAAATCTTGGCGTTGCTGTTATTTGAAACATAAAAATCACAACCTACTCACTTAATATTGCAACAGATATTAGGGACATTATAAAATGGGGGGAGGAGTGGTATTCCTGCAAATTAAATGTCAATCCTCGGTCGGTATTGTAAAGTCAATGGGGGATTCTGAAATCTCCATCGTGTTACATAAACAAATTTTAAAGTATGATCTTTCCCTAATAGTTCATCATTGCAAAGTATATCGATCTGGAACAAAACAAAAAAAAAATAATAAAATTTTTAAATAAAACCAAAATCGCCAAATGGTTGTGAAACCCTACATTCACCACAATGTACTCACATCTCTGTACTTTTCCATTCCATTCAGAACTTTTTTCGCGACGAATTTCTTCAAATGTAGTATCGTAGCCTGCGCCGAACACCGAATAAATCGTCTTTTCAGCGTCTTTAAATTTGAACTAATACATTCTAAACAAACATTAACTTGTTCATCTTGCCGGTGATAGTCTGATTCAGCGTGCACGTCTGCTGATGGTTTTTCTTCCTCTAAATCGCTGGGATTTGGAGGAATGTCTTTCGGACAAGGTAAACCTCTTTGGTGGTAAAATTCTCTCTCCCGTGTTATCTCATCTAAAACCACCCATTAGCACCCAAACACTCACCCACCGCCCCACCACTCACTTTTTTGCAGCTCTGGTACTAATTTATACACAATGTCTTGCATGGTTCTATCGAAACTTATGTATTGTAGAGGATGTGATTGATGGATTACAATATTGCATGTTGGACAGGTATTGTTTTCTTCTAAATGTTTTACGAGACAACTCTTGCAAACTAAAATTCGTTTATTGTTAATTAAATCATGAAAAACTTACGTGTTTTACTTACAGGTATGAAGACATTCTGTCACTGTGGTGGCGTCAATTAGGTATCCTCTACATATCTTACATGTTATATGACTGTTTAATGTTTTCAGTTTTATTCTTCTTTCCATTATCATAATTCATAAAAAACCATAATTGTAGAGAATTTATTCTAACCCTAATTGACACACACAAACAAAAATTGTTGATAGACTAATGTGCGCATGCCCAAATGTCAAAAAACGTGTTAATAGTGACTAAAGTTTCAAAGACGGTATTTTTAGACGCGTCAGCAAATCCCGCCAACTGGAAATAAAAAACCACGACCTAAATAATGTTAATTATGATTCAAATAATTTAGGTACGTACAGAGATTCAGATTCAAATATTTAGCAATATTTATTTCAATGAATAGAACTGTATATGCAATAGTAAATATTCTAAAAAAGAAACGCATGCAATCGCATGTGTCGTCTGTGTAAGGAAATTGTATGCATTTTTACAGCAATGGTTTTTATGCTCATTATCAAGCACTAAAATATGGATAATACGAATTAACCTTGAGTTTTTTACCAATGCGTCTTGATAATTTGTCATGCACTAAAGAAAGTGAAAACACGTATCATTACGTATGGTAAGTATATTGTTGGGTATGATATGGTCCACAAAATCTGAATTAAAACCAAAACTTTGTGCTTCACATTACTAATTTACATTTAATTTAACTTAAAGCCAAGATATTTTTAGCTTTTATTTTGAATAGTACTTTTTTTCAGTAAACTCAGATTTAATAATTCCACCAAAAATACCCCCAAAGTTTTTATTTTACAAAATATGTACGTGTTGAGAATCCACAAAAAGAGCAGGAGGTCGCATAACAGTCGCAGAACATCGCACATTTAATCACCCGAGTTCCCAGAGCTGCTGGTCAGCGACCGAGACTGCGGCGTTCTGGAGATAAAGCGATCCATCAAGCTACATTTCACGTAAGTATCTTTTTTAGCAAAATATCGACATTACGTCATCAGTTTTTTGGAGGGGATTACCGAATTGCGAATTTTTGCTATCAACATCAAGCTTCGAAAGAAACGATTATTAATAAGTGCGTGAGAGAGAAAACTTATTTTCAGTTCTGATTGTGGTTTTAGAGAGAGTTAAATTTGCCGACAAACGATAACACTGTAATAATAATGCAGAACTAATTAACAACCTAACAATTACTGTAATAACTGAAATACATCCTATTTAATTATTTTGAAAACCTATTGTGTTGCACTTTTCGTAAAAAATAAAACGCATTGCAATCACTCTTGGTAATGTTGGCTGCAATTATTCCTGAACCAAGAAACCTACATGCGCTATCATTGTCGCTATAAACATTAGCAGTTGATAATTATTTTTTAAATTGTTTCCTTTTACTTTTGTGCACGTTTAGAAGAGTGCTTAAATACCGTCAAAAATGAGACAAACTTTCAACATGATTACCAACCATCAACATTCGGGTACTAAAATACCTATAAATTAAATAAAAATAAGTACGCTTTATTGTTATAGAAAGTAAGATTGAAAACCCTCATGCCGGTACTTAAACATTCGTTTATCAACCCACTCGTGACGCAACACATAAAAAATTTGACTGATTAGTTGAAAAATCAAACGCATGTTAAAATCGCGGGCAAAATTGATTTTTGTTGCTAAAATTTTGAAAGTGTTGTAAAGTTACCGCTCGAGACTTTCTCCAGCGATGGGTGGTCAAAAGGAAAAAGACAGTTTGAGTACATCATACTATCAACTGATGCGTTATGTGGGACAAAACTCCAATTTTACTCTTACTACTTATATACTTTAAAGAGCACGTTACCACCATGCCTGCCCATTCACTGTTCGCTCGGCCAGAAGTGGTGTAGTGCGGTCACTGTTTACGAATATGTTTATTGTGGTTACACGTGCAATAACGGTGATTTAATTTCTGAAAAACGTGGAAATTATGGACTTATATATTGCTTTGACAGTAAGATTTGTTTTGTTTTTATTTTTCTTACGTTGCCGAAGTAGATCAAATCCGTAAAGACACGTTTAAACTAGGCTAAACCCGGCATTATTTTAAAGAATAAAGGCAAAGTGTATCTTAGAAATTTCCCGCTTAATTGTAATGTGAATACGTTCACTATTATTGTTCTATTTACGTTGTGTATCGCTTTAAATGGGTATAAATGACTTTTCACCAATGTGATGGGCACGTCTCGGGACATTTTTACGCGTACCGAGTAATTCATTTATGACCTATTGTGTTTTATGCTCGAATAAGTACCTGATGTGCAAAATACAACAACCTAAAAATTACTAAGTCACAAAAATATCAACACACGGAAATCAAAACATTAAAAAATTAGAAAAATTAGTTAAATTTCAACTTAAAATATACCATTTCTATTCATTTAAAGTATTGTGTGCCATAAGTATACAGTTATATCTACTTAATAGTAAATTTATATTCTACTAACAGAATTACATGTTTTAAAATGCAGTAAACGTGATGTTAACAGTTTCAAAAGGCCAATATCACGTCGAAACAGATTTAAAAAAAATCTTAATATCATAGTTTTAATGACGAGTAACTGTTTAATGAAATCAAAACATTAAAAGTAAGATTGTCAGTCTCTTTTCACCATAGCTTTCACTCTCTTTTATCTAATTGCTCGTTCTAAATTTTGATTGGAACACAAGTTTTCCATTTCCGAAGGAATTTCCCGATAAAAATGTGATTAAATATTTTACATACATCAATATGTCATCGTTTGTCTGTCAAACCCTCAGTCTCGGTGATTTAACGCCAAGTAAATTTATTTTCCCGATGAAAGTCTGAGTATATAAAAAGTTGGGCATCGATGCTGTTTCAGATTTTTGTTTTTCAGATTCTCTTATCAATATGGACATGGATACCACCCTGCAGCGCCGAAACCAACTCGTCGACCCTCCCTTCGCGCCTTAAACGAGAACCGCCCATCTACCACTCCATAAAACACTCGTACGGCCCGCCCCCTCGCCGTAAACCCAAACCCATTTACGGCCCGCCCCCTCGCCCGGTGTACGGCCCTCCCTCTAAACCCAAACCGGTTTACGGTCCTCCCAAACCCATATACGGGCCTCCGACACCCGTGTACGGGCCTCCGAAACCCGTGTACGGGCCTCCGCCCACCAATTACGCGCCGCCCTCTTTCCACCCGCCTTCGCCCAGTTACGGCCCGCCCTCCTTCCAGCCGTCGGTGCCTTCATCAGGGTACGGAGCTCCGTCTCCCAGCTACAGTCCTCCGGTGCCTCCTTCCGCTTCGTACGGCGTTCCCGTTCAGTATGCGCCGCCTTCGAGCAACTACGGACCGCCTCCTTCGTACAACTCGTACGGACCGCCTCCGTCGCAGTCGTATGGAGCGCCGCCGTCGCATTTTTCTGGATACGAGTCGCAGACGACTTCGTATAGTCATTCGTCCCCGAGCTATGGCATCCCGGAAGTGACGTACCACCAAGCGTATGACATTCCGCAGAACTTCCACACGCATCCGCTGACGTATGACACGTCATCGGCGAGCTATGGCACTCCAGGTGCGCTGAATTCGTATGGAGTGCCGGCGACTCAGCACGAAGCACCGATTCACTATGACTCGCCATACCATAGGACCGAGCAGGTGGCACCAAGCGGAGAAGTTTTTTCATCAATTACGGATCCGTATAGTGCTGATGGTAGTAACAATTACGTGAAGTTTGACGAAACGACGAGGAATACCTTGGTTAAGTTGGAAGCGCCTGATCCCACGGTGACATATGGAAAAGTTGAAACAACTTCCAAAGTTCCGAATCATAATTATGACGGACCGGGGGTTCAGGATGATTCTTTGGAAACGTATATCAACGACAGGAAGAAGCAGTTGCAGAAATTGAAACATTTTTACAAGTTGAAGAATTTGGATAACTATTCTAGTGACGTGGAAGTACAAAAATCGCATTCTTTTGACTTTTACGGCGGGAAATCTCACGGTTTGAATGAAAAGAGAGTTCCGCATCGTAGCCCGTATAGAACGCATTATCATCATCTTCACTACCATCACTAACCTTCACTTTGAATATATTTATTTTCACTAATGTACTTTGTTTATGTAAATATTTATGTGACAAAAACTGTATTATCAATATTTATTGTACTGACTTTACCAAAGAATTAATAAATAAACTACATTGTTGACTACATTTTTTTTTGTTTATGCTTGAGTGGTGCCGTGACCAGGATTCAAAGTTCAATTATAACTAATAAATTAAATAATAATGAGTTGAAATAAATAGATTTCTGCTTTGTTTCGCGCCACTTATTCAGCACATGTCAAAGAAATACCTTATCAGTTTTTTCAGTTAAGTGTATCTCAGTCGTGTTTCCCACGGTGAAATTTGCATCTGTTCCATTAACAATGAAAATTTCTCTGCCTTTATTTATAGTAAGACAATAAATAACTGTTTTTCAATAAATAATCAATTCAGTGTCTATTCCATGTAATTAACTCTGTGAAATGCAACTCCACTTTGATGAAATATTTAGACGACCAAGCTAAAATCGTGAGTGCAAAATTAATTCGACATGCCAGAAACCAAGAAAATTTTTACACTGTGAAATTTAATGACACAAACACTGTGGAACTGATCGGAAATTACACCAAAGGAGAAATTTTCTCTTTTTTCGGCACCGCTTACGCCGTGATGGATCGAGAAGTCTACAAAATAACGCAAAATAATTACAGCAGGATCCACATAATCCTACCGGATGATAACATAATCCTTTTAAAGGTAAGTCCAAAACTTATTTTTCCCCCTTCAAGTTTACTTCTAGAGCATCGAGTTCCAAAACACGGGTTTCTTGGTGTTCGCCACGAAAACAAACCTTCTACACATCTTTGGCTTTAACAACAAAACCAAAGACTTTTTCAAAATTCAAAATCTCGTCCACTTGAACGTCACAGATATGGAGCTCTTTGAATGCCAAAACCAACTATACTTAATTGTTGCGAATTACCAAAGTTCTGATTTTACATCCATCGTGTAAGGCAGCTACTTCGTGGTAAACATTTCACCACTCCTTTTTTGTAGGGTGTACAAATTCATGCATTCGCATTTTGATGAAACCGAGAAATTTTTTGCCTCAGGTGCCACAAACTTGCACACTTTTCATAACAACGGAAGCGAAATTATAATGGTTCTGCAAAAATCTGGAGTTTGTTGGACATTTTGGTTAATTTTGTTTTGTACAAGGTATTTTTTAAGGTGACGGCGTCTTTGTATGAGTTCAAACATGACAGAATTCGGAAAATTCAAAAAATTGACACTGATAACGCTGATGAAGTATTAAATTATAGTTATTTTGGAGAACAGTATTTGATGATCTTTACTGACACGACTAGTGTTAGCGTGTACTTTTGGACCGGTATGTATTGTATAATAACCAACCAAATCGTGAAGTTATGGTCAATTCGGTGTGGTTTTACGAGATAAAACGTTGCACAGTGTTGACATTATATTGTTTCTGTGCAATATAGTTAAATTATTTTTCTTAAATTATGAAATCTTTTTTATATTATTAATAACGTCAGAATTTTAACGTCTTATTTGAATACCAAGTTTAAACTGTGAAGATTTCCCGCCCATTTGCTATTAATTAGTACACTCACTGTCAAAATTTAAGTACAATCGGAAATTTTTTATTCCACATGAAACATATAGTCTATATATTGAGTGTTTACAATAAAATTTGCTTTCAGGTTCCGATTTACTGTTCTGGGAGCAATACACCACCGGATTTGCCCTAACAGGAAGTAAATCAGTGTTTTACATCAACAACAGTCCCTATCTTCTTGTCAATAATAACGTAATAACCAGTCATTTAAAAAACCCTCCACTAACAGCTAAAATTTTAGACCAAATTTGTAATTTTCACTCTGTCAGATAAATTTTTACAAATTTACGATTCCGAGTTCAACTCAAATTGGACGAATATATGGACCCACAAATTTATAGGTCCAAATGTGTTCGGAGTTTCAGGAAAAACTGTACAGAACAGAGTAGAAATAAAAACGGTTTCTGTTTCCATAGGCGTCGCTGAACAACGTTAGTATTCTATTTATATCACAAAACAGTCAAAAAGTACAATCTTCTAGACGAAAATGTTGTCGAAGAGAAAAAATTGTCCAGTTGCTTTCTAACTCTGGAGAAAGCTGTTTACGTTCTTAGGAATAAAATTACGGAATTAGAAAATAGTAGTAGGTTATTGATGAGAGATACAGATGACGACACATCACAATCTGGTGTGAGTAAGAGTACAACAAAAATGTCATCAAGTGAGAACTAGATGTTAAACAAAAGATTTAGCACACTTGTATTCTTAGTAAATATAAAAAAAAATATATTGGGCTTGGTAGGTATAACAGTAACTACAAGTTAATATTTTTCAGTTTTCATTTAGAAAATGGGAAGAATTACAAAATAAATATAGTACCATTAAACTTAAAGCGCATAACAAAAAATCACAAACACTGGTATTGGTATAATTATTGTAATATTGTTACAATATAGATTTTTTATAGGTTATAAACAAAACTGCGATTCTTGATTTTCCACTAGGTGCCAAAAAAGTTACTGCTAAAAATATTCATTTTGACACCCTTAATAACCAAAAATGGCAGCCACATAAATGGCTTTCTTATAGTCTGCCACAAATTGTATCTGGACCTGTGAAAGCTCACGTTCTTCACACTGACACATTGAAAACAAATCAACCACTCTTCAATGGTCGGTAGTATCAACAAAAACCGAAATAATTGTCTATTGTTGTCATTCCAGATCTCTTACTAGCAAATGGAAACCAGATTGTTTCCGGTTTTATTACCACGAATAATTTACAAGCAAATGATATTGAAACTAAATCATTAAACAATATCTCTGTAGACAACATTTACTACAAGAGCCAACCTGTCACTATTCAAGGTCTAAAGTCATTTCCAGAACTTAAGGCCAAGAATATAGATACTGCCACCATAAACGGAGTACGGTTATATTTTGGTTATTTCATAGTTTAACGATATTGTTATAGATACCAGGAACTCGAGTCGCAAAACTTCTAACTAATTCATCTATTCTAAAATACAGTTTTGCGGAAAACGTGAAAATCGATAATCTTTGGGTACAGAACATAGACGGTGTTAACTTTGACGAATTCAGAAATTCTGTCTTCCGTATTGGACACGGAGACACTATTGACGGCAACCTGATTTTTACACAATTACAAGCTAAAGAAATGTTTTTTAAAACACTAAGCAACCAATCAAGCTTTTTCACAACTTCCACCAATCAAACAGTAACATCGTCTATCACTATTTCTAAAATTTTTGCTGAAAATGTCAAGACCACGACGATAAATGGAATCGATTTTAGAAACTCGGTGGCTACTTTCAACGACAACACCATCATTGGTACCACCGCTGTCTCGTTTTTTCCAAATTCTACTTCTCTTTTTAGGTCCTGTTAGCATTAAGCACCTCAATGTTACAAACAACCTACACCTGAATGGTACCGTAGGTCGAGAGTTTTTGTTAATCAACGACACCCACATTGTTGGTACTAACGAATCTGACTTTCTACAACGATATAACGGGAACGTCACCATTAAAGGAAACTTGATTGTCAAAAATTTTGATTTAGGAAAAAATGCGCACATTTTTGTGGCGGGGAAAGAGTTTGACCCAAAAATGGAGCAGTTTTGGACGAAAAGTACCCAACAAACGATTCATACACATTTTGAGGCACGAAATGGAATGTCGGTACCTCATCTGTTTACTGAGTTTATCAACGAAGTTAGAGTGAACGATTATCTACTAAATGGTACAGAACAAAAGAAGGGCTCTAAATTTTATTTCGAATCAGTGATAGTGAAAGGAAATGTGTTTTTGAATTCTAGTGAACAACACTCGCCGAATTTTGAACGAATTCAAAAGGAAGGGGTACGAACTAATGGTACTTTCGTCATAAGCGGCCGTAAAACTTATAGTAACACGTTGAAAGTGGACGCTCTTGAAATTAGTCATCTTCAAACTAGAAATAGTACTATAGTATTGAAAAAAAAGCCACTGCAAACGTTTGGTAAGAGTAATTTAATATCACGAATCAACATTATTATAGACTTTCTAGGACCACGAAGAATTTCTAACTTGATTGTTAAAGGCGACTTCACTTTTGACAATATCACAGTTGAAACCATTAATGATGTTGATCTTCAAAACTTAGTTGAAAATACGGTGTACATTGACGTACCACAAAACATATCAAAACTCACTTTTGAAAATATTACAGGTCAGTGATATTTATTTTGAGGTTGTTCCTAGAACGAGAATTTCAGGTCACAGCGTTTTTGTTAATTCCGAGTTAAATGGCAATAAGATGGATGCTTTGACGGCAAAATTGAAAGTCGTTGACACTCTTGACGAAATTGATTTTGTCTATGTGACTGACAACGTCACAATAACAAATGTGGAGAAATTATCGACAATCAATAATAGAAAAGTCAGTGACCTCTTGGCAAAAAGCGTAAGTAATTTTATTTAATTATTTTCAAATGATTGTCGTTTAATTGACGATCGTTTTAGAGTGCGCAATATCAAAATAACACCATTCATAACACCGTAAAGTTCCTTGGCAAAGTAAAAGTCAAAGATCTATATATCGTCAATGTTAATAATGTTAATTTACAAAACCTCTCCAAACGAATGTTATACAAGTCTTGGAACCAACCAATCGTGGCACATTTTACTTTCACTACCTTGAAAACAAGTGAGTTTTTTTTTTAACTGTATATGTACTAGAAAACTATACCGAAATTGTAGCTAACTTGATAAGCGAACAAATTAATGACTTCAACATGAAAAACATAGTTGACGTTTCGAGTAGTCAACCACAAACCATTTCTGCCTCTCATGGTTTGACAATATCTAGCCGCACCAAAATCAAAAATTTGGTTGGTAACTTCAGCTGTGATATTAGTGAAAGCTTAAATAATTTGCACAATCCCCTATCACAATTTTGGAACAAAGTTACAGTTATTGGTAACGCAACATTTTGGGATAGAGAGTCATTAGTGAGCCGAATTTTCGACAAAGTTGTGACACGTGAAAAAAATAATCCCGTAATAGAGGGACAAGTGAGTTACTTAAAACACAGAGTGTATTGTTTCCAATTATTGCTTTTTTAGGTAACTTTTACTAACCACATTTCTGTCAATAATATCACAACGTTGAAAACTATCAATGACGTTGATATCATGGAAATAATAGAAGATGCCTTTTTGAACAAACCAGATATAGAACAGGTAAATCTTCTGACCGTCAAGGTTTATTTCTATTCTATGTTATTTTAAAAGGTCATAACAGGCCGAAAAACCTTCTCCCAAATAGAAGCCAATGAAATGAAAAGTTTGCGAAACACCAACGTTTCGGCAATAAACGATATCAACATTTTGGACGTCCAGTCTAAAATTGTCACCAAGAACTCAATCTTAAAGGGACCGATACGAGGGCAAAAGGTATTTTTTGGAGGATTGCAAACCGACAAGATTGAAGTAAGTTTAACATTATCATTTTATCCCTACTATTATTAAAATTTTAGACTGATTTTATATCAGGAATCGAAGCGAAAAACTTAGTCAGTTTTGATGATCCAAAGAAAGTGCCAAATGCCATGTTCGAGTCGCTAAGTGTTGTTGATAATTTTAATATCACTTATATCAATGGAATGCCACTTGATGTGCTTCTAAACGAGCGGCTTTTAAAAGACGCACCGAAGCAAGTGGTGATAGGAAATTACTTTTTTAGGAAAATTTCGTTCCGTGGTGAGTTATATAATTAGTATCAATTAATACTTGTCTGGACTTTGTTTTGCTAGGAAATATTGAAACACCTCATATCAATGATATCAACATCGACAATATGGTTTATGATAAAGGTACCCAAACAATATCAAGCCCGAAAAGGTTCATCAATGATTTGATAATTGCTGGTAACATGAGAACTGAGTTAATTAACGGCTTGGATCTTTCAAAGTCGTACGAACAAGCTGCATTGAAAAACGAGAAGACTAATTTCACAGGGATAATGGTAAGTTTTTCATTATTACTATTATTATTTTATTAAAAAAAAATTTTGTTAGCGAATGATGAAACCAATACTTCTGGAGGGTAACATCCAAACTAATTACATAAATAATGTTCCTATGGAGTACATGTTGGACACTAATGCTAAATACTCTTTACAAGTCGAGGCTCACCAAATACACGAAATCACTAAAATTCTTACACGTTTTATCCATAAATATCTGAACTCAACGATAAGTTAATTTATTTCCCGATTCAATGAACGTTTCACTTTCACGATTGTTTTCAGGATTGCCAACTGAGATAATATATTTGGAAAAATCAACAGAACTGCAAATTCCGCTACCCAATGTAATAAATGCTCGTCTCGCAGAAACCAAAAACGAGATTCTCATTCACTTAGAAAGTGAAGAAATTGGTAGTTTTTGCGGTTTACCTCAGACATGTAAATGTCCAGTTCAACAAACAATGCAAATTGCATCAGAACGCTCTATCAACATTTTTATGAATAAGGCAACGCAAAGAATTTACAGTTATTTTAACGACGATATAATTATACATGTAATCACCCACAGTGTTAGCACTAGCTCATACTGCAGGTATTTCAAAATATTTTTGTAATAATTATTGATGTACTAACGCGGAAAGTGTTCCAGGACGAGCAAAAAGAAAGTCATCAATGAAGTATCTAGTCTGACGTGGAATTTGCCGCCGCGTGAAAATAGTACTGGAGGATTTTTCATTCACAGAGGTTTTTTCCACGGGTTTATAAGCGGTGTTGAATTTTTCACGATTTATGGAAGAACTTATGTAGTTATTGGAATTTATTATGATCCGGTGTTGGATACGCACAATGCAGATACATTGGTGCTTAGATTTAACGGTGATAAGGTTGGTAGCCCCGACCGTGAAGCTCCCTGCGGTTGAATAGTTCTAATTTCAGACTGAACTTGAAGAAATCCAAAAAATTCCAACTGTAGGGATGAAAACAGTTTCGCTATTCCCTACGGCACAGGGCGTTGTTTTAATAATGGGAAGCGAAATATCTGACTTAAGTGATAATTTTACAAATACACACATTTTTAGATTTAATCACCAAAAACAACTGGTATTTTAAATATAATTTTGTGTTTAACCTACAACTTTTTTTGTTTTTTGTTTTTAGTTTGAACTTTTGAGAGACATTCCCACGTTTGGAAGTATATATGCAGAAGGAGTTGTGCTAGAAAGAGACAGTCTGATCATTTTAGCTAACAAACGAGCAACTTTACTTATTCTAAAATACCAACCCGATTTTGACAATTATTATTTATATCAGACTTTTAAATTGGATTACTCGATATCATCGTTGTCCGTCTTTTACGCAGAAGGTAAATATATGTTACAATGTTATACGTATTATTGATTTGAAGGGTAAATTAAAGTGGCGCAATTTACCATCACCCACACCACAAAAGTCAAAATGTCAGATAACGTAGATACCACTATTACAAGTATGCGTATTTTCACACTTTACTCATAGACTAACGTCATGGTACCACTGTGGTGACAAACACATTCTGAAATTACTTGTTTTTGATTGATGGGAGTTGATGATTTGCGCCACTATTTTTTAAAAACGAAAGACGCGATCTTACATTTGTAGTTGTTGATAAAACCCACGTTTTCTACAAACAAGACATAATGTTTTCATTTGTATTATAAATATTACAACTGAACTGTAAGTGCATCGTGTTTAAAGTCTCCGTGCGTTAAAAATGTTAGTTTCACCTCATTACGAAACGATGAATTGTTGGTTGCCTATCTTGCCAAACTTCGTATAGCGGGAAAATGTCTCTTATGATCAGATAGATAAAGGGCACAAAATAATTGCTTGTGTCGTAAAATTACGTCATGATTCTAAAATTACATTGTAATTGTATGCTTTTTAGCTGTATTAATTCATGAAGTACTTTTTTAGGATTTGGGATCAGTGACGCTTATCTTTGCTTGGTGACCACCAACGGCGAATACTTCATTTATTCATATTGGTTCATAGAAGGATGGAAATTAGAATTTTCGGGTGAACTAGATGACGTAAGAGTTTTAGTTCCGTTCAAATTAAATAAAAAATCTTACCTGTTGGCGCCTTCTGCCAAACGCAGTTCTTTACTTACCCTGGTGGAACACGACTTTAGTTAACTTTTGTGTTTGTGTTGTTCAAGTATTTTGTATTCTTTGTTAATAAAATAAAACACTCACAGCTTAAAATATGTATTCAATTGGTCAAAACCGGTAAATTAAATTGTAAGTAGTTAAACTTAAAAAACAAAACAAAATGAACAAGCTTACACAAGACCATTTACAGAGACACTCCAATTAATATTTCCTAATGCTACTCGATTTATTATAATCGAATCTATCTGAATAATTGTTGATTCCTGGTGGTGGGGGGCAGGTGGGGGCCATGCTGGAATTTCCTGAAAATTGTTGGTTCAGCGAAGATCTGCTCGAAGAACTTGAACCCGGATTCCACCTATATTTTTTTCAGTGAAAGTGCATTTTAAAAGGTTGGTATTGTTTACCTGTCAACAGTGGGCGGGTCTGGACGCCACGTTCCTCCTTTTGCAGCCCAAGGCTTCTGATTGTTGGAACCAAACTTCGTTTGGGACCCCACCGGATGATTCCAACGGTCAGACACTACAAACATGATTAAGTCACAAGTTTGTTGAAATAGTTGAACTAAGTACCATTTGGTTCAGAGTAGTGATGATCTCTGTCAGACTTAACTTGAGACGACACGTGTCTATCCCTACTGTCAGACATTGGTCTAAAATGCGGACTTCTATCGCGCTCCGTGTATCTCGACTCTTTCGTCCTAAACAAAACAAAGTAGTCATTTATTTATAAAAGTTGCTACTTTACCTCAGCGATAGGTTTGATTCAGATTCCCTAGATGGAGCGTCTCTGGAATCTCTCCCCCTCACGTTATCAAACGATCGATCATACTTAACGGAAGTGTTTGAGCGATTTATGGATGAAGAATGATGTGACCGTTCGGAATTAAAATCACGTTTTTCCGAGAAACTCTCATGTTTATAAGGCAATCTCTTAAAATCTTTGGGAGCCGAGAATTTTTTAGTCTGTATCGGACTGTAAAACAACAAACTCAATCCTAACCAAAAACACCGTTAATGGTAGCGTTCGCGACTTACCTTGCGTGCGGCGGCGGCTCGAACCGCGGCGGCTCCTCGAAGTGCCTGTCGTTCGTGGGCCGCTTGCGCTCCTCGAAGGGCTCCTCGCGCCTGTAGGGGACCGGCAGCGGCCTCTTCACAGCCCTGCGGTCCTCCTCCAGACGCATGCGCGATCTCTGCAGCTCCATCTTCTCCATTTCGAGTTTCTCGCGCTCGAGTCTCTGCCGCTCCCGCTCGAGCTTGATCAACTCGCTCTTTTCGCGCTCGATCCTGTCGCGTTCGAGTCGAAGTTTTTCGCGCTCGCGTTCAAGACGCTCGGCTTCGTTTCTTTGTCGACGGGAGATTTCGCGCATCTCGCGCATGCGCATGGCTTCCTCGTGCCGGCGTCGGCTGTCTTCGCGCAGGGCGCGCTCGCGGTCGCGCATGCGCTGTCTCTCTCGCTCCTCCTACAAACACAGCGATTATTGCGTTTACGGGTGAACACAAAAAAATTACTTTGATTTTATCAAAAGTGAGGACGCTGACTTTGTGTGCCGCTCCCCGGGAGTCGGCTTTGGGGAAGGGTCGCTCTCGGTCTTTTACGCGCTCCTTAGAGGGCGTGCGCCGTCGACCACGGCTCGACCTGTCCGAAGTCATAGACTTCTAAAACAAAAAAGCGAATGGGTGGGTGGTTTTTGTGGCGGTGACGATTAATAGTTTCTGGAATGTGATTGATAATTTTGGTCGATTGACGTTCGCGTGAGAAAACGAAGAGAAAGAAATGAAAGTAGTGTTAATTGATTGTCCTGAATTGTGTTATAGCACGATCCGAAAAATAAATAGAAAATTGGAACTAAAGATGTAACGCGTCTTAATTGATAGGTGATATTCGAATTTCTTCCAGAAAACACAGCATTAACCAAAACTACAGATAAAACAAACAATAGTTACCCTCCTTTCAGGGCTGGCGCGACTTTCAGCTTTGTCTTTATCATCGTTTTTCGTCCCTTGTTCAGACTTCTCTTTACCCTCGGGACTTTTCTTAGTCTTATCTTCTTTCTTTTCGCTAGTCTGTGCTTTCTTATTTTCTTCGGTTTTATTTTTCCGCGCAGGATTTAAGTTATCTGCTTTTATATTTTCGAACTAAATAAAATTAATAAGTAAATAGTAACATCAGTTAAAAGTGATCATACTTTATCTATTTTGATAATTTGTCCATTAAATTCGGTGTTATTGAGTTTTGCGATAACATTTGAAGCGTCTTCGGCTGTTCCCATTGTGACGTAACCAAAGCAACAAGATCCTGGGAATCTTGCGTTGACAACGACTTTAGCACATACGACTTTACCACATGGCGAAAGAAGTTGTTTAAGCTCGTTTGCGCGCGTATTTTTTGGAACATTGGTTATCCAGAGTATTCTCGGATTAGATTGCGGCTTCTTTTGAGGATTGGATTCTTCAGTAGCTCCATTGCTATAAAAATCATGACAATAAGAAAACTGAATTTTCTCAAATAACATATAATGAAAATATTCATTCATCAACTTTCCAGAAATCTTTGGCAAAAATCATTCACCCAATAATGCTACTGTGTCTAAATACACTAGAACTGGAATCTGTAAACTTCCGCTTGAACAGCTCTTTTTACCTTGAAACACCACCATACCATAACTCTCTTGAGAATAGAACAATCCTTCAACCCACTAACAAATATGAGCTTCATTATCTGATCTATCGATCAAAATCCATGATCATATGATCAAAAAGTATCTTTGGCCCAAAGTGGGTTAAAGAAACAAGTTGAAAAGTCCACTGCTCCGAATTATGAGGTCTTTCCTCGATATCAATGAATGATTTGTGCAATCAAGTGAGATAAAAAAAGTTAGGGCCTTTTTATGGCATAACAAAACCAACCTAGAACTTGCTCCAGTTTCGGCATCTTGATTTTTCTTGGAGGCCTCTTGTGGAGAACTGGTTGTAGCAGACTCCTTGGATTCCTCAACCTGGCCCTGTTCTTTTGCAGCTGTTGTCTTCTCATCTACAGGAAGAAATGAAATCGTTGTGATTTATAAATCTTAGCCAACAATATCGATTCCCCGGAACTCTAAGTATTTAAAACGGCTTAAATTTTGATACGGCACTTCACTTAATTTTAAACACCAAATTCATGCAAGTTCTTCAAACGTGATTTATTCAAGGCGATGACTACCGATAACAAGAAAACTAAAGTACAAGTGTCGCCAATCCCTTTAGCACAAAATCTTCCTCACAGTAATCCGCACTTCTCTTCTTCACTATTTACACTATTATCACTCTTCTTAGAAGACGACGTTCCTGAGTACACTCGAGATTCTTCAGTCCAATCACTAACACTATACTTGTGACTTTAGTTTTCATGTTATTTCACATCAAAGCCTAGAATCGCGATAAAAGGCATACATCAAACAATCACTTACCTGATGATGTGATATTTTTCTCTGCATTTTCCTCGTCTAGTTCCACATTCTGAAAAATCGGAAAATTAACAATCACGAAAGGTCCGTCTACTGCACTACCTCTTCATTAATGTTTTCCTCTTCTTCTAACGACAAATTGATGGCCTCTGGTTCCTCATTTTTATCAGCAATCCCGCTCTCCTCTCCATCATCATGACCAGACTCCTAACAAAATCATAAAAAAAATAACAAAAACCTAGGGTAAAAATCAAGGCAGATTCATACACTCAAAATTTCGAGGTGACGTCATCAACTCGTTTTCACACAAATTTTGATTAGCGCAAACATGAATACACGTTATCTAATAAACACACAAACCTCAGTTTTCTTCTCGTTTTCGGCTTCGTTTGCGTTCTTCTCCATTTCTTCTGACTTGTCTACACGCTCAGCCCTCTCTGATTCATCCTGGCTTGAATCATTCATTTCTTTTTCGCCGCTTTTTTCCGTTTTATCAGCGTCTAGTTCGGTTTTTTCACTCACGCTATCGTCACCTTGATCTATAACGAAAACTGATAATTACAACGATTTTGTTTGTTTTAGCGGTATTTACATGATGACGACGTCGAAAGCCGCTTGTTTGGCTTCTTATCATTAATGTCGAAAGTGTAAGTTTCAATATCAACTCCCTCATTTTGGAGCGCCTATAATGAATACCGAGGATGCGATTGTGTAACAGATTATTTAATATCTACCTTTTGGAGTCGTTCAACGAGGTCCTTTTTTACTCCATTTTTATCCAAACCTCTCTTTTCTAACTCGGCTCGGAGATCAACCACACGTAATTCGGATAATTTTTTACTCTCACCTTCTGACATTTTCTACTTTTTTTAATAAAATAAAGTCCGCATTACTAATTTAGCAACAATTACAAGCGTTGACACAATACTCAACAGCAACACACCGCAGTATGGCCGGAAGTGATGTCGGCCATCTCTATAGTGACGCCATGTTTGATTGGTTGATGAATAGCGCGGTTTTTAAAAATGTGACGAAGCTGTCATTCTGAACGTTGCTACCACGGTTGTAATCTACCACCAATAGAACGTTGTTACAACGCTACAACAGTAAAAAATTAGTCGTAGATTATTTGGACAGAACTTCCCTCGCCTATAAAGGACAGTTCAACAAATCCTGCTTCTTTGGAAAATGAGAAAATTAGATTTTACGATTTTTATTTTGTGGTGATTTGTATAAAGTAAAAACCAGTGGTCCCGAAGAGATTTTAGAGCATTCGGTTTTGCAGTTTCGAAGCAATTTTGGGTAAAAAGTCAATACGGATTCATAAACCACAAATGCAGGAGCATCTTATTTTATAAAATTTATATAAAATTTACTAGTGTCAATTAGACAACTATACATATAAAATCTGATAATGCTAGTTTAGGAAATTACCTAATAAAAATTGACACAGACAGACAGATGACAGGCAGACGGAAATACGGGATCTACTTTTTCGTACTCAAACGGTCATGAAACATCTAAAAAATATGAAAGTAGCGATTTGTCGGATGGACCCTATTACTTTCTTAGCGTTCGTTCGGGAACTAAAAACGTTCAACTTTTGCAACATGAGATTTATAACTATTGTACAAATTCACAAAAAAATATGCAAATGTCGAGACAAAACTGCAAATTTTCCGAAAATTTGTTAATAACAGTAAAAAGAATCTTCAAATTTACACATTTTTGGTATACATATTTACATTTAGGTACTAGTAGTTGACTCCGTGTTGAGTTTTTAGCCAAAACGTCCAGATTTTTGGAAAAAAATCCTAATTATAAAACAACATTTTGCATTTTAATTTTGAATCTGCCAAACTGAATGGTTTGAAATCTTGCAGATGTTTTAAACTTACGATAAGCATAATACATTTTTAATCAAAGTATATTTGTTTATCCCCTCCAAAAACTAATGACATCACCTCAAAACATTGCTGAATATATCCTATCTCAAATGTGCTAAATATGATGAGTCTATACTTGCGATTTATTTTTAATATATGATGTGTCTCAGAAAAATTAATGACTGAGTTGTTAAAAAATAAAAATCCAATCAGATTTAGGAATTTAACTCGTTACTATGGAAATATGCAATTTAACACCTTTTAAATTTAACAAGTTTTTACAAGTTTAATAGGGTCAAAAGCAGTCTTATCTTAGCAAGTGCTAAGGTAGGAATTTCCCAAAAAAAGGAAGCTGGAAATGACTTCTGGATGTCGAAATCTACAAGAAAATGTCTAGCTCAATCTCGAAAATGGTTGAAAATGTCAAAAGTGTCGAAATCAGTCATATCCTAGGAAATGCTAGGCCCACCCACCCGCCCTTTGTTTTCTTGGAAAATAAGTCATTTGCCAAAAACAGTCTTATCTTAGTAAGTACTAGCCCTGCCCACCCCCAATTTTTTCATTCTAACGACTAATAGTATTTTTGTGCAATAAAAGATCATTCATTTCATTCAGACTGGATAAAATTAATCACTGAAATGAAGACAGGGTAGGTGGGCGGGGCTAGTTATATTTTCCTAAGGAGTGGGAGTGGGAACTATTAGAATACGAGATGTGAAAAAAGGAAAAAAAGCGCTAATATATTTTTTTTTTTTTTGTTATACTATGTGCTACAATATTAAATTCTTATTTCGTTGACATGAGATGACGTGAACTTTTTAAAAAATTGTGAAAATTGCCATATTTCGTTTGGAGATTCTGGAAAATCGGTATCAATTTCCGAAAAAAAGGAAGTCGGAAATGACTTCTGGATGTCGAAATCTACACGAAAATGTCTAGCTCAATCTCAAAAATGGTTGAAAATGTCAAAAGTGTCAAAATCAGTCATATCTTAGGAAATGCTAGCCCCGCCCACCCGCCCGCTATTTTTTCAGAGTTTATATCATTTACCAAAATAAGACTTATCTTAGCAAGTACTAGCAAGTACTACTCTATGAGAAAATAAAGGGCGGGTGGGCGGGGCTAGTACTTGCTAACATAAGTCTTATCTTGTCAAATGACGTAAACTCTGTGAAAATAAGGGGCGGGTGGGTGGGTCTAGTATTTGTTACGATAAAAGTGATTTTGTCCCTATTAATCTTGGAAAACTTGTGAAATTTAAAGATGTTAAATTGTAAATTTCCATAGTAACGAGTTGAATTCCAAAGTCTACCCGAAATGTGCAAAATATGATGAGTTTTTAGAATATGAGCCCGTGATTGGTTAAAAATATGTGCGTTTCCTAGCAACGGACTTCAATTAAAAATTAATTGCGAATTAACTTTAATTTCGCTTCTATAGTCACAGAATACGAAAAAAGTAGTCTCCCGTTTCCGTCTGTCTGTCTGTCTATTAAACAAGTAATCTCCAAACCTACTGGACCGATTGTTGTCACAATTTGTATGTATACTAGAAATATCATGTGGATGGTCATTTCCAAAATTTATAATGAAAAGTTTTTTGAAATTTCATAAAATAAGATACTCGTGCAGTGGTGGTGCGTGAATCCGTGTCGAATTTTCACCACAGACACCCAGAATTTTTGGAAAAAATCAAAACTGAATAACAATATTTTGCAATATAACTTTGAAATTGCACAACCGATTGCTCTGAAATCTTGTAAATATTTTAAGGTTATCGGAAGCAAGGTAAATCGTTAAGCCATATTTTTTTGTTTACCCCTTCTCAAAAAACTGATGATATCATCTCAAAATTTTGCCGAATAAATCCCATCCAAAATGTGCAAAATATATGTATATTGTACTTGTGATTATCACTGCGTTACAACTTTTTAAATTTCTTATACAGGTGACTCATAAAAATTAATGAATGAGTCATTTTATTTTATTGATTAAATCGGAAAATAAAAAATAACCTTCAAACATCTTTTTTTGTAACACCGATATATAGTATAGTAAACTAGTTAAACTTTACTTTATTTAAGGACACTTGTTAATGAGGCTATAAAACTATTATATAAACGACCCAGATTTGACTTTGGGCGATAGTCCCATCCTATGAGAGATGGTGCACCCAATGTTTGGCCGTTAAAGTCACTAGATAGATGGTTATCTAGGGACTTTATTGGCCGTCAAATAGCTTGAGTTGCGGCTAGAATACTATAGATGGTACTATAGTTGCAGTCTTACTCCCATGAAGATGTCCGAATAAGTTAATAAGCACTAGAATAACAAATAATTACTTGGTGTTCTAAACACTAATAAGTGCTGCTACACGTAAAATTAAACATTAATAACACACATTTAGAATCGTTATCGAAAATTGCTGAGACCACGTTCCCCCTTCGTCTACGCCACTGCGGCGACCGCGTCCCTGTACGCTAAAAAATGCCTCACTTGCAAACGTCAGCGCGAAATTTGCCAAAAAATCGCCCCCCAAATCACCAAATTGCCACTTTATACCCCCTAAAAACCCAAAGTCGTTTGCAATTTTTAAAAAATTCTTTAAATTTTTTAAAAACGATCACCGCGCAGGTCATGTAACATGACAATGGCCGCCCGACCTCTCCTCTGATTGGTCACGAACCCAGTTTCCGTTATTTATGGAACCAATTACATTTTTTTCAATCAAATTTAAATAGGTTTCCCAACTGTGATCGCCATTGTAAAAGTTTGTGTTGTTATGGTGTTGTTTATTCCCAAAAATTGTTAAATTTCTCGATAAATGAAAAAGCCACGGTTTCTCGTCTGAAAATCACATTCGTGTTCGGTAACCCACAATGGATATACGTAAACGCGGTTTTCGCTCAGTGCCCCCCAAAGGACAAGAATACACAACCAAAAGGGTAATTATTACACGTAACTGCGATTTTGAAACGATTTCTGTGCCGAATTGTGGTGGTGCTAAAGTTAGGTTATGTTGTCATTCAGGAATTAGCGGAACGAAGGAGCTACCCCCAGTGCCCCCCGAAACCTCCGAAAGTTAACAAAAGAACGTCACAAAGGAGCCTATTTCAGGAAAAAGGTTTTGCGAGACCGGTGTTCTTTAGTCAACCAGGTGAGTACAGAAGGGACATGTGACCAAACATAAGCTTCTTGGTTTCAGTGAATTTAAGCCGACTGTATTGTCCGGATAAACAACAACCATACTTCGATCAAATTTTTGCTAAGAATGCGGTCATTGGAGAGGGATCGTTTGGGGTTGTTTTTAAAGTGAAGTCGCGTGAAGATGATCATGTTTATGCTGTGAAACAGTTGAAGTCGTCACATAATTTACAATATGGGAATGCGGAAGTTCAAAACTATGAAAAAGTGGGGGAGCACAGCAACTGTGTTAAGTTTATTATGGCATGGGAGGAGTTCAAAATTATTCATATACAAATGGAATATTGTAATCTGAGTTTGGCTCAGTATGCAACTGTGGCACAAAATATCATGGAGGCTCAATTGTGGGAGATTTTGTATGATATGCTAAAGGCACTGGACTATTTACACTCCAAGAATCTCATTCATTTAGATGTCAAACCGGGGAATATTATGATGAGTAAAGGCTTCTATAAATTGGCGGATTTTGGTCTTCTTGTTGACCTAAATAAAGTAAGGTGTGAGTAAAAATTAGAAATTTCTCTCAAGTGGCTTGATTTTAGCATAATGGAAGGAAAATATCAACAATATCAGATGGTGATGCTAAATACCTGGCGTGTGAAGTATTAGATGGGATTTATACTTATTCGTGCGATATTTTTGGTTTGGGGATCAGTCTTTTGGAATTAGCGACGAATATTGAGTTGCCAGAGTTTGGACCTTTGTGGCACCAAATCCGTAAACAGTATTTACCATCAGCGTTTTATGAAGGTGTGTTATTGAAATTTTTATTTATAATTGTGTCTAATACACTGAAAACAGGTGTGACAAGGTCATTCTCTGTTACTATTGAAAAAATGATGTCTACTGTTCACTGGGAGAGACCACAAGCAGCTAAATTACTCAAAAATCCACACCTTAAAAAAATTCAAAAACAAGACTTGAAGCAACCTAGGAATAATTATTGTGTAAGTGTAAGTGTTATTGAGTTTCTTTGTGTTGATTCATGCTTTATTGTAGCAAGGGTTATCTGAAGAAACTTTTTCGTTCGAAAAGTGTAGCCATTTTGATAATAATAACATTGTAGAAACACCCAGAAGACCCTTGTATGAAGTACGCAACAGTCTGTAAGTATGTAACAGAAAATTAAAAACAAGAGAATTAAATTTATTGTACATAGAAGCCATGGAAGTGAAAAGGTTAGAGACTTGTGCATAGATGAGTCAAACAGTTCAAGTGATTCATGTAGAACGTTAGAAGAAAGAAATTCTCCTGGTTTGGGCTCTAATCGTCGAGGTTTATCCAGGGTAAAACTAGCGTTTTGATTAGTATTCTTCGATGATTTCTAACCAGATGTGATATTTCTATAGTACTTAAGGATTTATAGTCAAAAGACTGAAAATGGCTTCACTTTATATATAAGTATTATGAACTTGGAGGCTTCCTGGGAAAAATGTAATAAGTCCAAAATCGAATCGAATTTGTAGGTGGTAACGAAATAACTTGGTACGTGCGATTGTAACCCTAACGAACCTTGCTATAAGGTCGTTGTTACAATGGCACGAACTAATCATCACCTACAAATTATGTCAAATTTAGTCGTCTTCGTTGTCTAAAATTAATACACGTAGTAAGTGTACTATTTTTAGTGTTTTTCTGTTTCTCGTAGCGTTTAGGTGTATATTTCATAGCTAAGTCAGAAAATTGGCTGGCATTTTGGACTAATTGTACTTTCCCTACTCGCCCTTCAGTTATTTGGTATCGTTCTGTTACCAGTTCTATGTTATCAAGTTGTTAACTTAAGTCACCAAACCTAACTTATTTGTGGAAACTATGCAATATTCCATGTGATTTAGTAAACTGTTGTGATTAAGACTTAATGGATTTGATACTAAGTAATTTTCAAAAGTAACACATAATTATAAAAGTCGAACTAATGTTTTCCTAACGACCATTAAGTCTTGTTATTTTTTTAAAATATATTTTGAGTAAGAAAGTTTTTTTGCAATTTTATTACAAATGTTTCATTACGGCACCACAATTGTGTCAAACTGCAATGGCAGCGTTCAGGTTTTCATTGTGTGATTTAATTATATTCATGTTTCTCATTTGTTACATTTTTTAGAGTTTATTTAAGTTTTTCTTTAATTTCGTGAGTATGTGCGTATGACATTTCTCGTTACACTAATTTGTTTCCATTTCAATAAAAACAATTAAACTAACAGTGTATTTAATTTCCTTGTCTACATCACAACTTAAATAATACGTACATAGATGGATAATATACAAAGACGGAACTAACTTGTACCCTAATATAGAGCCCTCTACACACCCATCGAGCCTTTCGACGTCTAAAATCAAACCAGTTAGACAAGAAAACACACACAATATACTTACAAGATAAACTCCCACGATGAGCCCAAACAAACCAATAGCGCTACCAAAAATCTCGATAATCAAAATCTTGACAAAAAGCGACGAATTCGCGGCATCTGCAATCGCGGCGCCCGAACCCACAACCCCGACACACAAACCGCAGAAAAGGTTAACCAAACCCACGGTAACTCCAGCCCCGAAAATAATGTAAGCCCCCAGCCAGTTGGTAGCGCGAAGTTTTTCAGTGAGGACCACACCAGTGTATTCCTGAAAGCCAATGAGCGTCACGCATTCGACCGTTATTTTGAACAGACCAATGGAGTTTGTGTAAACCGACCAATTGAATTTGAATCTCACCTGAAAGTTGCTCGACAGGACGATGGCGGTAATCAGGCCGTAGATAGCCACAGCTTCGCAAAAAATGATCGAAATCAAGTTCTTTGTTTTGATTCTTGGCGCTTTGACTCCGGCACCCACGATACTGACCCCCGTGGTGTGGATTCCTCTGAAAAATGATTTTGTGTGGGTGGGTTTTTTAAGTTTAGGGAGGTTACCCTGCGGCACCGACGACGGAGAGGGCGACTGCCATCCCTATGCCTATGGCGGCCCATAGATAGGGGGAGAAGCCTTCCAGGATCCTGGAAACGGGATACAGTTTTTGGGTGTAAATTGGGTTAAATACTCACCATGCAAGACTGATTTGTTCGCCTTTACCAGTGAAGACGTAATACAGTGCTACGAAAAAAGGTTGGTTGGATTAATCACATGACCATTCACACCTACGTGAATTTACTTACTTAGAATTAGGATGACTGTGGTGCTTAGCACGCTGGCTGTATATGTCAGAGTATATCTCATTTTGTATTTTTGGCTTTAAAATGAATGAAAAATGAAATTAATTTGTTAAATTGGTGAAGAGAACATTGTTTTTTAACAACCTGGTTTGGACTGAGCGTGTGATCTAAATCAGATAAGGCTTATCTCGAATGTCGTACTTATCTAAATAATGAGAGAGGAGGGGGTATTAAGAAAAGTTTTATTAAGTGATCCAAAAATACAATACAATTTAAGTCATATTGTCCATAAAATTGCCAAGGCACAAACCTACTTTATCACATCATAAGTGCATTGCACCAAATACCTTAAGTCAGTTAAGAAATTTCAAAGTTACGGTAGAAAACTACACTAATATAAATAAACTATTAAGTATACAAAAAGGTTGGACAATTTCATAAAACATGAGAAATGGCTGGAACTAAAAGTTTCGCCATATTAATAAAGTCAAAATGCTCCTACAATTTTTGTTAATACTACACAATTCAGGCACTAGAACTAAGTACGACCAAATGGGATTTTGCAATCAAAACTATGAAACGATAAATCAAATAAATATCGGAAGCGATTACGGAATGTTCGAATGACAAGCGTGATTGGCTGACGTTACGAAAAGTGGGGTTAGTGACACTGCGCATGCTTTACACGTCATTAAGTAGCAAGTTTCAGTTCCATCCATTTTCACTGGTTCTTTGGATGATTTCGACACTGCCTTTTCACACATTCAAAACACAAACTTATCGCAGAGGAATGAAACACTTATTTCATACCTACGTAACTAAAACTACAACTTAGAACTATAAAGGTACATGAGATAATTCATCCACACCTGTTATGAATAAATATGTAAAGTAAGGAGAGCATTTGTTACAAAAGATATTGTATATATATAAAAATAATTCTAAAATATAAATAAATCACGAAAAAGAAACATCAAAAGTGTAAGGAACATTGCACGACGAACATTATTTACACATAAAATCTTCAATTTGTTCCGACTTGACGTGTCTGTTACTCGTAGGCGTCGGCATCCCACTGCCCATGCGCAGAATGTACGGAATCACACTGTCTATTTGCACTTGTCCTATTAAACCTGCGAAGAACAACTCTTCTAAGACTATCGGTTCCAAGCCACGAAGTGGAGGAAGACGCAGCAGCAGCCTGAAACCAATACAACGTAACGATTTCTAGGGTGTGTAAGACGTCTACTCACCTCGGAAACCGGTCAGTATCGTCTGGAAAACTATTATGCACATAATTCTTCAAAGCCTGGAACGACTTCTCCTGCAACTTCTCCACGTGTTTCCTCAACAATATATCTGGTTGGTCCGCTGAAAACAAAGTGATGGCTTTTAAATACGCATATTCGTGTTCGTCCACATTTAATCGATTCATGGAGGTTGCGTAATCTTGTAGTTTCACGATATGATCGCTGATTTGTTTCACCTTAGTGGCGGACATCTTGTCCTGCGCGATCAACGTATGTAAGTGACTTATCAGCGCTGACAGGATCGTGGATAAAGACAAAGTCTGCGAGCACTGCGCCAAACCCAGCGTGAATAACTCTGCCCAGCAGCCCCTAAGTAGCGTGATTTGAGTCTCAGTTGCTAAGTACTGAAAAGCCGGAATATTTCTCGTCCAATGTATCGAGAGGAAGAGTAATCTAGATCCGCTTTCGCAAATATAATGGATATTTAAATACGGTGGTACTGGTCCTGGGATTTGTAGATTAAAAGTAATATGTTGTTCCTGCAAAATTGGTCCTTCGTATTCGTAGCATTTTTCGTCGGATGCGCTTAAGGAAGATAAATCGGTGCCGTTTAAACATTGGACTCGTGCCATGGTGTCCAAGGCTTTCGATATTAGTTGTTTATCACGTGCCATTATTAGAGCGTCACTTAATTCGCCGGCTCCAGTGTTTGTACTGTCCATTGAAATGTCATCTTCAATGCTGGCTTGACTGGGAGATAAGTGGTAGGGCAAATCAGAGGACCCACTGTTGCCTGAAAGAACACGCTAGTCAGTCAATTTGAAAATTTCATATCTGCCGCTAAATTGACACATTTTCATTGGCGACCATGTGCGCTTGCGCAGTACATTATCCTTCATCTTCGGTTTTTATTTTGACAGATGTCCGTCGGAACTAGCGAACTGTTAAGAACATTGGAATAACGTGACAACGTCGCTTCAGAATTTCAAAAATAAACTGACAGTAAAACACTCTGTATAGTTGAAAATAATTTTAATGGAAGAATTACACAATTTTTTTTATATTTGTGATAATTCGTGAGATATTGAGGTGACTCAGCCTGTATATCTAACAATGGATGCAAATAATCAATTATGTTGTCTGGACTATTATCAATTAAATATAGCACGATCATTAGTTGTAAATGTCACAAGAGTGACATTTGTGATGACCTTTCACCCCTTGATATTTATCAAGTGTGAAGAACCAAATAAATATTCGCGCGTAAACATAAATAGTAGATGAATTTGTCACTTACCTATGCGTTTGTTGAGAAATTGTAACCCCAAATCACAAGGATTAAAAGGCGCTGGTAACAATCCTGACGAATCAGTGTTCAAATCCTTCCTTATAAAAATCTTATTTACACTATGGGAATTATAATTATTTCCTATGTTATTCGAGTAGTCTTTTTTATCTATAATAGGTTTGCGCTCATGTTGTACAGCTAAAATACACAGTGTCAACCCTAACTTTATTCTGTCCCCAAAGTACTTACAATCACTTCTCATTCCACATGCGAGACACTTCTGTAATCTACAGTATTGACACCTATTTCTATGGTGTTTGGTAACTTCACAGTTCTTGCTTCCCCGGCACTGATAACCAAGTTGTTTTCGAATAGACCTTTTAAAAAACCCCTTGCAGCCCTCACAACTAATAGCACCATAATGTCTCCCTGAAGCTCTGTCGCCGCAGACCACACACAGTTCCACCGTCAGGCACAAGTTATTCGAATTATTTCTAATTTTATCACTCAATATTTCCGATTTAATACTATGTTCTATATCCATTTTTGCGATTTGCCCACACACTCTAACCACCAAATTGGAGATCTTAAGGTTTCATTGACTTTACCTTAAATGAACGAAATTTCCTGTGGGTTTACTAAAAACTGTGCGACCTTTCGTTGCATGATAAAGAGAAATAATGCTTTGAACAAGGTTCATGACCTTACACCTGCTGCTGTTTTTAGGTGTAGGGACATTATTTTCTGTCAGGTAGCAAAATCCTTTCTTTCATACGCGAAACGGCGCCAAGTTTAAATTTGTGGAGCAGTGGCGTGTAAGACGCGCCGATCACGAGGGTCCAAGTAAGAGCAAACGGAAAATTTGCAGAATAAACGAAAATGTGTGAGAGGGAACACCAAAACAGAAAAATTAATTCATCGGATGCAATTTTACATTTGTAAAATTTATGAAAATATGTGTAGGAAATAACTAAAATAAATAAAAAGCAAAATCATGAGAAAATAGAACAGAATGATAACAAATCAAACGAAAACTTCGTTCATTGATTATCACGTCTGGTTCAAATGTCTGTACATTTGATATACGTACCTAAAGCAAATTTTTAGGTTTACAATTCTGAATTATTGGAAGCAATGTTCGCATGTCTCTTCACAGTTGTTATACTGAATTGGTGTCCAAAATTTCTATTTTCCATCAGATATATTCTATAATAAAATCTTAGCTATGTTGCCAACCTGACAAAAAAATCACAAACGTTAATACAATTCGGTTGAATTGTATTAACGTTTGTTGAATTGTATCTTTTGTTATTCAATACACCTTGCATTTTGCATTTTTATGAAAAATTAATGCAGTAACTTTCATATTTCGTTGAACATGGTGGATGCGTCAAGTAAACGCATCTTTTCTCTGTTATTTTACATAAATTCGCGATTCTAAAGAAATTTCACATAGAATAGCCGCTTTTTCAATTAGTTGGGACCAGTTTTTAGCAATTTCGGATAAGCACGATTTAGACCAATTTGATCTAATTGGGTGGATGCGCCAGATCAAGGAGACTTTCTTTGGTTCTTGGAGGAGGGAGAATATGTCTAAAAATTATTCTAGACATCGCCATATCAAACTAAAACGTGTATTATATCATTTAACAAATGATAAAATTAAAAAAAAAACATTTTGAGTACTGAATTGAACTTATGCAACACACAATACAACAAGTTATCAATAAAATGTATTTTTGCAGTTGTGTGTGAACTTTTCTTGCGTTTATGTTGGCATAATGGAACTAATTGTGGACAGATATGTCAGTCGTGACATGCAATAAATTTAGGTATGTTTTGGATACATTTTGCAAATTAAAAATGTCAAGAATCTGTTAATCTTGACAGCTGATAACTGGAAATCATAGAAAACATCATTTATGATCATGGGGTATATATAATCGTATAATTTTTCTTCTTCGTGGTAAAATATTTTTGGGTAACAATAAAAGCCCAAACCACAATACAAGGAATAAGAAATAAGAAATAAAAATTTTCAGCACGTACAAATGGGTGTAGCAATAATCCACAATAGTGAAATGAAATTTCTTATTTCTTAATTTCTGCATTATGTGTTTGGACCTTAAAACTTTATTATTATTATTATTAATGTTTATTCATATCATTTACAGTTTGATATAACTTATTTATTTCACTCCTCCTCTTCTTGCGGCTCTTCCTCGTCAGTGTCATGATAGTCATCAGCTTCAGCTTCCTGGAAACAACAATAAAAGTAGTTATATTTAAAGCGATTATGTCATTTTAGATAATTTTTAATTTATCTAATAAATCTCTGTTATGCAACAAATTCTACGAACACAAAATTAATCCAGATATTTATCTTTTTGATTTCTAAGTAAAACTCACTTATCTCAAAGTATACCTATATATCAAGGTACTTATTCTTGATGAGAATGTATTTTATTACCAAAAATAACAATAATACAAATTTTGTACATACCTGGTACTGCTGGTACTCTGAAATCAAGTCAATTAAATTGCTCTCTGCCTCTGTAAATTCTTGTTCATCCATGCCTTCTCCCAAGTACCAATGTAAAAATGCTTTACGTCTAAACATGACAGAGAATTGTTCTTGAATACGTTTAAACAAATCTTGAATAGCGGTAGTATTGGCAATGAAAGTAGACGAAATAGGGGCATGAGGTGACGGAACATCGCATACTGCGGTTTGCACATTGTGAGGTATCCATTCCACGAAGTAGGCAGAATTTTTGCTTTGTGTATCGAACATAACATGGTCCACCTCCTTCATAGACACCGGTCCTCTAAAAATGGTCGCAACTGTCAAATATCTACCGGCTGTAGGGTTGCAAGCCGCCATAATATTTTTGGGACTAAACATTTGCTCCGTCAAGTCCTTAACGCTCAACTTCCTGTACGCAACGCTATTGGGAGCAGTCAAGGGGGCAAATCCCGGAACAAAGAAATGCAGCCGGGGGAAAGGTACCATATTAACCGACAATTTCCTCAAATCGGCATTCAACTGTCCCGGAAAACGGAAGCACGTTGTTACCCCCGACATAGTCAAAGAAATCAAATGATTCAAATCGTCATACGTCGGCGTTGGTTTTTTCAAAGTTTGGAAGCAAATTTCATACAAAGCTTCATTGTCGATGCATTGCGTTTGATCCGTATTTTCTATCAGTTGTTGGACAGATAGTGTGGCGTTATATGGCTCCAGAACAACCTCGGACACTTTGGGGGATGGTACTACGCTGAAACTAGTGACCATCCTATCGGGGTACTCTTCTCTAACTTTAGCTGTCAAGAGAGTACCAAAACCCGACCCAGTACCACCACCAAGCGAATGAGTGAATTGAAACCCTTGGAAACAGTCGCATCGTTCGATTTCGTGACGGATTACGTCGAGGACATTTTCACATATTTCAGCTCCCTCAGTGTAGTGACCTTTAGCCCAGTTGTTACCTGCGCCGCTTTGGGCAAAGACGAAGTTGTTGGGGTTGAAAAGAGTACCTACGGGTCCGCTACGAATGGTGTCCATAGTACCGGGTTCTAGATCAACTAGGACGGCTCTTGGTACGTAGTTGGCATTAGCGGCCTCGGTGAAGTAGACGTTGATCCGGTCCAACTGGAGATCGTTATCTCCGACGTACTTCCCAGTTGGGTCAACTCCATGTTCTTTAGAGATGGTTTGCCAAAACTGAAATTTAATAGTTGTGCAATTACATAGGGCGTCGGTGCACTAGAAATGTTTGCACTGATAACTGGGTGTAATTAAATTAGGAATAAAGCGAAGCGGATTCATTTTGAATTTAGTCAAATCAAAACTTACCCTAGAGCCAATTTGGTTCCCGCACTGACCCACTTGAAGATGCAATATTTCTCTCATTTTGGACCGTTAGGTTGTTTCACGGCATAAATCGGATTACTACCTCTCTGGTTTGAGTCAACATGCGATAAGATAGAACGATAATACGTTAACAAATATGAGATAGCATGATACTTATATATTTTTGTAGATTACTCACAATTTAAACAACAATAATAAGTGTTTCTCTTAGTTATATAAAAATGATATGATCTTGCAAAAAAATATCTTTCAAATATAATAACGAACGGGAAATATGTTTGAAACGCGATTAAGAAGTGTAAGCCCATTTCACTCTTTGGGACAGGTATAAATAGGACACTGTTAGCTTTTAGAGGAAACTTTGACGCCAACCAATAAAAAGAGGCCACGACACTGCTGACATCTATGGATGTCTAAGGATAGGCCACCAGCGAGACCGTAAACACAAGACACGACCAAGAGTTTGAGAACCTCTGATCTACTGTTGTCACAGAGGGGGGGACCATGGGAGACCATACTGTGCGCTTGCGCAATTGCACTATTTGTAATTTGTAATTCAAGATTGAGGTTACGACTTTTTCAGATTGAAACAATTTGCCTGTAAAAAGAATTTAATCCCTGTTACAAATTATTCTTGTTGTTAAAAGTACTTGTATTTAATTATATTGACAGCTTTTCGTGGCGTGAATATGTTGGTTAGTAGTTGTCAAACACGAAATAAAAAAAAAAATGATTGTAAACTTTGTTCCAGGAACTTCAAGATTTGAAAGATTTTTCGATTCACAGGTGGTATGAGCCGTTTAAGCATATTGCGCTTCAAACAGTATTATTGGAGTTGCCAGAGGTAGTTGTAGACAAGCTTAAATCAGATGATTCAGATACAGATGTTGCAGAGGTATTGTTGTTATTAAATGTTATTGTTGTTATTAGATGATTTTTTTTAGGTTTGTCCCGTAGAGTTTATGGGTGCTTTAAAAAATGTTATCAATAATTTGGACAATAATGCTTTTGTGAAAAACAACTGGCATGCCCCTATGGTACTATTATGAGGGACAACGCTCCAATACTAATAGCAATATTTTAGGACGCCAAAATGTTCAGTTTTGGGAATGAGTTAAAAGTTACAAACGTGAATGATCTGTTTTTATACTTAACTACTTCAAATATTATTGCTGAAGATTTTTCTTCACAACAGAGTAGCATTCCGTTTTATTTGGCCTTGAAGCCGTGGAAGAGTATACATCCAGCGTCTGAATTCCGTTGCATAGTGATCAACAATGTATTGAGAGGTGCAAAATGTATGAGTTTACTATATTTTCATGTTAATTGTAATTTTAGGAATAACCCCCAGAGACTGGCCCACTTACTATGCGCATTTTAAGGATGAAGGCCCTTTAATCATTGACACATTAACAAATTTTTTTAAAGAAAATATCCTTGGCAGATTTCCACGCAAACACTGTAATTCAGGTGCGCACTTTCCTGAAGCGGAATTAAAATTTTTGATTTCAGATATATTTGATGTTATTATGTCATATCCAGATCAACCCAGTATTGTGGATTTTGGGCCTATAAATAGCAAAACCAATTTGTATGCATTCTCATGGAGGGAAATTTCGCCGCTTATTAATAAGGTATACTGTGTGTATAGTATATCAACTTTGTGTATTTTTTTTTATTATTTTAGGACTCACCTGAGGAAGTCGCTCCTATATTTCGCTACTTAGATTCTGACATTGGCATCATGACAAAAGCAGATGCAATTTATAAAATTGCTAATGCTTTTACATAACTAACTTGAGGGTGGCTATAATTTGCGAGCGTGAAAGGTCAAGCTAAATTTAAGTTTTAAAATTTTATTATTTATCACGTTGTGTTGAATATAACCATTTTTGTATAATATAGGCATTATAATGTTTTTTTAATGACAAATAAATAGCTTTTTGTTATTTGTAGTCCCTTGTTTTTTTTTGTGTCGTAGTATAATTAAATCCGAGTGTTAATTGGCGTTGTTTGTTTTATTTATGCAAAATTCGGTTTATTTATATACGTTTTAGGTTATGTGTTATGATTTGGGGTAAAATAAAAATAAGTCTGTTGGTAATATTGTTTCATAACTTGGCATTTGTGGGTAGGGGTGAGAGCGTATGCGTGCAGATAACTGGTGTAAATATGGCGTCACAGGAGGACGATAACAAACTTGAGAGTAAATCAAATATAAACAAAGAGCAAGAAAGAAACTTTATAAATGTGTATAAGGTGAACATTTAAATTTTTGTGCTTTTTGCACATTAGTTTGTTTAATTTTCGCATGATTATTGTGAAAGACAGTGTGTAGTTACATTTTCGCATGGCCGCCATGTTCTATTAAGAAATTTTACGAAAATTGAAGAGTTTGGCCAGTTTGAGATGTTAAGACAAAATTGTTGAGTGCAATATGATCATGTTTCGTGTAGACTGTGTTTTTGTTGGAGTGCCTCGAATAAAATGCCACCTAGTTCCCGACAGTTCTGTTGTTAGAGCTGGAGATTTGTTTGTTTAATTGCTTGTTCCTGTGTTACCATCCAAGATGAGTTCTAAATGCCAGGGAGTTAACGACTTCACACCGTTTAAAGCACGCATCTTTTTTATACTATTATTTTTTTTAAAAGAGTGATCTCATAATCCACTTTGTCACTTTCTCATTACCACCACATCACGCCAGCAAACATCTTAATCACAAACATTGCCCCAAAGGGCGTTTAATTTGTTGTATGCACGTTCTGTTTTAGTTTAAACCATCCCATTATCCCTCACAACATTTATGATATCACTCTTTATAATTTATTCAGTTTAGTTCAGATAGTTGAGATTTTCACTTTTTTTTTTTTCATTTAAATTTGCTTCATTAGATTTGCATATCATACACCTTTTGTAGTATTTATGAGTAATGTGACTTTCTCTTTCAGAAATTTGAACACATCCTCAAAAATAAGCTCGAACCGTTCTCAAAGAAAATAGAATCGCTTATTGAAATATGGAAAAGCTTAGGTCAGTGCAATCAACAAAATTCAGATATTGGTTACATCATACAAATTATGGACTGGGCGAAATTACACACTTTGAATATTGTTTTAACAGGAAAATGGAAAATGTTTAAAGGTACGACACGCTCACCTTCCCCGGCGACCCTAATCTTTGATTTCAGCTGATTTCGAAACAAAATTGTTAAGCGAGGTGGAAAAAACCCAGCACGAATTGATGAAAATAAGCGATGTGTTCTCAAAAAAGTTTCAAAAATTGGCAGACGTTATCAAGAATCCGTGGGACGATCCCGTTTTGGCCAACCTTTTACACGACAGCAACGCAACCATCGGGCAAAAAGGTAACCACACTTGAGTGTTTTTCTCACCTAACAGTCTCTTTCCAGAAATTGAGTTTTTTTGCGTTGAAACGGCGTATTTAGTTTCCGTTCGATTGAAGAAATTGTGTGAATCCCAGTGTGAAGATTTGGCGTTGAATTTGGTTACCGCTTTTATGAATTGTTACAATTTGTCTCAAACACAAAATTTCAGTCTCAATGCAACTAAAATTCACATTCTGTTTTGTTTTGATATTCATGTAGCGCTACTGTACAGATACAATAGAAGATCAGATATAGTTGGATTGGTGAGTAGGGTTTATGAATGACAGTCTCGTATTGACGATTTTTTTTCTAGTTTAAGAAACTAAGTTTGGAGGAAGGTTTACATTTAATTCGACGCTTTGCGAAAAAACGGGTGAAAATCTCAAAAGTCTGGCGGAATTACCCTGAAATAACGTTTCTGGCTTCTCAAGTGTTTGTTACTGCTGCTGTTACAAAACCTATTAGTGAAAGTGGGGAAGTTCTGAAGGAGCTTTTGGACACTTGGATTGCGTTTAGTATAGAACACTCCATGGTTGATAAAGTGGAAGTTTCCATCCGACGGATTATTCAAGCGGCGACGGCGGCGCAACACATCTACATCTGTTGCGAAATCATCCACAATAAGGTATAACTACATTTGTTGAAGAATCACTCTGACACTGTTTTTCCCGTAGTTTGGCTTGAAGCTGCGAACGTTCACCATCGAGTTGTACATACGGGCGCTAACGACGGACATGAACAACCTCGAGTCCCAAAAAAGCGAGAACGACGCCGAGAAGGTGGAAGAAACGACGAAACGTCTTGCCAGCGGCTTCTACAATTTGGCTGATATTCTAAAAGACAACATTCAAGTTAGTAGGGAGTGTGCTTTAACCGCGTTTAGTTTAGAACCGACCTTGGAACGTTTGCGAAAAATCGAAGATTTGGCAAGACAATCTGGTTTCAATGTGTTGGACACCGGTCAGATTTGGGAGTGTAAGCTCCACCCACCTGTCACCGCGTCTGACGAAATTTGTTGGATGTGTAATTCCTGCGGGAAATGGATGTGCAAACCGAATCTAGATTTACGCTTAACAACTAACTTTGCTCTTAATGAGGCCTTGAATTTTGAAACTCTGGGAATTTCATCCCAATTATGTGATGATCTTGCTGTTGTTTTAAACGGACCGCGGTATCACTTGCTGAGTTGGTTGTTGAGGTGGGAGGATTTGCATAGGCTGTGTGAGATGTACTTGAATGATATGGAACGCACTAAAAATCTTGTCACGGAGCTTAAATTCGTCGATATAGATTATTCCATGTTTGCGACGGTTAAGCGCGAGCCGGTGGACGAGTTAGCTGGAATAGAAAGGGGTTACGAAAGTTTTCTCTACGCGGACGAAAAGTTAGTTAATATGATAGAAAATTGCAGTCCTGAACCTCCTGAATTGCCGCAGGCGAAGTCCGATCCTAACACCTTGAAGACGCTGCGGATGTTTAGGCATAACATTAAGAGAAATAAACCTCAATCTGCACAAGCTGTCTTAGAAAGCAATAATCTAGTTAATAACTCACAAAATTATAGAGAAAGTTGGTTTTCTGAACATTCTTCGGATTCGGCTTTTAGTTATAATAGTCAACAGAGGCTTCCAGAATACCAACAACAGAGCGGAAATGGTTTTTATAACTCTGGAAGGTCGTTTTCTGGCGTCTTCTTCAACCATTTAAATAACTCGGAAACGAAGCACTCGCCCGAGGGAATCACCGATCTTTCGACAAGCGCGAGTCGCGAAAGGCACGCGAAGGAAGCTCTCGATTTTCGGAATAATCTCAATAAAAGAAAACCAACCGATAATCTCGAAAACACGATGTTCGATTATGAAAATTATCAAAATTTAGTAACGTCGTCTAGTGATAATTTTTTGCATAATATGATTACGTATGAATTCGCTCGCGTCACTTCCGAAATGAAAAGAAGCAAACCGGATACCTTAACAGAAAACCAAAGTTGTACAAGGACTACGAAATCGCAGCAACCAAGACCACCCGTTTCGAAACATTCACCATCAAGTTCAACCTCAGTTAAAGAAGAACATGTAAAAAGTGAAACGTTAAATTTGGTGAAGAATAAGTTAACCTCACGTAGTGTAAGTAAAGTCGGAACAGTACAATCGCGGCCGCATTTTCTACTTGACAAACCTATGTCATTAATTGAATATCTCCAAAGAAACAAAGTGCCATCTCACAGTGAATCATTGAACTTAGTAAAACATGATAAATTAGTATCAGATCATGCATCACAAACCCAGCGCGGAGCACAAAGTGATCCAAAATCAAGTTCAAGTAAATGTGATAATTTGCCAGCCCACGGTATCAATTTGTCAAAAAAGGACGCAACACCGCATGCGCAGAACCTGACGAACTACACCAAACTATCCTCTCATAGCAAAAACCTATCCCGAACCGAGACAGTCATCTCAAACATGAATTTCAAAGACTTTAAAAACAAAGAGGACGAAACGATCGCACCAAGTAAAGGTTTTCCAAGTTTTGACAAAATCCCGCCACCCCCTTCCCGACGAACCGACTCGAATTGTCTAGGCGACGGCAAGCTACACAACCAAACCCAAACCATCACGTGCGTAAAAACCGAAAAACTGCTCTCGAACCCGGATACCGACAAGTGCGAAGTTCAAACGGTCGCCAGTAGCAATAAAACCGAATCCACCGACCAAAGGAAGCCGGCGAATTTTTTTCACAACCCTAAAAACGAAGAACCCGACGACAAGTCCCACCTAAAGCGGACAAAAAATCACGAGATGGAGGTTATTCCCGAGAAGAAGGTAAAATTTGACGAGGGCGCAAGCAAAACATTTCGTCCAAAAAACGGAATACCTCCATTGATTGAAAAAGAGCTGAATAAAAACTTGATAATAAAGTCGCTGCTGACTAAAAACGATAACGAAAAGTCGGAAACCTGTGTACAAAATGAAAATTCGTCAAAAAACGCTAATTGTTGTCTGCCTACTAGTAACAACAAGGACGACACCAAGGGCGATTCTTGCAAAAAGGTAAATGTGATCAACTGTAAAACACCAACTGTACAGACTACGCAATCTACTCCAAGTGCGAATAACAATAATCACAAAAATGTTCCTAAAACCCCTTGTTGCAAGAACCTGGATGGAAGTCCCGCGCAAACTAACAAAAGTGGCGTCGGTAAGGCAGACATTAAAACAGACGTGGAGGAGTCGATAAAGAACGAAATCAACCAAAGTAGAAGTTTATTGCTCAAAACGCTTTCAGAACAACATATTCCTATGATTGTTGAAAAAACCGACAAGTCGGACAAGGGGTGTATCAAAGAGGTCGAGGGTTGTCGCGCGGATCTCACCAATTGTATAAAAGAGAAAGTAGGGTTCGAGAGGCGCGTTTCCAGCCCGGAAGACAAAGACGACGAGTCGAAACCGGAGGATAAGTCGAAGGCGAGCACTAACAAAGAAGTCAAGATAATCCTGCACCGATTATCCGACGAAGTTATCAAGAGTTTCATTCCTACGTACAGTGATAGCGGTTCCCAGAATTGTAACTGCGGCTACAACAATAAAAAGAAGGCCGTCGGAAGACCGCGTAAAGTTATGTGTTGTAAATATAAATTATCTCATTTGAAGAATTCGAATTCTTCGGCAAATCGCGTATTTGAACGAATAGACTACGATAAGTATTCTTTAAGAGCGCTTAGAAAATATGATGGTGATAGACTTAAGAAACTTAGTTCTAAGAATTCAAAACGAGATAGTGATATACAAAAGAAGACTGGCTCAAATAAAAACATAAAAAAATTTAACAGTAATAAACAAAAGAAGCTTTCAGATGACGATAGTGATAAATTAAAGAAACCAAAAAAAGATTTTAGTGATAAAGACGACAAGCTAATTTCTTCGAAGAAGGGTGATATTGATAAACAAAGAAACGACATGAATCCACGAGTAGTACTCGAAAGACTGCCACTAGATTCCAACTACGTCAGGTCCGTGCTGTCAAACGTACCGGGTTTAAACGACTACGAGATGATCCGACCTACGAACGTAAATCACATCGTTAACGTCGTTCAAATTTCCGGGGGAAGATCGACCTCCACCGTTCCAGTACAAAACACGCAAACAAGTACTCAGATCACGCCTCACATTCAAAGAATCGGACAGCCTCGCTCCGATAAACCCGAACACAATTCGAACTCAGATATGCCTACGACGTCCACGTCGGTTACTCCTGCGTCAGCTGCATCCACCAAACCCAGCACCTCTCAGCCGTCGACTCTCATCAACATACTGTCGCAGCAGATCATAAGACCCGGACAGAGCAACTGCGTTAGAAACCGGTCGTCGCCTCTTATCAACATTTTGTCGCAACAAATCATACGACCGGCGACTACTCAGACCAACAAAACCCCACTGAACTCGTCGCAAGAGGTACAGGTAAAGTTGTCGCAACTTGTGTGGATGTGGTACAAATGTTAATTGTTGTTGTTTTAGACTAACTCAGCGAAAGTCTCGTCAACCGTGGAACAGTCGGGTCACGAAGACGCGAATTTGGCGAAGTCGGTTGCTACTACAGCCACCACGACTACTAAAACTGTGTCTAATACACACTCAAGTGGCCAAGGGACTATTTTACAGTTCATTTGTAAATCGACTCTGCCTAAGTTTCAACAAGCTTTCGGAAAGTCGGTGTATCAGAATAATACTGAAACGACCGAAGCGGGTAGCACGTGTACAGAAACCATCACCAATACCGACATTAATAAAAAAGCGCAAGCCAAGAACTCGTCGGTTAATATACAACCCATTCAAGGTGGAGTGATTTACACGAGACAAATGCCCGTAGGACAAACTATCAATTTAATCCCCCCGGGAAGAGGTCAAGTGTTTCGGATCGCAACCTCAAACTCTGACCAGATATCTCTAGTTAAAGATACAGTAATCCATAGTAAAATGAGTGCTTTGTTAGCTGCTGCGCTCCAAGGGAAACAAAAACCTTCAGAAGCTCAGTCCGACGGCGAAAATACTAACGACGAAGGTGCAGGCACTCGGGTGACCGTCACACGTCCAACCCTAGTGCAAAACGCGCGTATCGTAAAACCGGTCCTTCAGATACCATCAAACGTAATACGCACAAGCCCTCAATCCAATTTAAGTTCCACCACTCTAGAACAACTGCGAGAGTTCGACATGGTTTATAAACAAATCAAAGAAAGAAGTAGCACCAATACCCCGTCTGAAGCAAACACATCCGAGTCGAGCGAAACCTCCCAAAGAATAAGCGTGACGTACCTAAATCAAGGTCAAAAATACACTCAGTTGTCCCCGGTAGTCGTGGTTAGTAGTTACTGCAATTTGCAACCAGCGGCATCCCCAGCGTTAAGCGTTACGTCGCAAGGTAGCTTAAGTCCGTGTGTGACTCCCGCGCCTGCGCCTTCCGTTCCCAAAACCTCGTCCAAAAGCTCGAAAGGCAAAACTGTTAAGAACACCACGACGCAAGCGTCTAAGTCGTCTCCGATTCCTAAACCGCAACAGAAACCGCAAGAAGACGAACACACGACGCAGAGGATTTTTGATATTTTGGCGGAATACGCCGAGCAGCTGCGGAATTCCCCCGATTTGAATAACAAACCGGCGCCGAGACGCCGGTCCAACCCCCCGACTAACCCCAACCAGAATTCCAAGCGGAAAAAAAACTCCGGTTCAAAGAAAACCGGACAGTGTAGTAGTATGGTGTCAGAGGTAGATATAGAAGACCATAGGACTGTAGGTAGTGAAGATAGCTCGTGTGGCGTGGTCCAGATTTCCGTTCAAGAAGAGGAGCAACAACACGTGCAGACGGTCACTACTGAATCGAACGATAGTACTTCGAATTCGAGGCAGCAGCTGATTTTAACCGACGCTAGTAATAATCAAACGCGGAATTTGATAATCGCGGATTCTAGTGTCGGGGAGGCCTTAAAAATGCCGAATACCGCGGTCCTGGTTCCGGGGAATTACATAATGCCGGTGTCGATGGTGAAAGGCGGGCAACAGATCGCTGTCGTGTCTGGCGGGAGTAAGATTCTAGCCACCGTGCCGGCCAGATCTGGACCCAACATGTTGTTATTTCAAAGTTTTTTAAACCAAAATCGTGGTAAATCCGGCGTTCCGACCGTCAAGTATTCAACTATCCAACCCATTTCGGGAATTTCGTCGCAGAATTTGGCTGGGGTTAGTGGACAACCGCCTGTGATTTTGCCGCCGAATTCCCAACATTTGACCGCCGTGACGCTCGGGCAGCCCCTGACTTTAAAAAAACTCGACGACAGTGATAGAGTGAATACTGAGTTGCTTTTAACAATTTCGCAACCCCGAGACAACGGAAATGCGTCGACGGAGTCGACGACCCATCCCGATAGTACTAATAGCATCTCTAGCACTGTTGGTAACATAGAATTAGAAGAAACCATTATTCATTCGGACAACACGTCGGAGAAAGTGTACCATACGTATCAGAAATCGATGGGTACCGCACCGATTGCAACGCCCGTGATCGCCCAGACTTCTTGTGTGAAGGAAGAAATAGCTTCAAATGAACAAAACACCACGCACAATTCAATGACTTTAAATATCACTTCTGAAAACAACAAAAGTAAGCAAGATTATTTTTAAGACGTCTGTGTATTAAGCGAGCACTTGCGACGGTTGTGTTCGTGAGTGCTCGCTTGGTGGAATTCGCACCCTAACGTGCGACCGTTTTTAAGAATTGTGGTTATAGGTGAGTCGGGGAAGACATTAGAAAGGGTTCAATCAGTATTAGTTACTGCTTGCACGTCAAATGGACCCATGCTGTCGCATACACCTCCAAGATACCGCAAACCTTCGGAATCAGCAGGTACAAATAATGAACCTTCTAACAAGGAGGAATTTTTACATAATGGGGAGAAGGTAATCAGCATTTTTTCAGCATTTAATGTTAGTCATTTGGCTGTTGCAAATGATACAGTAATTTGCGACGTTGCATATATACCGGGTCACCCAGATTTTCTTCTACAAGCAATCTCTCGGTTACCACTGGATTTAAAATGTGGGCTACAAAAGCTTTTGAAAAGGATAGTAAGCGTTTTTTACAATGTATATATTTTTATAATTTAACCCGGATACAACATTTTAGTAAAAGTTTTGATAAGTGAAAAGTAAACATATCACAGATGACATTTAAAGATGGAGGTCGGCAGCCTGGTGCGGTAATCGATAATGCTTTGTACGTCACGCCACTTGTCATTAAAATTAACTTTTATTACATGGTGTCTTCAGAAATTGGGAACTATTGCTTGTATAAGAAAATCTGGGACACACGGTATTTCGGCTCCAAAATAAGTGTGCGACTATACCGGGTGTCAAAATATTTCGTCATCAACCTTTTGGAAGGGATGAACAATTGAATTTTGATTGGAGATTACTTTGTCCGCGTAGTAAGATTTTGAATCCCACTTTTTCATATTCTAAGAGCTATGAATTGTTGAGAAAATATGAAGTTGGTCATTGGCCAACTGGACCCTGTTACATATTTTAGTCGTCTTTCAGGGGTCAGTCTTGGGTCCAGTTGTGTTTCTTATTTACATCAATGACTTCATAAAAGCGAAACTTAAAAAAACGTCAAAATATTTTGGTACGCCCGTTATAGTACGCAAATAATATAGCACTTAACCTCACAAAATGCATATGTGCTGATCATTTCAACAGTAATCACTAGCGTTAATTGTTTGCTACTTACTGCTTTAGAAATCCTTGCGATTATGTAATAGATAGTGTTGTGTATGGTCCAACTAAAAGTATTGTAGTGGACTTAAGCTGCGGGGTGGTTATAGAAAAGACAAGTTTCATCATAAATTAGTAAATTAGTTTATACGGGGACAAGTAGATCTTGTGTATTTGTTGTATTGTAGGGTACGACAAGAAAACATTTTTCGTCGCTTGTTAGTCACAGTTGCGACTTTTTTTGTTGTTGCGTGTAGTATAAACTGGTTTGCTTTTATTTCCATCTATCATGCAGTTTTTGGGACATCAGTATCTCATACCGCCACAGAGAGTTTAGTTGGTCATTTTTGTAACGATAATAAATGATTTTTCCAGCAAAACAATACCGAGCAGAAACAGTTTCAAGGAAATGCTACCTATTTCCAGAATAAAAATAAGAAAAATAGTAATCCTCCGAGGTTAGACAGAGAGATGCATCAGTTAAGTTTGCAACGGAAGCAAGCAGCGCTCGAAAGAGAGTTACGTCTTCAGAAATCTTTATCCGAAGAATGCGAAGATTTAGGCGTAGATGAACCGAGTACCAGCGATCTGTTTCCCGAAGCAGATATTCTTTTCGACGCGAATCATTCACCATCGTTTGACCAGTCTTCTCAAGATCTCGTGAAGAGACCTCCGCCTCAAGAAATCAAAGAAGAGAATAAGCCCGGAATGACATTGTTTAGTGACGACGATAATTCGAGTTCTTTGCGGACGGATTTTTTATTTGAGTCGGTCGAGTACCAGCCATCGGGAACTGAGTTAGAGTACGAACAGAATCAACAGTTGACGAACGGTCAAAGCAGCGCGAGTAACGAGTCGGGTTCTTCGTGCGAGGACCACACGCTTTTGCAAAATTGCGCCTCGATGTCCGACGTCACGCTGAATTCTCCTGTTTCGCCGGATCCGTATCACGAAAACACACCACCTTCTTTGAACAAGTACAAATTTAAATACAGTAATCGCCGAAAAGGAGAAAGGAATAAACAGGCTTGCGAAACTTGGACGGTGGAAGTATCGAGTTCGGAAGACACGACCGGTAGTACGGAACTAGGTAAAAGTTCTAGCCATAGTCCGGAGTCGTGTACCAACAAACACGGTCACAGTGTTAGTTGTGACGAGGAACTCAGTGATGGAAGCTATAAAGTAGTAACGGTAGCTATATCAAAAAGTGATTTATTAAAAGATGACGAAAGCTGTGAAGAGTTACATTGTGAAGACGATTTAGACTGTTCACCGAGTGGTAGGGGTGCTAGACGCAGTGTTAAAAAAATGTGTTCTTGTTGTAATGGTTCCCAAGATGGCGGCGCTTCGCGAAAGAGACCATCGTCGAGACCTCACACCCCGGCTCCGCACAAGAAGGCCTTCCTAAACAAGAAAAGATAGTGCACACGTGTATAGCATGGTATTTAAGTTAAATTTGTTAGTTGTTTCTGTTGACTAGTCGAGCTATCGAGTGGATGCACTTTAGTACAAATTATCTGAAAGCTGGTGGTGTATCGTCTGATGAACTAAAATGATTACTTGTATAGTAATTGCTACGTTTGCAATCTTTTAGTACCTCTAACTGTAAATTTTCCTTGTATATGTAAAATATTTAAATTACATGTGCAGTTTGTCGTTGTATATAATAATCTAATAGGTCTATCAGACAGATGTTGAAATTTAATACATCTGTGCAAATAAGATTTACAGCTCTTTTATTAAATCTGCAATAAGTTCACACATGTTTGTGTATGTTCTTTTCTACTGAAGCAAAAATATTGTTATGTCATGTTTCTAAAATTATTTATTAGGTTAGTTTTTTCTAGAAAACGTATTTTCCTTTTATGCTTAAGCATCTAGGTCTTAGTCTCCTGAAAGTATTGTTTTTTTCGTTTATTTTATTTTGTTAAAAATTTTGTATACTCAGTTTATTTCATCAATTAACTATTTATAAAAAAACTTTGTATGTTTTTCATTACCATATTTTTTTCAAATAAATGTTCTTATACATTTTTTTTTTTTGTTTTTTCCGAGGTGGTTTTTCGATTGTATTAATGTTGCAGGTGCCAAATTTTTAGCTTGGTATTCCAGTTTTATACCTTTGTAATATTTATAAAAAGGTCACTTGGTATACTACAATGTATAATATTATTGACAGTCGCTAATGAGTTGTGCATGTCAATAATATTTTAAAGAAAAAATGTTATGTATAGAAGGATTATAAAATCAAACATTTTTTAATAGTACTTTGCTTTTCATTCAGTATGAAAATCCCCGTATCGTTTAACAGCATTTTCTCTTTAATTGCCCACTTGTGTTAGATCACCGTTATTAATTAACTTGTAAGAGACAACGATCTAGCAGTTTTATTTTAAATACACTGTAACAATTTGTGATTGTTATTGCAGAACAAAAAACTCAAAAAGAAAAATAAAATTATTACATTTCAGGACATTATTAATTAAACTCAATAGATGGTAGAACACAGTAAAGTAGATAACCCCAAAAAATTCATTTAATACGCAGGTAGGACATAATCAGACACAATTTATTAAAATTCGCAAACATTAGTTTTAGTATTAATTAGATAATGTAGTTTTTACTAAATGTATGTCTGTCCATCAAACTACAACTTTAATTTTACCGCTTGTATTTATACTGACACCCACTAGATCAATCGTAATGTAAAGCTGTCACTATGACTATTTATAATTCCAATTTTCAACAAGGCGGCAAAATTTAATGCCTACTTTGATGCGACAAGTCATTAACTTATTTATTAATTAACATATCCAGTGATATAGGTAACCCGCAATTCACCAAAGTTAATGACCGGTCAAGCGTCATCTGATCATTGTTACAACCGAGTTGCCATAGTAACATGGCAACAAACATCTAACTTTTCAGGCATCAATAAATCACACAAAATGTTTATTTATCTCAGCAAGAAGGTGAGTTTTACAGGTGCCAAAACCACTTCTAACAACCATTTGTAGATTGCCATTCCCAACAACACCAAAATCAACGCAATCGCTTGGAACAAAGAAGATGGTTACATAGCGGTTGGGGGCGAAGATGGTTTACTCAAAGTACTGAAACTGGACGCAGGGGGTGAAAATGAAACTGGAATTAAAACAAGAGGACTTGCCGCCTCCAGTAATTTATCAATGAATCAGACTTTGGAAGGCCACACTGAAAGCATTCAAGTGTTAGTGTGGAACGAAGCGCACAAAAAACTCACCACTAGTGACCAAAATGGCGTAATTATAGTATGGATGATGTATAAAGTATGTACGAAAATGTACAATCCTGGAGGTGCTAATTTAGTAACTTTGTAGGGTGCTTGGTATGAAGAAATGATCAACAATAGGAAAAAGTCCACGGTTGTGGGTATGGCGTGGAGCGCCGATGGTTTAAAAATCTGTATAGTATATGAAGATGGCGCCGTGATTGTTGGTTCTGTGGAAGGTAACAGGATTTGGGGAAGAGAACTCAAAAATGTGTATCTATCGGGTGTGCAATGGTCACCTGATGGTAAACTACTGTTATTCAGTCTTAAAAACGGCCAGGTACACTTGTATGACAACGAAGGCAATTTTATTGTATGTTTTTTACTGACGTTTAATCCCCTTGTGACATTGATGACGTTTCAGATGCAAATTGAAATCTTTTGTAATGAAGTTACTTTAGAGCTGATACCAGTGGTTGGTCTTGATTGGTACAATGGACAAAATGGCCACATGCACGCGCTTTGTCCCAATTTAGCTATATGTTATGAAAACGGTCGTGCTCAGATCATGCGCAATGAGAGTGACATAAGTAAGTATACTTTTGTACTATCCCAATACTAGTGTTTAAAAACCCAGATCCTGTTATTTTGGACACAAGAATGATAGCAGTGCACTGTAGTTGGAACCACAATGGTTCACTATTAGCAGTAGCAGGCCGACAATACAACGACGAAAAAGAAGTCAATTTAGTCCAATTTTACAACCCTTTCGGCGAGGTTTGTTTCCATTAAGGTTTACTACAAAACACTGATGACTTTTTGTAGCACTTACGCACACTCAAAGTACCAGGAAACTCGATTTCTTGTTGTGTATGGGAGGGTGGGTCGTTGCGGGTGGCCCTCGCTGTTGACTCGTTCGTCTACTTCGCTAACATCCGTCCAGATTATAAGTGGTGCTATTTCAAAAAAACCGTAGTTTTTACGTGTTGTAGACCCCAAAGACCGGGAATTTGTGTGTCGTTTTGGGATATTAGTAACAACCAGGTGAATACACAAGTCATTTTTCTATTATATTATCAACGTGTTTGTTTTTAGTGTCACAGTGTTTATGTACCAATACTGTTGGCGCTAGATGGATTTGGTGACCATTGTGTGTTGGTAACACGATCAGAAGCAGACGAAGCCCCTGGTCAGTATGGTTTGATCCTTTGCAATACACTGGGCACTGCTGTAGACGGTAAATATGTCGATATAGAACCAATCGCGGTTACAATGAACTCGTTACATGTCATTGTAACGTCAAAAAACAATTTCATAGTGTGGCAATACAAAACACCTAAATCTTCTCCTGTCACTGGTAAGTACAACGTTCGAACCGTTCCGATTGGTTAGACAACACATTTTATTTTAGGAAATCGTGCGAAATGTACTATGTTTCACATCGACGATAACCCCACAGGCGCTGTTGAAGTTATCCAAGACTTGGAACACTTAGACAAGATTCCTACAAGCACTCACCAGTCTGTAGATCCCGCTTGTTGTATAACATGTACAGATAAGTGTCTAATTATCGGTCGCGAGTCGGGATTATTACAGTATTATGCTTTACCCCACGTCGTACTAACAAATAAATATAAAATCGCAAGTAGGCCTCACAAAATCGCCATAAATTGTAACTCAACGTAAGTTATTTTAAAATGAAATGTATGTCGTTTGAAACGATCAATTATAGACGTTTGTCTGTGATTGATGTAGCTGGCATTATGACAGTTCTTGATATATCTGACGCCGTCGGACGTCCATCTACCAACACCGACGGTAACAAACTGGAACGTAAAGACGTCTGGGCGATGTGTTGGGCGTCAGACAACCCTCAATTACTTGCCATCATGGAAAAAACCAGAATGTACATATTCAAGGGGATATATCCAGAGGAACCTGTGTCCTGCTCTGGCTACATCTGCAGTTTTAACGTAACACGTTCCACGCATGCGCTACTTAATAAACAAACCAGTTTTAACAGGATCTAGAGATTCAAGCTGTACTTCTGGACGAAATCATGGAATCGCCAGAGCGCCCCAGCAACAAAGACCACTTAATCAAACTCGAAGTAAAAAGTCTGCGCGATACGAGACAACTCCTAGAGAAGGTTGGCATCAATGAAGCGTCACTTTTCATTGAAGAAAACCCACACCCGAGACTCTGGCGGTTATTAGCAGAAGCCGCTTTGAAGGAGATGAATCTACCGATGGCGGAATCCGCGTTCGTGCGATCACGCGATTATTCCAAGCTTCTCTTCGTCAAAAAATTAAAAGATATTAATTCTGAAGCGATTAGGAAGGCCCGCGTTGCCACCTATCTTAAAAATTTTGACGAAGCGGAGAAGATTTACATGGAAGCGGACCGCAGGTACTTAGTGTAATCGTTGTGTGATTAACTTAAGTCATGGATTTTAGCGACCTCGCCTTAAATTTGAGACAAATCTTAGGCGACTGGTTTAGGGTGATACAAATTTTGAAAAACGGGGCTTCAGCTCCGGATTATTTGCTCAAGACGGCGTACAATTCCACGGCGGAATATTTTGTCCATTTTAATAACTGGTACAGTTAGACGATAAATAACACAAGAAATGTCAATTTTGTTGTAGGGCTACCGCAGTCGAGTATTACGAACTGGCAGGAAACACTGAAGAGATGATTGAGTGTTACTTTCAGTTAGAAGATTATAAAAAACTCGAGTCGTTTATCCAGATTTTACAAGAAGGCGACCCTCTTTTGAAAAAAATTGGTGATATGTTTGCCATAAATGCTGTTAATTCGGAGGCGGTTCAGGCTTATTGCAAAGTAATAAAGTCACTCTGATTTAAAAAAATAAATAAATGTGGATTTTTAGTTTGGAAATGTTAACGCGGCTATCGACTTATGCATTTTACATAATAGGTGGAACATGGCGATCGATTTAGCTAAAAAATTCAACATCACTAAAATTTCCGATTTATTTATTAAATATACTTCCCATTTGGAAGAGCAGGGGTCGCTTTTTGCGGCAATTGATGTTAATATTCAAGCTAAGTTTTATTTGCACGCAGCGGAACACGCATACAAGGTATAACTATATATTTTGAAACGGATAAAACGACAATTTGTTTCAGTTAGCCGATCAGGAAAGTCAGAAGTCAAACAAAAATGTTTTAAGGATAAAAAAACACTACGTTTATGCAGCTCGATTGCTTCAAATGCATAAGAAAAATCCAAATCCGGGTATGACAGCTTTACTCATGTTAAAACTAGAATCATGTTTCCCTTTGTATCCACCATCCCCTAATTACTCCATTTATTAGTGTTGTTTATTTTGGGAACATTTTTGTCGTGCAAAACGTCACAAGTGACATTTAATTTAGGGGAAGTTATGTCAATTGAATAAATTTATTTAAATTGTGATTTGTAGCGGAGTGGGCTTCGGACCCCATGATTTACGAAAACGCGTGGAAAGGGGCGGAGGCCTATCACTATTACATGCTCGCCCAGGAACAACTATACAGTGGTAAACTTCATGACGCTTTATGTACTGCGTACAAACTTCAAGATTACGTCAATTATATACGTCCCATTGACGTGTATTCATTGCTAGCTTTGACGGCTTGTTTGGACCGATCTTTCGGAGTTTGTTCAAAGGCGCTTATAAAACTTAAAACTTTACCAGAAGTAAGTGATTTATTACATTTTATTCACAACTAGTCAACAGATATCTAAATTTTATCTTTACAGTTAAGTCAGACAACTAGAAGTCACTACATAAAACTTGCATGGGACATATTTACAAAAAATGAGCCTAAAGACTTAAGACACAATAAACTAAAATGCTCTAACTGTCAACACTTTGTATCTGATTGGTACGTCGATCTACGAAATTTGTGTAGAAGTAAAGAATTTACATTTTAGGAGAACTAGATGTCCCAAGTGCAAAATCCATTTTCCCACGTGTATTGCTTCTGGAAAATCGATCATTGAAGAACTAAGCCAGACATGGCTTTGTCCTCAGTGTCATCATCCAGCTTTCGAGTCCCAAATGACTTTCCAGAATGCTTGTCTACTTTGTCATGCAAATAAATAAACTTTAGTACCTTTGTCGTCGTCGTCACTTATTAAAAAATGATATAAAAAGCTTTTTACAAACGATGGGCAGTGACCGATTTGTACTTTGATAAAAAACAAACAAAATAAAAACAAATATTTATTAAAGTAACAAAAAGAACTCTAATCACGCAACTACATCAAGGTTCTAAAAATAATGACAAAACGAACTCTTGTGTAAAACTGAAAGGAAAAAGAAACAAAATACAAACTTCACAAAAAGTATAAAATTTGTATTTGGAATCTGTGGTAAACCATGGGTAACAAATTTCACAACTATGCTTATATAATTGGTCAATCAATAACAAACGCCAAAAATATATGAAATTTGCACCCACAAAACTATATGGATAAATGCAACAAATCTAGCCATGCAGAAAATGGCCTCCAAAAACAAAAAAAAAAAATGAAAAAATTAGAAAGAGAATCTTACAATCCAACCCTGGACCTGCGAGTCCTGGTGAAAATCTTATCAATGCAACTGAAGACGTCTGAAGCGGACTTAGCGGCATCAATACGGTGGTGAATCCCACGAATTTGATAATAATCAACCAGAGGCTTTGTCTGAGTATGGTAGGCCTGCAAACGTTTCTTCAAAGCGTCAGCGGTATCATCAGAGCGTCTGGTCAGAGGCTCTCCTGTTATATCATCAGTCATGGGTTTCTTAGGAGGGTGAAACTCCTCATGATACGAACGTCCACTAGGGGTATGAATCAAACGCCCCGTTATGCGACGAACAAGCAAGCTATCGTCGATTCCAAATTCAACGACAGCATCTAAACTCGTCTCTCTCTTCTCTAACAACTCATCCAGCTAAAAAGCAACTTCAGACACTTTTTTTAAAACAAATAGTCATACCTTCTCCGCTTGAACCACAGTTCTTGGGAAACCGTCAAGCAAAAATCCATTTTTACATTCAGGTTTGTCGAGGTTGTTGTCAATCATGTTAACAACGAGATCGTCGCTGACGAGTTTACCTTCGTCCATAATTTTCTTTAATTTAGAGCCTAGAACTGAGCCGGACTGGATTTCGGCACGCAGCATGTCGCCAGTCGAGAGGTGGCAGACGCAATATTTTTCCTTAAGTTTGGGGGCCTACAACACGTTTTTGAATGTTTGTCGAGGTTAGGTTTGTCACGTACCTGGGTGCCTTTACCCGACCCCGGGGGCCCTAAAAGTATGGCATTAATGCCTGTTGGGGTTTCTTCAGATGGTTTGGTTTTTGGCACAGCAACAGACGGCATTTCGGGCAGCGACTTTAAAAAATGTGTTAACTATTTCGATATTAGGTAATACTAAAGCGATAAAGCTTGTAAATTGACCTCATTCACCTTTGATCACTGTAGATAAAAGGATAACTTGAGCAGGGACAAATTTTTCGAAAATTATTCAAACGTCACAAAACTAGGAACTTTTGTTACGTCAACGAGTGACATAAGCTTGTAGTGGTAGCACTGTTCGTTTCATTTAAAATTAATACAGGATGTTTTATTTTTTATCAGGAGGAATGAACACATTCGCAAAAATGTGCCCTTGGAACGATATACACATTCAGAATATCTTATTTATTAACAAGGTCAATTGTTACAACATTTATTTATTTCCCGAAACTCTCTACTTTCACGTTTTCTCGACCTTTCATGCAGGCGCGGATACAGGATTTCGTTAAGGGGGGGCAATTTTTGTGCGATTTTACCTATCTCTCAGAAATTCGTTCGAAAAAAAAATTTTTTTAATTTTAGCTAGTATACTCTTTTTCACATAACATTTGGTTGTTTTCGTTACACGTTCAATGTACAGTAGAACCTCGATAATCCGCATTAATTGGGAAAAAGGTGTGTTCGGATTAACGATTTGTTCGGATCAGCGATTTTCCCAAAAATCAAAAAAGGGAATTGAATAACAACTTCATACACAGTTGAAAACAAACTTCAAGAAATAAACCTTAATTTATTAAACAATATTAAAGAATTCTTAAGCAACAATGGATAATAGATACATTCGAAAAAAATATTACTCCGTGACCATAAACACGCTATCTTTTTGGAATCAACACGCCGGGATCTATACCCTGAATTTTTTCAGAATTTTCTGATGAATTTTTCAAAAATTAAATTTTCCATTATGTATTACCTCCATTATACAAATTTCAACCCATTCTCGACGATTTTCGAAATTTAACTAAATACATTTTCTTGTAGATTTTGGGCCTCAGAAGTCACTTCTGGCTTCATTTCTTCAATAACTTAAACCATTTTTCCAGATTCATCTAATTGAAATAGCTCGATTTTTAAAAATTTCCAAAAAATCGAATTTCACACCAAATTTTCCGAAAATATTGCTCGGTTACCATTAACATGCTATATTTTGGAATCAGCACGTCGGGATATACATATATCCCTGAATTTTTTCAGAATTTTTAGGAAACTTTTTCAAAAATGAAATTTTCCTCATGCAAATTTCGACCCATTTTCGACGATTTTCGAAATTTAACTAAATACTTTTTCTTGCAGATCATCATTTCTTTGATAACTTCAACCTTTTTTCCAGAATTTGTTAATTAATTCAGTGCATTGAAATATGGCAATTTTTAAAAATTTCAAAATATTCCATACAACATATGCAGAAAAATTTTGCGTTATTTTAGCAAGTAGGTGCGTGTTTCCAAGTTCAGTTCCGAGTTTTTGTTCGGATTAAAGAAGCATCGACTTCAAATAGCCTCTGTTCGGATTACTGGATGTTCGGATAATCGTGAATTCGGATTATACAGGTTGTACTGTATTTACAAAATAAAAAGCGATTTCAAAATTTTGAAGTTGGTCAAAATAAAGTACCTCGGTCGTGTGTCAGGGGGGGGCAATTGCACCCATTGCCCCCCCCCCTGGATCCGCGCCTGCTTTCATGACCCCTAGAGGACGAAGAGATAGGTCTCCCGTTTCTGTATGTCTGTCTGTCCGTCTATCTATGGAAAAAAGAATAGAGGTACCTGAAATAATACAAATGAGGACTAAAACGGTACTACGAAAGTACCCACTCGAAACAAAACGTCAGCTAGAATAACAACACTCAAACCTTCTCGTTTTGTCTGTAAGAGTACTTCCAGTACAGAAACTCCAGGTACTTGCAGGCAAATTTTTTTTTAAGTTAGTACTGCTGCATTCTTTGTTGCTACTACAATCAAATCAATAAATATAAAATGTTGCTAAATGCTATCTAATCTTCCCAATAAATGTAATCGAGAATCGGCAGTTGTTGAATTTAATATACCAAATGGTCTCTTTGGCCAGGATAAATAAGCCCAACCGGAATAGAAATGTAGAATTGTTTTACAGCAATTCAAAAGTGTGGGTATGCGGTGAGTACTGTCTTTCAAAATAATAATAATAATAATTCAAGCTTTTTTATTGATCAGAAAGTAAATTTTCGGAAATTAAAATCGTGTCCGGGATTTCCAGTTTAACGAAAGCGGCACAAAAGTGGTGTAGCTCATGTTCGAAATAAGCGGCACAAAAACACGTTGGGGTTTAGTCAGATATCTCTAGAAAACAGAAAACCAAGTTTCTACTCTAAACCCTTTTTTAATCTCACCCAGTGTCGGATTGTGCCGCCGGGATACCGGGAAATTACCCGCTGGGCCCCAAAACAGTCGATTTCTCTTTTTTTATACAATTATTTACATTTTTCACATATGATGCATAAAAAACGATATATGTAAATATTAAATAAGAGCATCTGCCGTCTGTCTGCCGTCTGTTCGGATTTTTAATAGACAGATAATCTCCGAAACTGCTGAACCTGTTGTCAAATTTTATATGTGTAGATGATCAAAATTTGGCTAATCATCCCTACCAACAATTTGTTGACGTCATCTCCAAAATTTACGGTAGCAAATATTATTTAAATTTTATAAAATAAGATATTCATGAAAAAAAAATCAACATTGTAAAAACAATAGGTATGTTACAGTTTAACTTGCTAAAACCGAATGTTGTGAAATCGTGCCACAAATTTTATAATTGTAACTGTAATATTAATACTTAGAATTGACATGTGCATGATTGCGGTTATTCCTTAATTATTAGAAACTGCTGTCGTAAATAGGATAAATTTTATTGCTTTTTTGATAACCTACAAAATATATAAAAAGTACGAGGACAATTCATTTTTATTAAAAATTATCAAAATGAATCCACCTTTAGGAAACATTAGACACTTATTTGCAACATTTTTCTTGGAGGAATTGTACACCTACTCATATACGTACTGCCAAAAACTGATCTCATTTCTAAAACTTTCAAAATTTCAGCCACTGACTATTTTTATGTTTTCTCGACGTTTCGTGACCCGTCGAATACAACACAGGTCTCAAAATAACTTTCTAAACTATTGTACCGGATGTTACATTAGGAATATCGTGTCGATGGTAAAACGCTAACCAAAATTTGTCTGATCATCCCCACCAACGATGCTATGACGTCAATAACTTCGACCAACTTTTTTATTTATGTCAACCACCCTCCTTTATTGATCGCGACAATTTCGAAACAAAAAAGCAAACTACGAAAGATATGTTTATTAAAATAATTAAGGAAACACTTAAATAATAACTATCATACAAACATTCAATATTACATCAGGAATTGGTTACCAAAAACACAAAATGGTAGTATAAAAACGGTATTAAAACTAATTAGTCTTGTAGTTTTCTTTAAAGTTCATCTTTGCTATCAAGGTCAACATCAGACAAATCAATATCTTCTTCTTGTGGAAGTTCCCCATCTTTACCGTCCCATGGTTCAATACCAACTATTTTTGGAAGTTCTTGCCCTCTGACAGGAGAAGTGTTGCCACGACCATATGACAAATCCCTTTAAAAATACATATATAAATTTTGCTTCAGTAGTAGATGTTACAAACCACTAACCTAAGAAATTCGTTAATTCCGTCTCGTGAAAATGCACCTCTGAGTGTCGAATACTTCATTTTTCTTGCATTAATGACCGCCATCGCTGGGTAACCAAATCCGCCAATATCTAGCGCGTTTTCAAGATCAAATTGAGACCCTGCTTCTGACCAAATCCAGCTACAAAATTAATTTAAGTATTTCACACTAACAAAAAAAAAAAGTATCACTAACCCCCACATTTTCTTCTTATATTTTTCTCCCAGTTCTGTCAATATTTTAAGGTAGTCATTTCTGCACTCTGACTGACAATCTAAGATATGTGGAAGAATAGCCACAACACACAGAGGTTTCTGATCACACGCTTGCTTAAAAGTACCCTGATCTATGATTTGCAAAACTTCAGGTGCAGGCACATTTTCTGCCAATTTTTCCAAAGCCCAGGTGACGATATCACTAGCTGTACGTCCACCATCATAATCAGAAACTGAATCAGAACTCTTCCTCCCTGGAGCAAAGAACTTAATAGTGGGGTATCCTTGAACACCATATTTTGAGGCTTGAACTTGGTGAACAGTGGCGTCCAGCGCTCCCACTTTCACTTTTCCTTTTAGTTCAGTGGCAGCTTTAGCCCAGTGGGGCGCTAAATTCTTACAGTGGCCACACCATGGAGCAAAGAACTCCACCAGCCACATATCCTCCGATTGCATAACTAACTTGTCAAAATTGCTATCAGTCAATTCAATTACGTCTTTATTATCAGCGTCCTGAAAAATTGAAAAATGAGTCCAGTGTAAGCAAATTTTGTTTGGTTGGTACCTGTTCTGAGCTCGAAGAGCCTCCACCAAGACTCGCTTTGACTTTGGCTTTGGCGGCTTGTAGGGCTGCATCCACGAGTCCTTGAGCAGTTCTGGCCCCATTGAAGTCTTCCGGTTTGTTTTTGTTCGCGCCGAAGATTTTGATTGTGGGGAAACCACGCACTCCATAGCGGCCACCCAGATCTTTATGGTCGTCTGCATTCACAGCCCCGACTTTGACCACGCCTTTGAGAGCAGCTGCCGCTTTGGTGTATTCGGGGACTAAGGCCTGACAGTGTCCACACCAGGGGGCAAAAAATTCTACGATCCAGACTTCATCACTCTTAATCACTAATTTGTCGAAGTTAGAAGGCGTCAATTCAACAACACTTGAGCTTGAGGGGTAAAGGGCCCAAGAACTAGCTGACAAGGCAGCCAGAACTGAAAAAATGTTTATATTTACATAACCTATAACTAAACGAATTACAAACCAACTCACCTAATAATTTAAACATTTCGCTTAAGTGATTGTTTCAGACTGGTTTGCTCTATGATAAACCGAATATTGTCTACAATTTATTAAAATCGAATTTTTGAGCCGGTGTCTTATCCAAATCCGCCAACATCGGTCATCAAATTCGTGGTCGCTTGTGATTGGCTGATTCAAAGAAGGACGCGCAGCCTCAAACTACTTGATTTCTCGCGCGTTAAGAATTCAAAATTTGACAAATTCGCCAGTGCAGTGTTGTCACACCAGACACACATTTTTAAAAAATCACGTACACCAAAATCCAAAAGAAACCCCAAATTGGTTAAAATAATTACTCACTAAAGCCATATTAGTAGCTACATCAAAAAACAAGCTTCACAAGGCATTATTTTAGAGTAAAATCCCAAAACGAGTCGTCAGACGGGTTTTAAAAGGGATGAGTAAAATACATTGTCAATATTTTTGACAAATTTAAAACTCACATTATCTGCAAGGCGTGAGCAGGCATGACAGTTGCTATCAAAAAGTTTAAACACCAATCTCTACAATTTTTTTAAACTGTACTTAAAGTAAGATGCGCGTGTTTTCTGCGCAAAACAAAATTGGTGTTGGGTATTAATTTAATTATCTTAATAGATTTCAAATAAAACAATTATAATGTCATGGGCACTTGCAATGGAAAAACATCACTCTGAAAATACTGTACATACGTGTGAGATACTATATTCTTTGGAATTTAGGGATTACAGAACTACATATACGTAGAGCAATATTTTAAATTTAAGACTGAGCTACCAAGTGTTTGCATAAAAGTATGCAATAACAATGTTATGCGCCTCATCACAGACAGTCAAATTAATACACTAATAAAAAATAAAACTATATTATCAGTGTTAATTATAACACAACACTGTTGATAGTTCTTCTAATTGGGTTAATTTAAGTTTTCAGGTTGTAATTCCAATTAACAATCAGTTAGTGACGTCACCTATTCTATTAGTTCAATGAGCTACACCCCTTACTGAATCTAAATTAGTTCTGCACCAATAAACACATTCAATTAAATACAGTCAAACGTCGAGCCTTACAAATAAATAAATCTTTTAAAAACTTTCCTTCATCTTATTGATGCTTATCAAATACATCACCTAGTTGTGTAATACAGTACATACTTAACTAGTACAATTTATTATATTTATGATAAGGCGTAACAAGATGCGCAATTGTTTTAAACCGAACATATAAACCTAAAAGATTATCTTTTCATCAAGTCCCGTATCTCCGTTCTTCGGTTTTAAGATAAGCGCAGAACTTAAGTATTTTTAATTAGAGGTCGTGATCTTCCAGTCGGTTTTTTATATGACTGAAGTATTTCTTTAGAAATTTCGGTTTGAGGACAATGTAATACGTGCTTTTATTTGTCATAAGTGTCTTTAACACAGACTTGATCGTTGGTTTAATTATGCAATTCAGCCAGTTAAGTTTATTGGTGGGTAGCTTTGTGGCCTGTGGATGTGCTCGTAGTGATTAAATAAAAAACTCCCAATTACTATGTAATATAATTCATTTGTTTTATATAAAATGGTACGTTTATCAGTTTTTATCTTCTTGTAAGCTATCTCACATCTGTTCGGATAATTGTTTCATAACAAAAACCTGTGATAAAGCGTAAGTAAGTTTTCCGTGTAAGTGACTTAAGTCAGATTTTGGCTACGCGGTTTTTAGATAATTAGTTAATCGTGTACGCTGCTAATGATGAGTAAGATGACGCGTCCAGAAACCGCTTCCTAAGTGTTTTTTTAATTAATACAAAACTGTAGTAGGTGTTGTGGAAAATGTGTTAAGTGCATAAAGGTAATTTTCAAGTTGAAAACTTTTATTATAATACGGTTTTAATGAGTTTAAAATGAAAATTTAAATGCTGCGCATCAGTGGCATCCAATGAACGATGTGAAATAACTGAACTGTTGCAATGAAGTAAATAAATCTGTTGATAGTAGAATGTTGATAAGTGTTTATGATTGATATTTTATTGTGCTTCCAGTTTTGAATATGGACGTTTACATTTGGATAGTTACTCTGTGCGTGTCTTTCGCTTCGATTGAAACACTAAGTTGCAAAAGAGAAGGAAAATGTAAAATTAGTAGAATTCATTCTATGAAGGCGGCTGACTGCCACGGTAAAGACATGACACAATTTACGCAGTGCTTAGGAAAAGACATTGAGGTAAATTTATGACACATTAATCACCATTTAGCAAACAAATAACATTTTTATAGGTTGTTGATCTTTCCTTCAACAGAATACGAAAATTAGCGAAAGAAGACTTAACGAAATATTCGAACCTCAAGATCTTGTACTTAAACGACAACTCTATAGCTGCTATTGACAAGCAAGCTTTCGAAGGAAGTGATTACTTACAAACTCTCGATTTGTCGCTAAATTCCTTGACGAAAATACCGCCAGTATTATTCCAACTTCCGTCACTTCAGTCACTCTATTTAGGACAGAACTTAAACATGAACATCGTGGACGTCGTCGAAAAAGCAAAACCTATAAAAAGCCCGTTGTTTCATTTAGATATCAGCTACGTGATGACCGAAGAACCCGGTGAATTACCAGACCTCGGGTTTATGCCGACTCTGGAAAAGTATAACATATCAGGAAATAAACTGATCTCGATGACTACGAAACATTTTGCGGGACTTTGCAGTTTGAAATTTTTGGACACGACGAATGTTTCGATCGAATACGAAGAAGACGGGTGTGGATGTTGGACGATAAACAGGTGGCTGATAAGTCGAAAAGTCAATTTTAAGCCTTTCGTCTGTCATAGAAAAGAAGCTGGTAAGTACACCTGACTCGTGATAAAATTTAAGTAAACAGAGTAGGTTTATTAAACTCTATTGTGGTTAAATCGAATTCGAAAGCAAATAAGTCGCACTATCAGAAGAAAATGCACATGCTATCGTTTTTAATTGGATCAGATTTATACGATAACCTTTTAATATGTTTGTGTGCATATATATAGAGTCAATGTTGCCGCAAAACCATAACCTGTGAAAAAATTATGTTGATGTTATATTATATGTATCAACTATAATAATCTTTGACCCGAGATAAGTTACTTCAAACGTTTGTTGGAAATCCACACAAAAACAAGCGATTAACTTAGATGATTCCAAAGTATCTGGTGCAATGCGAGAGAGAGAGAGAGATGATTGCTTTGCCTTTTAAATTAAGCACTTTGATTAAAAATCAAGCCATTTCACGTTAACACACTTATTATCACAAGATAAAAACTGGAATTAAGCAATTTCCGGTTTATACATGGTGATTTTTTTTTAGTTTAAAATTCAGTTCTATCGCCCACTAGATAAACATTGCAACTTATCACATCACTCTGAACCTCACTCAGATATCAATCAGATTAAAATGAGTTATTTCAAAACAAAGTTGAAAAATACTTAATAATAATCGTCGTTAAACATTGTAGTTCTGATGTATCTTTAATGTCGTTGCAGAATGCCTTCAGGATGTTCCCATAGACGATTTTAAAGTGTACGAGAAATGTATCGGTGAACTGAAGGAAGAACTTCGAAAGTCAAAAATGAAGACTATATTGTTAATAGTTGTCCCAATTGGTGCTGCGGTGATTTTAGCTATAGTGGCATACTTCTTCGTAAGACGAAGGCGAAAGCTAAAGAAAAAGCAAAAAGCAGACCCAACACAAGAAATAATGCTCAACAATGCAGTGAAAAAGGCGTGATACTACATTTATAAGTTTTTATAATTAATTTATTGTTATTTATCAGTTACAATTTAGAGTGTTAAATTTTTGTGAGAAATTGATATTATAACCAAAGTTTGGTTTTGTTAGATAATATAGAATAGATTTATTAAAGTGTACACCTATTATTGAATAAATTTTATTATGGTAAAATGACAAATAATTGTACATAAACTACATTTCTAATAATAATAATACTGCTTATATTTAGTATCCTTAATTGAGTATGTGTTCTAATAAAAAAATAACAACGTCAGCAGTCTGGCAGTTAACATTGGGTATGTATAAATCTAAATTTAGAAGAATAAATTATTGTATCGGTTAGATGAGATAGAAACTTTATTATCAGGTTTGGGTTTACCCGGTTTCCAGAAATTCTTGATCACGTGATCAACTTCAACCAAATTCTAAAACTTCTAACATTTAAAGCAGTTGTAGGTAGTTCTAGCAAGATGTGCCATTTTTCCCTAAAATTTAAAAATTTATAGCCAGTTTGGTGCGGTTTCAACTGATTAGAAACCTGCACACCTATAAAAAAAATCAAATAGAATTACAAAGAAAGTGATAATAATAATAATCATTATCACCATACAAATGACACAATGTGAATACCTTTAATTTGCGAACGTTACTTGGAACCATAACAAAAATAAAAAATACACCACTGCGATATAGTATGTATGTAACGCATCTTAATTTCTTTCGTTATTCGCGATGTTAGATAGTATGTTGTAACTAAAATTTGGCTCTACTGATTTTACTCTAGTCAGTTGTTAATCTGATATTTCTCATTACCGAAAATTTTTAGAACATTAATTGTACTTTGCAAATATAGAAAATAAATATGCAAATACTGTTCGCATTCTTCTGTATAAGTATTTACTTTGCAGTTGCTTGTCAGATTGGATGTAGGTAGGAACATAAGTTGTTAAATATGTACTAGGTATTTGATTTATAGATATATCACCCAAAGGACATGATATTGAAATAGAATACGGCAATCCATTAAATTTAGCATGTGTTATAACTGACACAACTTATAAAAGTGATAGTTTATCTTTTACTAGAAATGATGAACCAATTCCATCAGAAATGGTAAGTTAAAGTTCAATATAGTTCTTTTTTGTGTTGATAATAAATGTTGCAGATTGATGTTGTTAATTCAACTGTCATAAATTTACACATTCCAAAGCCAGCATTAGTATCCAAAGACTTGTATACATGTATATCAAATGATACAACCGTTTGTAAGACGTATGTTTCAGTGGGAAGTACGTATATTTAATATTCAGTTCGAAAAGCTAATTTTTAGATTCCAGTTAAACCACAAAAAGTTACGGATTTCAGTTGCATATCGAATAATTATGATAACTTAACGTGCTCGTGGACAACACCAAACAACTATGTCTCTACAGACTACAATTTAACGTTTACTGTCGGAGAAGGAAGGGCGGCTAGGTAAACTGATCATTTGGGAACGAATAGTATTCTGGTTTTGTTTACATAATTTTTGTGCAGTTGCTATTTATTTTCAGATGAAGTAAACGAATTATTATTTTTGTAGATATATCTACTTATGCCCAGTTCTACAGTCTGAAGCTAATAATAAACGCAAGTATTGCTTCTGGGACAAGTTAACAACACCTCACTATAGACTAGTATACGAGAGTTTCAATTTCACTCTCAAAATGAACAACACTTTTGGCCAGAATCAGATAAATGTGTATTTCGTTCATTTTTCCAAAGGTTTGTCTTTCTTTGTTACGTTAGAACTAGCACAACGTAAATCTCTTTTAGTGTGGTCTGGTCCTCCCGAAAACTTAATGGCAGAGAGTGTGACACCTTCGTCTGTGTATTTGTCCTGGAGGGTTCCTTCGTCTATGCAAACCTTTCCACCAGGCGTACATCATAGAATCTTGTATCAATGTAAATATGGAAAAAAGGAGTGGAAGCTTGGAGGTATGCTCACTGGTAGAAGCTTTCGCGGAAGAACAAGTTTTAACTTAACAAATCTTCCAAATGCACACACTATATGCGAAATTAGAGTTTCGTTACGTTCGGCCAAAGCTTTACCTGATGATAAATCTATGTGGTCTCGAAACGCATCTATTACTGTGCGAACGGGCAGTAAAAGTGAGGTTGTCGTACAAAAACTGTGTCGATGATAACATTTACATTTCAGTACCAGATGAACCACCACTAACGGATGTTGGCAGTTTTGAGATTGTTGCTTTTGATGACGGGTATAGAGAAGTTTACATCTACTGGAAGCATATTAAAGAAAAGCAAAAGAACGGGCCTTTATTTAGATATGGAATTAGTTGCGAGGAGGATGATTCTATTAAACCCACTGAAATCACAAACGCTTACGCTAAGTTCGACAATTTACCTGCGTCTAAAAGCTACACTTTCCACATTTGGTCAGAAAATATGAACGGATCATCGCTTGGAAGATCAACTGTTCGTGTCCCTGAGGAAGCAGATCGTACGACATAGCTTAAGTCGTTTGTGTGCAGATACTAATAATTTTTTTTCAGATGTGAAAGAACCAAAGAATTTTATTGCAGTAAAATTCAGCGAAGGAGATTTTGAGTTGTTTTGGGAACCTCCTGAGTTATCGACGAATCAATATATCACAAACTATACGATCTTCACTTGTAGTAACGTAAGGGATAGACCTGATCAGTGTACTGTATGATTCTGGAAAATTTCAAACATGCGTATTGTAACGAAAACTTTTTTAGGGTTTGCTTAACTGGAAGGTAGTTTCAAATAAAACCACAGCTGTTGATATGAAAGTGAATAAAAATCAAATTTTCCAGCTTGCCATAGCAGCAAACACGAAAGACAGTAGTAGCGGCATGTTGTGGTCCGATTGCAAGATTAAATATTACAAAAATAAAAGGGGTAAATTGAGAAACGTTTGGATTTATAGGGTGGGAGTCACGTTCGTCGAACTTGGTTGGGCACGCGATTGTAAAGATGGAATAGTTAACGTTTACGGCTACATTGCTTATTACTGTCCCATTAAAGGACCGCTTCACGCAGAATGCACAGGTACTCGCTCACTCTGTATTTTACTTTTTTACTATGTTTCATTTTAGCTCCAGCAACAAATATCACGTTTCCTGGCAATGCTATATCTCGTGGTAACATCACAGACTTAAGCCCTCATACCACCTATATGTTTACCATCTCTGCGGTAACTAAACGTAACACATTTAGTCAACAAAGTGATCCTTTGTACAGTACAACTCTCGCTGGATAGTGTGATTGTGACCCTTAATACACGATCTCAATTGCAGTTTGCACAATAATGTGTTCGAACAAAGTAATAATAAAATTTGTAACCAAGTAAGACATATGTAATTTTTATTTGTTATATTTTAAAATGGAATATTAGCTTAGATAAGTATTTCTTTTGCTAAATATCCACTATGTAGACACCTGCTGCTAATTTAACTGTCTGATACTGAAGACCCAAACACAATGCAAGAAGTAACTCCAAAATCGTTGAGAGCCTGGAAGCGTTTGGGATTACCCGGTTTCCAGAAATACTTATTCTACAAATTCTAAAATTTCTGACAGCAATTGTAGGATGTTCTAGGAAAACGTGCCATTTTTCCCTAAAATTTAAAAATTTGTAGCCAGTTTGGTGAGGTTCAACTGATTAGAAACCAGCACACCTATAAAAAAATTGGTCCAAGTACACTATAACAAATCCAGCGTTTTCGAAAAATGATCAAATTTGATTATGCGAATTTTATTTTTTTATGAGAAGCCTTGTAAGTTAAAATAAAGATATACTGATATTTGAGATGACGTCATCAGTTTTTTGACGGGAACAGACATATTTTGATTAAAAATTTAGCATACTCACGGTAGGTACGGTTAAAACGTTTGCAAGATTTCAGAGCATTCGGTTGTGCATTTAATCAATAAAATAAATTGACCCTTTCATTAATTTGTTGACTCATCTTGTATAAGTAATTCTAAAAACTATGAGTACGTTAGTAAACCACAAGCATTGAGTCATACTATTTTGCTTATTTCAGAGTGGATTTATTGGGAAAAATTTTAAGATGACGTCATTAACTTTTTGAGAGGGGATAAACGCATAAATTTTGAATAACGATTTACCATGGTTACGATAACCTTATAATATTTACAAAAATTCAGAGCATTTGTATTGCAGAATATTGTTATACAGTTTTTAATTTTTTCCAAAAATTCTGGATGTCTAGGGAGAAAATTCGACATGTCATCCCATTAGTGGCGAGCACGGTGGTAGAAGTAAGGTGTGGAAACCTCATTCATAACTTTCCTCAAAATCATTGGTAGAAAACACAAATCGCGTGGTTTGGATTATATGTCATTAGCTGTCCACACCGCAGCGACGTCTAGAGAGATCAGTTGAAATTAAGTAATAGAAAACTGCATTAAATCTTTGACATTTATGTCAATGTTATTTATTACCCAATCACAAATGTCGAATCATCCACCAATCACACGATTCACACCAAAGACCAACCACAAACCGTAGTGCTGTGATTTATTTTCCCTCCAACGAATCTGTCACTTAATTCATTCATAAATACACTGACAAGTTGAAATGTTAAGACATAGATGGACATACTGTGCTGCATACTATTTCGTAGTAAATAAGCCTACTGGGATGCGTGTTTTATTCAACAAATTGGAGCGGCTTGTTTCCACACCTTACTTCTACCACCGTGGTGGCGAGGATGATTAGTAAAATTTCGGTCCAGTAGTTTCGGAGATTACTTGTCTAATAAAAATGGATACAGACACCAGACAAACGGAAACGGGAGACCAGTTTTTTCGTACTCTAGAGGTCATGACACGTCGAGAAAACATGAAGTGTCAATTCGCCCGATGGACTCGATTACTATACTTTCTTAGCTTACACTCGGGAAGTAAAAATGTCTCGGTATACATTTTCTGACCGTCGAACGCCTACCTTGTCTTACCCAATTATCCAGAATTATGGGTTGCCTATCATTTACACTTTTCACACAACAAATTATTTATTTAATAATTCATTTACAATTTTTTAATGTTACACTTTGGTTGTTATAAACTATAATAGAAGATTTTGTGGACCAAATTGATAGTATAAAGGATATCAAAATATTTTGTGGATACTTCTTTATTCGACAATTTCTATAATACAAACACATTTTTTCTGTAATTGTAGTACAGAATGTTTTATCATCGACAAGATTATCACATTTTGTCAAAAACTATATAAAAAAGAATTACACTTTCAATGAAGTCTCGCCAGTTTTCTAACTAAAAACCCTTTTAATTTGTGATCCAAACTAACCTTATTATATTTACTATCCGCGTATTTTTGTTGAACAGACTTATGTTTTGAGGATTCTGCAGCTATCAGGAGTCTTGCAAATTTAACAACTACGTGTTCGAATTCGGAATATTGACAATTAGAATACTGGGCGAGACGTGTAGTCCATACTTTAGATGGACAACTTGCGTTGCGAAAAATTGCAATTGATAAACAACAAGCAGCTGCAGCTTGCAACGAAGGTCTAACATGTGACACATTGTGGTCCAAAAGGGCCAGTTCTAACAAGTATTTGGAAAGATTATGCTGTTCTAATTTGACATCCGCTAATCTACTATATCGCTTTAAAAAATGTATGGGAAGCGGTTTCCCTAGATTATATTGCAAAGTCTTTAAAATACTGATCTCCATCTTCAAAATCTCCTCAGTCGAAAAACAGTTGTCACATACAGACTTGAAATCCTGCAGTTCCGGGTAGAATATTTCCTCGTATTTACAAGCGATCATCAGAGCCGAAGTTCCCACTAGTTGCAAAGTGTCTCGACCCACCTGAGTGTTGTCTTGGAGGTACCTGTCAGTCAGAGAAATGCACATGTGTAGGGTTTCGGGGCAAAGTCTGAAGTGTTCGTGGACTGGGATTAACCAGTTGACTAAAATGGCACGCATTTGAAACGTCGACTTATGGTTTTTCAGAAAATCCTCTCTTATGGGGTACTTCAGCTCCATTTCGTAGAGGTATTTGAAAATATCAGCCTGGTATTCTGATACCATTTGGGGGTTACTGCTCGTTTCTGAGTCAAGTTCAGGAGCTCCCATTAACTGGGAAGTAGAGAAGGCTTTAATGGTGGGGTGGTTTTCTTTTTTTGCTGGTTGGACGGGTTTGGGGGCTTCTTTTGGTTCTTTGGCGGCATCTGGCTTCTTGATTTCGGGCTTGTTATTGTTAAGTTTGTTACTTAGCTCGTCTAATGGTGGTCGTTTTGTCAGGTTGATTTGTTTAATGCGGTGAGATTTTCCTGCTTTCGCAGTGAGTGTAGGAACAACGTCACGGTGGCGGTGGGCCATCTAAAAGAAGGAAAATATTATCACGGATAGTTTTTATCGAGTTTTTAACTTTGTTTTGAATTATTTTTAAATGATTTTAAAGCAGCGTTTTTACTGGAATTAGATCTCACAGTATGACGTGAAAGGCCTGAACTAAATAAATTAAATGGGCGAGAATTTATTACATAGTTTTTCAGACAGATATTGACTGCTTTAAACCTTTGACAAAAACCGCCATAAAAAAAAGGTACTTCAGATTCAAAATTAAAAGCAATTTAACACTCAAATGAATAAACGAATTCAAATAACTCACCATCCAGTTTTATGTAAATAAAAACGGTAAAGTTCTATTTAAAATAAAAAACTCACATATTCTTTACACAGTGGAAATGATTTTTGTGCTAGACATTTAAATCCGTCAGCGCATGTGATTGGTGGAATGCATTCAAATTCAAGGTTAGAAACGTCAATCAAAAGAACTGCACTAAATTTAAAATTGTTATGTAGGCAACTAGCAATTCTTACTAGTTGCAAATTAATTTAAAAACTGACAGTTCAAAATCATGTTTCAGGATAAAAGCTTCAACGAGGAGGAAGTCCAAGAAGTAAAATTTCTCCCAATTTATAAATTCTACAAAAATGTCTCACTTTTGCGCTTAGATCAGCGACTCTCACAGGACCGTCTGGACCTCCAGGCCACTTCCGACCTGGTCGTCCGGGTCCCCCAGCTGTTTTATTTTTTAGTTTTATCAATTAATTGACATAGTTAATTTCATCTGGGAGTCTGTTAACAAATATTGATCAAATAGGGAAGAATTGGTACAAGTCAATATTTGTTTAATGTCTGTGTATTATTATCAGTTCACGTACTTAACTTGGATTGTTTGTGTTTATACGTCGAAACAGTGCCATCAACCTACAAAATTGTTTGAACATGATTATTCTTCTTATATGATCATAATAATTAAATAAAATATTAATATTCTCACATTTTCTAGAAAATGAGGTTCTTAATATGATCGATAAAAAATTGGTCGAAGACTATAACTATAATTTAATAATAATTTATTCAGCAATATTTTGACGTGACGTCATCAATTTTTTAGGCGGAATGAGCAAATTCATTTTAATCAAAAATTTACAATGCTTATGATAATTTTAAAACATGTCCAAGATTTCAAAGCATTCGGTTTTGCAGATTCAAAATTAAATTTCAAAATGTTGTTTTGCAATTTTAATTTTTTTCCCAAAAATCTATACGTTTCGTGTAAAAACTCAATACGGAGTCATAAACTGCACGTGTAGGAATACGTTATTTTATACAATTTAAAACCCTTTTGAAGTGACATATTTTGAATCGTTGACATCTTAATTGCTAAAACACACATTAAATGTTTACCATTGACATTTTCACTGTCGTCCGACACTTCAGTTGTCTGCTGTTGTTAGTTAACTGTCTGATTTTGAGAGTCTAGCATTCTTCTTTGGAGAAAATAAAGTTCTCTATATGCTTTAGAAAAAGTATCTCCGCTTAAATCAATACAGGTATAGAACTTTACTTTTTACAAAAAAGAATACTGCTATAAAGGTTGTTTTCTGTAAATATAGAATTCTTTTTAAATATATAGAATTCTACTTAAATATAGAATTCTTCTTAAATATAGAATTCTTTTTAAATATAGTATTCTTTTCTGCAAAAATTAAAGTTCTGTATTTAAAGGTCCCATCAAAATTCATTAACAATTGCTTTTTGTTAGCTTACAATACAACCTATCAGAATACAGATGGCATCCGTCTCAACCCCCTTTCCCCAGCCTCGTCCCTCATCCAAATTGGTGTTAAAAAGGGTGTGTAACCTAGCATTTGGTCATTACAAGGAAGAACAACCCTTGTCTGTATTAATTTAAAACAAGCTATTTTAGCAGTTCATCACTAGAAAGCGCTAGAAGGTATAACCAGTGCATTAAAATTTTCTATTATTGGAATGCGAAAAGAAGATCCTACAAGTGCTATCATCACTGGTGCTACACTGAACGTTTTCTGCTACGTTCTATGCAATTTCAGCAACCGTTTAGAAAACCAGGGACAAAATAAAACGTAAAAGAATCCTTTATCTGAAGTTTTGGCTTGCAGAAGGTCATATCTTGTATAAAAACCAATTTGGGAAATTTTTTGTACCATTCATTAATTGTTACAGTTTTAGAAGGCGTATAAGAGGAAAGTAACAGAAATTTTTATTATTTGCTTTATTTTCAGAAATTAAAGTTTCGATTTTGTAAATGGAACAATCTACGAAGTTTTCGACCTATTTCCTCCTTTTCGTCCTTTTTCGTCCTTCTTCGTCCTTTTGTTCCATTTTCGTCATTTTTCGTCCTTATCCGTCCTTTTTCGTCCTTTTCGTCCTTCTCCGTCTTTTACGTCCTTTTTGGTTTTTTTCGTCCCTTTCGTCCTTTTCCGTTCTTTTTGGTCCTTTTCGTCCTTTGGACCTTTTCGTCCTTTTTCGTCATTTTTGTTTTTTTTTCGTCCTTTTTCGTCCCTTTTCGTCCTTTTGCGTCCTTTTTCGTCCTTGTTCCTTCTTTTCGACATTTTCGTGATTTCTAGTCCTTTGGACCTTTTCGTACTTTTTCGTCCTTTTTGTTCCTTTTTCGTTCTTTGTCGACATTTTCGTCCTTTCTCGTCCTTTGGACCCTTTCGTCCTCTTTGGTCCTTTTTTGTCCTTTTTCGTCCTTTTTCGTCCTTATTGGTCCTTCTTCGCCCCTTTCGTCCTTTTTGGTCCTTTTCGTCCTTTTGACCTTTTCGTCATTCTCGTCCTTTTTCGTTGATTTACGTCATTTTCGTCCTTTTTCGTCCTATTTCGTCCTTTTGAGTCCTCTTTCGTCCTTGTTCGTTCTTTTCGACAATTTCGTCCTTTCTTATCCTTTGGACCTTTTCGTTCTCTTTGGTCCTTTTTCGTCCTTTTCGTCCTTTTTCGTCCTTATTGGTCCTTCTTCGCCCCTTTCGTCCTTTTTCGTCCTTTTGCGTCCTTTTTCGTCCTTTTTCGTCCCTTTTCGTCCTTTTGCGTCCTTTTTCGTCCTTGTTCCTTCTTTTCGACATTTTCGTGATTTCTAGCCCTTTGGACCTTTTCGTACTTTTACGTCCTTTTTGTTCCTTTTTCGTTCTTTGTCGACATTTTCGTCCTTTCTCGTCCTTTGGACCCTTTCGTCCTCTTTGGTCCTTTTTGGTCCTTTCTCGTCCTTTTCGTCCTTTTTCGTCCTTTTTCGTCCTTATTGGTCCTTCTTCGCCCCTTTCGTCCTTTTTCGTCCTTTTTGGTCCTTTTCGTTCTTTTGACCTTTTCGTCCTTCTCGTCCTTTTTCGTTGATTTACGTCATTTTCGTCCTTTTTCGTCCTATTTAGTCCTTTTGAGTCCTCTTTCGTCCTTGTTCCTTCTTTTCGACAATTTCGTCCTTTCTTGTCCTTCGGACCTTTTCGTTCTCTTTGGTCCTTTTTGGTCCTTTTTCGTCCTTTGCGTCCTTTTTCGTCCTTTTTCGTCCTTATTGGTCCTTCTTCGCCCCTTTCGTCCTTTTTCGTCCTTTTGCGTCCTTTTTCGTCCTGTTCGTCCTTTTTCGTCCTTTTTCGTCCTTATTGGTCCTTCTTCGCCCCTTTTGTTCCATTTTCGTCATTTTTCGTCCTTATCCGTCCTTTTTCGTCCTTTTCGTCCTTTGGACCTTTTCTTCCTCTTTGGTACTTTTTCGTCATTTTCATCCTTTTTCGTCCTTTTTCGTCCCTTTTCCTTCTTTGTCGACATTTTCGTCCTTTCTCGTCCTTTGGACCTTTTCTTCCTCTTTGGTTCTTTTTCGTCATTTTTGTCATTTTCGTCCTTTTTCGTCTTTTTTCGTTCCTTTTCGTCCTTTTGCGTCCTTTTTCGTCCTTGTTCCTTCTTTTCGACATTTTCGTCCTTTCTAGTCCTTTGGACCTTTTCGTACTTTTTCTCCTTTTTCGTCCTTTTTCGTCATTTTTCGTCCTTTTTCGTTCTTTGTCAACATTTTCGTCCTTTCTCGTCCTTTGGACCTTTTCGTCCTCTTTGGTCCTTTTTGGTCCTTCTTCGTCCTTTTCGTCCTTTTTCATCCTTTTTCGTCCTATTTCGTCCTTTTGCGTCCTTTTTCGTCCTTGTTCCTTCTTTTCGACATTTTCGTCCTTTCTAGTCGTTTGGACCTTTTCGTACTTTTTCTCCTTTTTCGTCCTTTGTCGTCATTTTTCGTCCTTTTTCGTTCTTTGTCGACATTTTCGTCCTTTCTCGTCCTTTGGACCTTTTCGTCCTCTTTGGTCCTTTTTGGTCCTTTTTCGTCCATTTTCGTCCTCTTTCGTCCTTATTGGTCCTTCTTCGCCCCTTTCGTCCTTTTTCGTCTTTTTACGTCCTTTTTCGTCCTTTTCGTCCTTTTTCGTCCTTATTCGTCCTTATTGGTCCTTCTTCGCCTCTTTTGTTCCATTTTCGTCATTTTTCGTCCTTATCCGTCCTTTTTCGTCCTTTTCGTCCTTCTCCGTCTTTTACGTCCTTTTTCGTCCTTTGGACCTTTTCGTCCTTTTTGTTTTTTTTACGGCCCTTTCGTCCTTTTCCGTACTTTTTGGTCCTTTTCGTCCTTTGGACCTTTTCGTCCTTTTTCATCATTTTCGTCCTTTTTCATCATTTTCGTCCTTTTTCGTCTTTTTTCGTTTCTTTTCGTCCTTTCGCGTCCTTTTTCGTCCTTGTTCCTTCTTTTTGACATTTTCGTTCTTTCTAGTCCTTTGGACCTTTTCGTTCTTTTTCGTCCTTTTTCGTCCATTTTCGTTCTTTGTCGACATTTTCGTCCTTTCTCGTCCTTTGGACCTTTTCTTCCTCTTTGGTTCTTTTTCGTCATTTTCATCTTTTTCGTCCTTTTTCGTCCTTTTTCGTTCTTTGTCGACATTTTCGTCCTTTCTCGTCCTTTGGACCTTTTCTTCCTCTTTGGTTCTTTTTCGTCCTTTTTCGTCCCTTTTCGTTATTTGTCGACATTTTCGTCCTTTCTCGTCCTTTGGACCTTTTCGTACTTTTTCGTCCTTTGTCGTCCGTAGTCGTCATTTTTCGTCTTTTTTCGTTCTTTGTCGACATTTTCGTCCTTTCTCGTCCTTTGGTCCTTTTCGTCCTTCTTCGCCCCTTTCGTCCTTTTTCGTCCTTTTTCGTCCTTTTCGTCCTTTATCGTCCTTTTTCGTCCTTTCCGTCCTTTGTCGTTCTTTTTCGTTCTAATTCGCCCTTATTCGTCCTTTTTCGTCCTTGTGTCTGTTGTTTCATTTATTGAAGTACGACTGATCTTTTTTTTTTCATTACATCATAGAATTTCTTAATTTTTAGTTTTTTTTTTTAATTTTTATTAGTGTATCCTATTTAAATTAATCATATTATTAAGTTAGTTATACCTACATTTATGTAAGTTTTAGTTAGTTCCTGTAATTGGGTGAAAATCACCTGCTGGAAAATAAAGAGATTATTATTATTATTAACTAGGATGAGGGACGAGGCTGGAGAAAGAGGGATTTTTGGTTTCCCATCTGTGTGCTGATAGTAGAAGGGAGAGATTATACTATAAACAATGCTACAGAACTTTAATTTTTACAAAGAAGATACTAGCATAAAGGCTGTTTTCTGTAAATATAGAATTTTTCCTAAATATAGTATTCTTTTCTGCAAAAATTAAAATTCTGTATTTAAAGGTCCCATTAAAATTCAGTAAGGATTGCTTTTTCTTAGTTTACAGAATAGTCCACCAACATACAGATGACACCTCGCTCAGCCCCCTTCCTCCAGCCTCGTCCCTCATCTGAATTGGTGTTAAAAAAGGGGCGTAACATAGCATTTGGCTTTACAGGGGAAGAATAAGCTTTTGTCTGTTTTGATTTAGAAGCTTTTTTGTAGTTTTCCACCAGAAGGCGTTATACGATACAAATAAAACCAGCAACATTTTTCTGTTTTCTGGATCGCGGAAGAACAATGTTGAATGTTTTCTGCTAAGATCTAAGAAATCTTGGTAACCGCTTGGAAAATCAGGGACAAAATAAAACGTAAAAGAATTCTTTCTCTAAATTCTGGGCTTGTCAAAGACCTGTCCTGGGTAATAATGTTCATGTGAAGGTGGAACAACCCTGTCTGTATTGATTTCAACGCAGTTCGCCAATAGGAAGCGCTGTAAGATAGAAATAAATAAAATGACTGCATATTGTATTATTACTTTTATTCAGTTGCATTAACGAAACGTATAGCACACTACAGTGACCTCTTGTGTGTTATAAACGCATAGAAAATCGTAATTAGAGGAGAGTGACGACATGATATTGTCAAAGGGCAGCTGAGTGAATTATGTGTTGCCTATCTCATAGGTTATCAAGTGAGGGTTTACTTTTTTACTAAAAAAAGAAAAAATAACACACAAATTTAGCGTGAAATCTCACTTTAGGAGTAGTATTGATAGTTATTGAATGAAGTAGTTGCTTCCATTAATTTGAACATGGACCTTGAACAAAAAAACTCGTTTTGAATCCAAAAGTAGTTTTTTGCATTTCGGTATTTTTAACGGTACTTCAACGATACAAGTACTTTTCTGTTGGCGACTAATGCATACATTTTGATTTTTTAAAACGTTTAATTCCGCATTTTTTATGAAAATAGTTCAGGAAATGCTCGTCTTTTGTTACCGTGGGGTTGGTACTCTGGAAAAGTGACAGTTTCACCTGGTTTCACCATTCGATTCGAAGTATTTTGACAATGACATTTAGTGATGTGTAATCAGTAAATAGTATTTAAATGAAATAAAATAAATGTGATAACGCTATTGACAAACTTTTAATTTAGCTTTTTGTAGTCTGACAAATATGTTTAGTCGCTTTAAAAGTGCAGTTATAGGTGCTGTGAGTGGTTTAGAAACAAACGGCTTAACTCCTGGCGAGTCCCATTCCCACCTTAAACAACAAACTTTAGCCCCGAAATTCTCATACGGTCGTCCTGCTTTTCTCAATTTAAGCGAAGATGAAGTCCAAATGTCAGCCGACCACAAACTACGGCCTATCATTCATCCCAGCATGTCACTGCCACATCATGCAGGTTATGCCGAATGTGTTAACGCTGGAAAATCGAAATGGAACGAAGATCAAGCCGTTTATCGACAAGGTGTCTTGACCAGGGTCGAATATAACGATAAACAGGGTGTGCAGAAATTCTCCATTCCATACACATATTATGGCATTTTTGATGGACATGCCGGAGTGGGGGCTGCTTTGTGTGCAGCAAACCAACTGCACCACATTTTGCATGTATGTTAAAACACGCCCAAGTAAAATTTAATCCAACCATTACTAAATTTTCCAGGAAAAACTGGTTGATGCTCAAGATGACATTTGGATCGATTTTAGTGAAAAAAAGAGGCTGAAATCTAAACCTAGTGACTTACTTGTAACAGGTGCTCTAGAAGCGGCTTTTAAAGAAATGGTTTGTGTTTTTGTATTTTTATATGACAAGTTGTTACCAATAGTTTCGTCACAGGATCAAGTTATAGCTGAAGACAGGACTAAGTACCAAGCTGCTGGTGGTTGCACAGCTTTGGTAGCTTTATTTATTTTAGACAAGTTATTTGTTGCAAATGCGGGCGATTCTCGTGCGATTCTTTGTAATGAGAATAAATTTAGTCAAATGTCCATGGATTTTACTCCTGAAAATGAACGTGACAGAATCAGAAGACTTGCAGAAGAGCAACCAAATTTATTAGGTGATTATTAATTCATTTTTTAAGGTAATAATAGAGGGCACTTGCCACTTCCACTTTGACTTTTGATTCATCAAAAATTTCTATCAGTTTGTTTTCCAGTTTTGTTTATTTTGTTTGTATTTTTATCTATAAGTGTGCTCATTTGCTAATAGAAGAAATCAATAGCAAGATAGAACGTTTCGTTAATAGATGGCGCTGTAGGTTACATTCAACACGTCTTTGTTACGTTACTTCATTATGTAAATTCAACGCATTAATGAACGTAGGAACACACGTGTTGCTTTATTTCTTAAAAAGTTTTAAATCTTTTTATGTGTAATTACGTCGGTGATAAACGATTCGATCATTTATAAAAATATAAATTTTAGGTTAAGTGTTTAAAATTGACGCGGTATTGAAGGTGGCACAACGAATAAGTCGAAACATGTGTGTACTGATACTATAAATTCAATTTACTGAAATTATATACACAAGTGTTTGCTGATACTTCATACAAATAAATTCGTCGACTATTTAAATTAGAACTTATAGTAATTAGCTTAAGGAAATACTTATTGGTAGATCACGACTTACACCGTAGTTGGGACAGTTCGAAAAAGTGACACGAGATGTCGCATACTTTATGGAACTGACCAATGGGAAAACTACAATAAGTTTCAAATATTTTCATAAATTCTCTAATAGATGGCCTAGTTCAACCCGAATCAATTCTGGTTTAATTTTAACAAATAAGTCCAGTGTTAATTGTTTGCTAATCAGTTTTGTATTTTGCATGCAGTTTGATCTTATAATATATTAGTCAAGCATACATAGAAATCAGGTTAGGCGTTTGATTATCCTAATTTTTGAAAACTAATCAAGTGGTTGTCCTGTGCCTGTCTGCCTTGTTGCTAAACATTGTTGCATTCGAGACTCATTTCAGGACAAGAGTTTACCTCGAAAGAGTATGTAAGACCCCCAAAATCAACGGAACTAGGTAAAACAATAATGTATAGAGACGCTCACATGAGCGGCTGGGCTTACAAAACGCTTCAAGTAGACGATCTCAAACTTTCCGTCATAACCGGTCAAGGCAAAAGAGTAAGCGGTTCGTAAGCCCTCTTTAAATTTTTTGACCCGATTTTTGCAGAGCCGCGTGATGGGGACTATCGGCGTAACTCGTGGTTTCGGCGACCACGATCTCGTTTCAGTTTACCAGAAATCTCCAATTAAGCCATTCCTGTCGTGTCACCCGGAAGTGCAGGTTCACAAACTTACAAGTGCTACTGAAAAGGAAGTACTAGTGATGGGCACCGATGGTTTATGGGACGTTGTTTGCGGCACCAAAGCCGCCGAAGTGGTAGCTAAATCTATAAACACTTTTATGGAAAAAGAACGCTACGTTAGTGCAGCTACATGTTTAGTGGGATCTGCAAGAGGTTCATTAATTAATGAACATAACTGGCAACTTAAAGACGGCAAACCCTCATCGGCCGATGACATTTCAGTATTTGTTATTCCTTTATTTCCTTATAGGTTAGAGTACGAGAAGTTGATCAAAAAGTACACCTACAACGCATGAATTGGGAGTTTGCTTTGTTTTTTTTCCATCATGTTGCTTCTGGTCTCCACCACACTCCAAAGATTAGTGATAACAAATCATTATTATATTTTTTTGAACATACTATCGTTATATGTTTGTACCTGTTCGTTTTGTATAACTTTTTTTTGTGCATGGTCACTTATATGTGGACCTTACCATTCCTTGTTTATTGTATTTTCGTAATGTTATACCCATTTGGGACAGCGTTTGCAATAAAATTGATAAAAAAATTGCAAAGCTATTTGGTTGCTATTATCTCCACCCATTAAACATCTGATTTACGTAACTTATGCTTCTGTATTGTTATAAGTGATGACCTCAATGATATAACTACAAGTAATGAGAAACGCGGTAATGGAATCAAGGTTTATCCGAGAAGTGATAAAAAGAATCGCCGCATTTTTTATTAGAAGGGTAGGGTGCTATAACTGTCATATGCGCTCACAACAGATGGAGTTGGAACGTTTATATTACCCTTGCATGTGTTCACCCCCGCGTATGCTAATTCGCGAAGTGAAAATAATGTTTAGGCATTAGTAATGAATAACAATAGGTGGCAGCACACCTGTCCACTTTTATTTTAGTCTGACAACCCTGATGATAATAACATCAGACGGTATTAACACAAAATTAGTACACGAAGATGAGTAAACACAGAAGAAATAATAATGTGCACAGTATATCGTAAAACGTAAAGACGGAATGACTTTTTAATGACTCTATTTATGTTTATAAATTTGTGTTCCGAAAAGACATGAAGGAATTAAGCTTGCAGTACAGCAATAAAACACGTATAAAATATGGAATCGTCGTATTCCGCAGGAGAATGTAAATTGACATAAATAAGAAGGAAATATATAATTCAAAAGCCCGAGATGGAACAGCATCGGCTCGGTGGTGTACAACCCTAATAAAGCGTCATAGTGTTTCGCTTTTCCCTTGACTGAACTTGCTTTCCCGATGACGACCTAATGAAATTCTATGAGCCATGGCGATGAAATATAACCTAACGGGGATGAAACCGTTTGCATGTATATGGAAGTCAAGCAGCCATTTTCTCTATTAACGATCAGTTTAGTTGACGAAAACATACTTCAATATCAAATCAAAGACGTTCCACTGCAAATGCTCATAAAAAGATTTTACAAGAGACTTCCTCACCTTATGGTTCATGTTGAGCTTTTATGATCTGGGAGCATCATCAACTGAGTATTAAGTGATTTACGCAACCCTATAGCTCCAGCTGCATTTGAATTGTTAGCAGTTTGCAAATTGGACGCGGCGTTTAGTCCTGGAACGTGACAATTTCTCTGGGGAGGTTGTTATACTGTGGCTGGAGGCATCCCCGGGAGCACCTCCAAACACGCACCTGATTGATACTTTTCCCTTTATTCTTTGGTACGTTTTGTCCAATAAATCGACCAATCGGTCGAGTAGGAGTCCTAAACCCAGACGAAATCTCATATCCGGCCAGTTCGCTCTGAATAAATCGAAACATTAGGGAAACAATAACTCAAGTTATAGCACCAGTCTAAGTAATAGAAGTAGTTATGTCTAACGAGAACAAGATATGGGCGCAATCTCCGTGCAAATATATAAGAAGACGCAACATCCGGGTTAGGAATGGACGTGCTTTCGCCGGAAACTCCAAGTGAAGTTCAGAGGAAGTCGGAAGTACTGCAAACAAGGATGATGGCGCGCATTCTATAATAAACTGGACTGATTGCTTCTAGAATGATGTTGCATTTACCGTTGATATATAATAACATCAGAACGTGGTTAGGGAAAATTTTCTTCTAGGGACTGTTTTGAGCGTTTACGAATATTGATGCGGAAGATAGCCAACACTAAAAAGTAATCCGCACCCTTCGATAAATGCACCCTCCTTGACCAACAGATTTATTTGCAGTAAAATCCGTACTGTAAACTTTATGGAGGATACCAAATTTAGGAGACGTAAAACAAATTTCAATAATTATAGGAGCTGTAACGCGATATACTTACAATATCTGGCTTTTGATTGCTACGAGACAATTTATGGATTTTCAAGTAAACGCGTATTAGTTTAACGGTTTGAAAAATTTATTTCATTTTAGTACATTTTTATTGTACTTGAAACGTAAGCAACTTCTAACAGCTATAAGATATAAAAATTATGATAATATTTTTTAGACAGAAGTTTATAATTGCCGCTCATTCAGTACAGTCATTTCATCGAAAATGGTTTGCGCAGTCTCACCTGCGCGTAACAAACTTTACGTTGCATTTTAAATGAACCATAATATACATAATATTAATTCTACCACCGTGATAAATGTGCTAGATTTAGTAATCGACAAAAATCAGATAATCGATTGAACCGAGTGTTACTTTAGTCGTAGCACTTTAACATAAGTTTATTTAATACGTTAGTAATTGCCAGCATTTGTGGCGATTCTAAACATGTTACATAGAACAAATAAGACCATAATTTTATCCACATTACTACCGTAAAATATTTCTGTGTAAGTATATATGTACACCTACGTACCGATATGGCGGACTTTATGGTCTACGACAGCAAAAACTACCTACGCTGAAACGGTCTACAATCAAATTTCATAACAAATGAAGTTTTGCAACAATATTTTCCTATCATTCGTAATATTCTTCCTAAGTAATAAATCTTACACGCGGACCTAATATCCTAATGCATTTGAATAAAAAATGACGTTTCTCTATCTTTTTTTGCGTTTGAATAAATCGTTGGCTTCAAGTATTAGAGCGATAGACCCCGAATATGTATATTTGATGACAGTTTTATGCAAGTGATTAGTTTGACATCGACAATAGATGACGGAAATCTGTATCGATTTGTTACAGCTACTGGCATGTATTATGTTCTAGGATCAAGCTCTCTAGTAACAAGAACATCATATTCACTACCGGTATAACAGTTCTTTAGCGAAAAGCGAATTAGATATCCAATTACCGCTTTATCGTTGCGAAGCGAAAACTTTGAACACGCTGTATGAAAGAAAAGTCGAGTAAAACCTTTAATATCCGCGCGAATTGAGGTTGCAAGTCACAACTATGTATCTCAAGGAAGTAATTTTAGATTGCATCTCCCGTATTATATTGAAGGAGATTTTGCTTAAGGTTGTGCGTTTCGCTTTATAGGACACTTAATGTCGTATCTGATATTTTTAGGTGGCATTAATTTTTGTAGGGAGAACGTAATATCTGTTTGTTCATCTAATAGGAACTAATCTCTCGTAAGTCTCCCGAAAACGGATTATTATTCCGGCTTTATATTGATAACGAAAAACATATAAAAGACTAAGTAATTAAGCAAATAGAGCCATTACAAATTTTATTGCGGATTTTACGGTTTACCTCGAGTTAAATTTTTCTTTTGGGAACAGTTGTAAAAGAATACACGATATATTTTTCGAAAATTTCAATTCTCTGGACAGTCGTAAAGCGTTGTTTTGACGGAAATATGAACTTGTTGAAAGTTTAATTAATTGCATTGTTCTCAGTATTGATCGTTTTTACCAATTTTAGGTTAAAGTCATTGTTAATATTGAATGAATCATCGGCTAATTAATCGTCACGATCTGAGTAACAGAATCTAATAATTAATGTCAATTAATTCCAGTAATTAGGTTTAATGTTGCGATCCTGTTAGGTAGGTTGGATCGTAACATGCTATTATGTGGTACCGTATGTGGTCCACTACCACCCCTGGTAGCCTTATGCATGTGACATGCATTTACTCATTGATTGATTACAAATTTAACTTAAATTGGCACATATTTGGGATCCTGTGCAATAAATCGACGTCACACGTCACTGCTAAATGTGAAAGATTGCACTCCCTCACATTGTACTACACTCAAACGCAGTGATTAATTTGTACAAAAGAAATCACTTTGGATAAGGTTGTCCCACATATTAGAATATTTGTAAAAAAGAAAAGTGACCTCATTAATTTCTGGTGGAGATGATATTCTTAAAATATATTACAATAAAGGACAGACAGACGGAAACGAGAGACCTACTTTTTCATACTCTATGGATCCTATTAAACTGCTTCTCTAGTTCCATTTCCTCACTTTCCACGTTAGATTTGCCATATTTTTAAATAAAGGTACTTTTACTTACTCTCAGATGCATGAAAATAGTGTACACAAAACACATCAAAATTTCTTGAAACCGACAGAAATTATACCAAGCACGTCAGAGGGCAAACACTCTCTCACGTTCCAGCATATATGAATGGTCTCCGAAGGCCGTGAAGACATTGCAAATATGTCGCATAATCACGCTCAACGAACGTTCGTCGTGTCGAAAACCTGATTTTGAAATATAGGTGAAAGTACGACACACTGCTCTATCATAAGCATAAAAGTTGCAAGTGTTAACACAATTATGCACGATCACCCAGAATTTCGCAAAGTTTGCCCTTGTTGGGGCTCCAAGTCTGTATTTTTGCGTCGTGGTTAGCTGGAAAGTAACGAGTTTCTTTGTTGAAACCTAGGTGTATACTTCACACTGAAGTCAAAAATTGACGTATCAAAAAATGCAAGAGCGGTGTTTTTGCACCTGCATGACTTTCTTTCAGAGGAATTTTTCCCACGTGGAAGAACTATAAATGCGGAATATTATGTAATGTTCTGAAAAATGAGGTACGTGAAGTTATTCATAAGGAAGACTAAAGACCGTTTAGCCTTACGGTTATAGCAATACAGTGGGTTGCAAAATCGCAGTTCCTTTTGTAGTTCGTAACATTATATTGTTTCTTGAGTCCTTTTTTTGTAAATACTCGTGAATTTGAGGTTGTCATCGAAAACTAGGAAACTATGCGAACTATTTGGTAGTGTTAATTATTGTTTTGTTATTGATAGCGACACTTTTTCTGCTTGTTGTACACATCATAATCAAGTGCGTGTCGTTTTGTTGTTAAACTGCTTTAATCCATCTCCGTGGAGGAAGCGCAAGGGCGTCCGAGCGTGCTCTATAAAAGCGAAATTTAAGGATGCGTCATATCAATTTCACATTTCGTGAGATCTATAGCCGAAAAAATTGAATTGTGGAGCGAAGTGTCCCCTTCTTATTATTCCTTAGGTTTGCTGACCACTCCGCATCGGGTAAGAACGCCTATTATAATGACATTTGAAGGGTGCCAAAATTATTGGGTCTGTTGTAGTCGTCAATGGCACTGCATTTCAAAACCAATTTTACACGCTTCATATGTCT